AGGATTAGTGGAAAAAGCCGAGGTCTTTGGATGGTTGACCAAATCTATGGTGGGTAGACTTCGGCCTTCTGAGTGTACCTTTGGTCTTTTAAGGTCAATTCTGGTCTTTTATTGGTAGGCCTTGGTCTTTCGAGGTCGATTCTGGCCCAAAACCAATAAAGTCTGGTTTTTCAAGGTCTACACCGGTCTATCATTGGTAGAACTTGGTCCTTCGAGGTCAATGTTGGTTGTCAAAATGATGAAGATAAGAAGTTGACATGAGATGTAAGGGTTAGAGGAAGTACAGTTATATGCTGCTAACTGAGAAGATAATGAACGCAAGTATTTTAAAGTGGAGAGCGAAAGGAGCGGGGACGAACTTTTTTTGAATGCGCGATAACAAGTATCCAGGATAAGGCTCCGACGAAAGCCGATATTAGGTGATCCAACGGTAAGTGGAGTCGGAGATCTTCAGACCTTCCAGCTAGTTGGCGGGATTCGACCCTTCCTCACAGCCTGAAAACCAGTACACCACGCAGCAAGGTCGGTGAAGGTGTCGGAAGAAGGGACCAAGCAGGATGTCGATGTCGCATCGACCGTCACTTATTTCTTGAAAGATCATGCTGACAACTTCTTGCCACACCCGAATCCACCGACTACGACGCTTCTTTCGCGCGTAATACTACGACGTGAGGAAGGTACTGGTGCGCGCTTGGTCTCTAGAGATCCATAGGCAGTGGGCGCTCTCTAAATCACTTGGCTGTGATCCTCGTCGAAACGCATGTAGGCCGACGCCAGTTTCACGAACCAGCTCACTGTCTGGAAAGAAACAGGTGGGGTCGAGACTTGTGCCGATAACTATGATCGGTTGACCAGCAGGATCTTGAGCATAGACCGGTGACGGTTTTCACTTGAAGGTCGATCGACCTTCCCGTCCGGTGAGCTAAACCAGCCGCAAGGCAGCTCCAGGCGGTCGACCAAGTCACTAGGAGGCATCGTTGCGATGATCAAAGAATTGACTCCACGCAACTGGACCGCGATGTTGTTGGTGTTGAGCAGCTATCTCTCGAGGAGCTCGCACCTGGCGGTCCAGTAGGCGGCGGAAGAGAAGATTGGAGCTAGTCTACACTCGCACGCCTCGAATCGACGGTGTATGCGTGTATGCTGGTCGGTAGGTCGCGCAAAATCTAGTGCACGTCTACGGGTCTGCCTAACGTAGTCGGAGGGTCGTTCGACGAAGAGACAGGTGAAACGCAAGCGAAGTGTGGACTTACGGGGTCCACAACGGCAGTGGAGCTAGAGGTAGCCAGAGGGTTACGAGCGACAGGTGGTTCCTTGTCACCTACATATTCAGAAGAAACGGTCGTACATAGCCCTGGTCCTGGTACCTCGGGAGGATCGCCGATCGGCGACGAAGTGGGTAGTAAGACCTCTGGGCTATTAGCGAGTGCGAGAGTGATCTGGACTGGTCTACCTTGGACCGGTTCTTATCACTCCAGACGGTGGGTCTACACTAGAGGGAGGAACAGCTTATGTAATATCAAGTGAGACAGCAGACATCGAGCACCAAGCAAGCTAGAAGTACTTACAGAATGAAGGATTTGAAGAAATGCGCGTGATTAATCGGCTGTTTCGTCGACCAAATGCTGAGGGCGGCTGTGGTGAAGTTTTTAAAGATTGGCAGCCCAACGACCAGTGGATCAAAGCGAAAGGGGCTCGCCAATGAGGATAGACCGTTCGGTATGGGATAGAGAGAAAGGGTGCCAGAGATTAATGGGAATCTACCGTTTGATGGGAAGAATTTGTGGTCAACTACCGCTGGTTGGGCACCATTCCAAAGAGTTAACCGAGGTTCAGCCGGGTAGACCGCGGTGCCTAAAGGCGGAGTACGGTCCTTAGACGTCGATCCTGGTCGATTACTGGCAGACCTCGGTCTATTAATGTCGACCATGGTCTTTCGTTGATAGACCTTGGTACTTCATTAGCTGACCTCGGTCCGTGGAGGTAGACTTTGGAACTTTCGCAAATGGACCTCGCTCCCTCAAAGTAGACTTTGATACTTTGTTGGTGGGCTCTTGACCCCAATCAGTGGAGGCCACCCTTAATACTTCACTAATGGACCTTGGTCCCTCGAGGTAGAACTCGGTCCTTCGTCGGTAGAACCTCGACCTCAGCACCTGGGGGTCAACCTCAGTTAAGAAGTCCAGCTACCCTAGCCAAGCAGAATCAAGAATCAGGTCTCAGGCTGAAGATAGAGTAAACGAGTAAGAACTAGGACTATTTTGCATATTACTTAATTTGAGATCTACGTAGCACGACTTCGTCGTGATCACTAGGAACTTACATAAGATTACTTTCCTGTTCTGGAAAGTGATACATTTTGGCCTTCCGTCGAAGACAGTTGTGTGGTAAAACCCAAGTGCAAATAGAGCCCCAGGATATATTTGGCCTGTCGATTCGTCTGAGTAGCACCCCCCTTAAACCAACCCTATAGCGGTCTCCCTACCCTCATAATTCGAGAGAAAGTAACGGCCAGGCGGTTAACACCCCTGAGATATCAAGGAAAAAAAGGAAAAGGCCAGGGATGAGAATCTCCCCTGAAGAATTTGGTTATAAGCCCACCCTCGAACTAGTCGACCGAGTGGCCACCTACTAGCCTACCGAGTGAAGTATACCCACCAGAGGCACCCCAAGGCCGACCTCTCTCAAGGCCGACATCACATCTCACCCAAGTCCTCCAAAGAGTGCAACCCGCCAGCTGACGGGTACACAAGGTGAGAGAAGGTCTAGAAGTATAAGCCGGGAAAACAGAATGTTTTGGCTGACGCGTTATCTCGTAGACTTGACTACGAGCTTGCTCGTCTTACTGTTGCACGTTTGTCAGTATCGGATCGTATCCGTGTGGCGTATGCACGCAATGAGGCATGTGTTGCCATTCTGCAGGCACTGGTGCTGCAGAGTTTGAAAGTTCTAAGTTGAAGCTGTCACCACGGAATCATGCGAAATTACATCGTTATGCACTGACCGATGGTCTGTTGTACTATAGTACAGGGTCGGATGACCAGCTTCGCGTTGTGGTGCCTCATGATGAGGACCTCAAGTATCAGATACTTATGAGGCTCATGATACACCACTTGGTGGTCATTTGGGTCGTGAGCAGACCTACAGCTCGGTGAGAGCTAATTATTGGTGGCCCCAGATGTATAAATGGGTTGGCACCTACGTACGCATGTGTGAAAGTGTCAAAAGGTAAAGCCCTCGCCAAGTATGGCTTTGCCTTTAGTGAGTTTTCCTGTCCCTCGGGGTAATGACAGTCCATTAGTATGGACTTTGTGTTTGGCCTACCGCGTGATGCGGCAGGCAACACTGGGATTGTGGTTTGTTGACCGACTGAGCAAGCTTTTTTATCGGCAGTGCCGAAGTCCATTGATGGAGAAGAAACAGCAAAAGCTATTCATGGATCGTGTGTTTCGACAGATTGCCCGTGGGAATCTCTCGGATAGAGGCTCTCGTCTACGGGTAAATTTTGGGGTCAGTCTTTAAAGTGCTGGGCACTCGACTGGACGTGTCCACGGCGGGTCATCCACAGACCAATGGTCAGACAGAACGCGTGAATCGGTCGATGGTCATATGTTTCGAAATGTTTGTGCTGAAACGCCTAAGCATTGGAGCATGATGCTCCCACTTGTTGAGTTGCGTTGAAGAACGCGGTGCATGTCTCGAGAGGCTTCACCCATTCTATGTGAATGGTTTGGTTAATACTCGTATTCCATTAACACTACCCTTTGCCACATCAGAGCTTAGTGGGGGAGAGATAGCCGAAGGCTGGACTGATGTCAGCCCTGTTGCGATTCGCAAGAAGGTGGAAGCGTTGGATTTCAAAGGCAGAAAAAACGAAAATGAGTTCAAAGTGGGTGATGTAGTTTCATTAAACGCTAGGAATTTACCTACCAGTGCCGTTTTGGCGGCATATAAAACTAAATTACGACCACGTTTTATTGGACCTTTTAAAGTCATAGGCAAGAAAGGTTTAGCCTATACGCTTAAACTTTCTAAGAAGATGCGAACACACCTTGTGTTCTATGTGGGCTTACTAAGCCATATCTCAACGTAGCCTCGGTGGACATCGAGGAGTTGTCTACAAATCCCCGGAGGAAGGAGGCGGGAAGTACTGCACCGGGGGTGCATATGGACGCTGAAGGCGTAACAGGAGGTCGATCTGACATCGCGGTTTGGCTTGAGAACGCTCAATCTCCGTCAAGCGATCCGAGGTCTCAGAGCGATAACGCTCAAAAGACCGACGGTGTCGATCGACACGGTCATCGAGCGATGACAGGTGAGACCTCACCGATGCAAGGGCATCACGCTCCAGGAGTGTCAGACGACGCTCAATTTCAGGGAGATGAGAGGTCAATGGGTGATCGACCTCCTCCGATGTTGATTGATGACCGGGGTCATCAACAGTTCCACGTGGAACGCCTCTTGTCTCGGCGTCGTCACCTGGGTCATACCCAATACTTGGTGAAGTGGAGGAGCTACTTCCAGTCGTATGACTCGTGGGAGTATGAGGTACCCCTTTTGCAGGATTTCCCAGATGCCGTTGACTCTTTTAACCAGGATTGTCAGAAACGACGACAGCAGCCGTCGAGTGCTTCCCTAGTACTAGGTGCTGTGGAAGCAAGGTCCATGTCCTGAATGCTCCTGCAAACTCTACCAGTTTCAGATGCACTTCGTTGCAGCAGTATTTATAAAGTTTTGACTTTACCATTGTCTCGTGCCAAATGTCTTTGCCCTGGACATTCACTCTTATCTCAATGTAGACGCTACTCGTGTTTATCTTTGTAAAAATCTGTTTATTCACGAGTGAAGTAGCAGCAGCCTTGCTACGGAAAAAGAGAAATCGTGATGATGGAGGATATTGATCAGCAGTATGTCAACTTGAAGTAAATATGTGACGAGATACAGCGAAACGTACGGAATCATCTGCCTCCTTTTTTGACCATTTCTATTAAGAAATTGACATGTTTATCGGGACACAGTCCGTAGCAATTACAAACCTACACAATGTCATGAATGAAAATGTCGCTGCCTCGAATGGACACAATCAAGGCCTTCCTAGACCTCCTCTACCACCGTCATTACGTAGCATTAATCGCCACTTAACGTATCATGATCAAGATAAGGTAAATATAGACTGGGAGCACTCTTTGCAGCAGTTTGCAGCTACAGTGAGCGACGATCTGAACGACCTCCACGCTCGATTCCTCCATGAGGTCCGTAATGCGACCCTTATGTTCGATACTGATGCGATCTAATGCCAAATTAAAATCAATAACGTCTGTTTTTTTAATTCTTTCAATGTCTGTAGAAAGTCGTGAATTTTACTGCCTGGAAGCGGCTTTGGAAAGACATGCGGATGAGTGCTGCTTTCCTCGTGGAGTTTTGGGAGAGCACACCCACGACTACACACAAGACAATACTGCAACAAGCACTAGATGGACTTGTCTGGTGCATTGAAGAGCACAATGGAGAGTTTGACAAGGTTACAGACGTCGCCGCACTGATTGGTCGCGTGTTTGCAATATATTGCGCGTACTCTGTCCAGGTTGGCTCCCCAAAGCACAAGATAGATGCGGACCCGAGAGCTTGGACGGCGCTGCTGACAATTAACGTCGTCATGTCTGGAGTAGGAGCTAAGCTATTTCCAATAGCAGCGCGTGAGGTGAGAGCGATGATGCATCGACTGGTAGTTCAAGAGAACGCCTTCCTTCGCTGCTTGCAGGGATTCGGACCGAGAGTTCGCGTTAAGAATCGCACACCAAGATCAGGAGCTGTTGTCATGCACGACTTGTTGCGCGTTGCAGATAGCACGGAGGAAAGTGTGCCAGTAAGTGCCATGTTTTTGCTCTTGCTGCAGTGCAGCTTTTATTTAACTTGCCAATTAATTGGTATGCACAGATTCATCAAAGCAAAGCAGAGAAAATCGGATCGCTGAACGATCGGTACAACGAACTAATTAGTCGAGCTCGTGCTGGACCCTCGGTGTCTAGTGTTGGTGGTAGATTAGGTTTGCGCCAGGCCAAGAAAGCCGTTGAATCACCGCCTTTGCTGTCAGCTTCGCTGCTTCAAGAATCAAAAGATGACGGAAAAGGCTTGGCTCGCACGTTGACTATATACATGGAGTACAAAGCAAACGAAGAGGGTCGTAAAAGCGATCGCATTGTGCGTGCGACAGCTGTTCGCGAGAAAGAAAGCCAACAGATGCTTGATTCTGTGAGTGATACCAGTAGCAATATCTTGGATTTGAGCGATCATGGCAGCGCCATGTCTGGGCCACCCCGTGTAGTGGCAGAATCTGTTACGTCCAATCGACGTGGTAGTTACAGAAGGCGCAACAGTGACGCTAGCGAGGCTCTCTTGGTTGAGCTCGAGTCTGATTTATGTGCAGATATTTCAAGAGACTACCTAGAACCAAGTAGAGCCCAGTCGTACCAAAAGTTGGCAAGAGCACCTAATGAGAAGCCATATTCAACATTGAGCGAGGTTAGCGAAGCAGACAGTAATGCCCTTGCTGAACTTGAGTGCGAGCTTGAGCAAAGTGCCGACGTTATATCATCTGAAATAAGGGAAAACGCCCTGTTAGAAGAGGCATGGACTCGTGCACGCCGTAGGTATGGCCGAAAAGCAGCTGTATTAAGAAACGATCCTCGTGCCACGATATCTACAGTGAAATTTCCTCGGACTATAAGCACCCGATCGACAGCGAAGGGGGTGCGGACTAATTCGGAAACGAGTCACCTGTTGTTTGCTGATTCTTGGGCTGTGTCTTCGTCTGGAGACAACGATGAAGTTGCCGCGATACAAGCTGAGCTTGATGCTGTTCCTACTTTGTCAAGATCACAGATGACTGAGCGTAGTTCTCATGGTATCGACAACCAGCGCAAGCTTTTTGCAAGCTCAAGCAGCTCGAAAGCATTGTCAGTTGTATCAGATAGCAGTGAACTGATAGCCCAGCTTCAAGCAGAACTCGACTTTTCTGCGGAATTAAAAACCAGTGAACCCGCATCTTCCGATGTAGATCGAGCAAAACCCCGGAGGTCGTCTCGATTAAGTTTTGTGGCATCAGTAGCTGACAATAAAACAGTTGAAGACCTGGAAAGAGAATTAAACCCTGATGATGATGCAATAGGAACAGCTCTACCACCATTCGTTCCAGCTTCAGCAACGACAATACGTAAGCGAGGAATGACAACTTCCAAGCGGCCAGCGCAGCGCACGTGTATGACTCGAAGTAGTGCGAAAAAGAAACGACTTAATACTGCGACCGCCTCTATCGTGACTTGCGATCGTCAGTTACCTGCGGATCAAACATCTAAGGCCCAAGGCGAGCAGCAACTTTTTGTTTCTGGTCTGACTGTACATCCGGAATCTTCTCGAGTAAGTTTCGTGTCGTCAGATACCGAAAGCGATGGAATAGCAGAATTAGTGGCAGAGCTTGAAATACCGGCAGCCGTTCAGATCTCTACTCGGGCAGATCAAAGTAGAAATCTTTCAGCCAAACGATTGGGCACCCGATCTACAGTTCGGTATCAATCACCTGCCTCACCGATTGTAGAAACACCTCATTCCATTTCAGGTTGTTCAAAAATTTCTCCGATCTTTGCGGCAATACCTGACGTCGTTGGTCTTCGACGTTCTAGTCGTTTGAGCCCATATGCGTCCGAGACCGAGAGCGATGGTTTGGATGAGTTGATGACAGAACTTGAATCCGATCCTCATGTGGTGAGCATGAAGAAGGCCAAGAAACCTAGGACACGAGTAACAACAGTTCGAAAGCAACCGAGTCGTGTCCAAGGGGCGAAGCCAAGACAAAATCAATCGAAAAGACTAAAATTGGCTTGTGCTCCGCGTGCCGCTCGGCAACCACAATCACAAAAGGTCACTGAGAAGCCTTTTACTCGTCAGTCCGCAGCTGTATCAGTAAATGTGCCTAGCTCTCGACGATCTACTCGATCGAGTTCAACTGCTTTTGGCAGTGAAAGTGATGGTCTTGCAGAGCTTGAGGCAGAGTTGCAAGCTGGACACACTTAAGAGTTGGACTTGGCAAGAAATAGCTCATGTGGCAGAAGATCTCGTCCGTTTGATGAGGAGTTTGAGAAAGAAACGGAAGCCATGAGAGGCTTAGGACAAAAAGATGAAGCTTGTATGGTGCGCGTTTATAATCAAAGACTTGTCCAGAAGCCGCTTCAAATAAATTGCACTGTCATTGAAAGTAATATCGAAGCACTTGTTAACGCATTATTCGTTCCGGTTGTAGCTTCTACTTCATTTTAACGCCATTCACGGCTGTTAGGCTGCCTTTGACGCATTGGTAGAGATTTGCATGACGCAACTCCACTGTTCCTATCAAGCATATTCAGCCTGCATTAATCTTAAAGCTACAGGTTAGCTCATGGGAGATCGCCGTGCGCACGCAGCAACACCTGATACTGCATACATAAGGCTGGTAGATAAGCCTCGACATTCCATTGTCCTAGCGAGCACTTGGTAATCTCTGCTACTCAATGGTTTTCTTCTTGGTCGTCAATCTCCTGATATCCTTGCCCTCAACATGAATACTATGTGAATTGCCCACTTCAGCAAAGTGATGCGAAAAGCAGAAAAGCCCAGCACTTACTGCAGCAAGGCATGCTGCGCAGTAAGCTGGTCCATCTATTGAAGCGACGTATGTCCATCCTGACAAAACTAAAAGAGGTCGAAACAAAACGTCGTTGACCACACGCATGAGAGATTGTTTGTTAAATACAGTTGCTAGTAAGGTACAAAGGAGCCAAAACTTCCACAGCACTCACTTGGACCAAGAGTTCTGGAGATAGACTAAAAAACGATTTAGACATAGGCAAACAGCATATCATGAGCAAAACAGGTTTACGTGCATGTAGGAAACAATGACAACTCACCGTCAAGGAGGATGAGATACCCATGAAGGCACCAGTGTGTTCTTCTGAAACAAGCGTAGTATGTAGCGCCAATGAATTTGCGCGAACGATACTGCATGAGAGAATGACAATTAAAATACGCGACGTGTTTTTTAACCAATGCATTCACCAACCTACAACTTACCTGATTGAAATCACTTGAGGTACGAGTATCGAGTAAACAGTCCTGATCGTTGTAGCACTCGAAAGCGAAACAAATGTCATCACGTAGATAATAGCCGACAGTTGCAGCACCAACTTCTCGGACTTCATGACCTTGTTGACAAACCCAACGGAAAAACTGCCAATGAAGCCTAGTAACCCCATGTAGCTCAATATAAATCCACGGTCCTTTGAATCCATTCCAAACTTATCCTCTAGTAGCACTGAGAAATGAGTCCGATACAAAATACCCGCCATGGATAGCAGAAATCTCGCGACAAGCAGCGTTTGCGCTGATTTTGACTCATTGACAATATCTTTGAACCCAAGCAGCTTGGTCCATACGTTGTGCAGCAAGAGTTTTAAATCCATGCGACTGCAATGTTTTGCTCTCTCTTTACTCTCGGACGTTACAGACGTTGTCGTCGATATTCCAATTGTCTGCTTCTCTGAATTGACGTAAAAGAGGGATACGAGGAAATAGTTGACGCCAAAAAGTGTCGTCGTCAATAGCGCAGTGTATTGGAATCCATTATGAATGGAACTTACATAACCTCCAATGATCGGACCAATAATAAAGCCAGCATTCGTAGCAGCATTTAATTTTCCAATTGATGCTGTACGCTTGTGTATCTGCTCTCCATCTGTGACAGTTAGTTTAATAATCTCTAATGAATGTTTAAACAGTGCTGCTGGAATACGAGAGAGTAAGACAAGAGAAATATTCCACGAGATACCAAGTATGAAGTAACTTATTGATGTCCCAATTAAACATGAAAGTAGAATACGCTTACGTCCATAGGAATCACTTAAACTACCAACAATAGGAGCTGTAAAGAATTGAAGAAAACCATAGACAGACATGAGTAAGCCAAAGATTAATGCACGATCGTCCATTGATTTAATATATTGAGGAAGGGAAGGAAGTATCATTGAAACACCCAACATATCGAGAAATGAGACAATGTATACGATATAATGAACTCGATACACCTTAGAAGTAGTCACTTGCATTATTGTCAGACAGACTCTTGTTTAGTATGGATATTATTGAATGTGCAAATGATATTGATGATGATCATCACTCATCACTCTTGCATCAACAGTCTCTCGTGTGTAAATAATATAGTCACACAAGACTAAATTTGTATTTCTATCGAATTAGCTTGTAAATATTACTCATGACCTGATTCGACGCCATCAGTCATTCGATATATAAAATCGGTGGCACTGCGAGAACCTCATTCACTTCATCATGTCTCCTTCTTCTTCTCGTGTGATAATTAGCAGTACTGGCCGTCTCTCAATAGTAGACGTATGTTCTATTGCTGCATTAAATGCATCTGTTGTATTAGACGATATAATCTCTAGTGCGACTGCTACGTCATTTACGCTTCAATTGTCTTCTACTTCTGCTGCTGCTTCTTCTTCTTCTGCTTCTGCGCTGATTGTCCGTCGCGCCGTCTTTGTGCTGCTATTGCACCGATTATTGCGTCTTAACTCACTTGATAATGCCAAATATGTGGCCACATTACTCAATCAGAAGGACCAAATGCCCACTCAAGTGTCCTCCATCGACTTGCCCGTGTCTCTCTCGCAGATCGAGCAGACAATTATTAACACCACGCCTCTCGTTCTCTTGGCCGAAACGGTGCTGGCTGTTGGTGGTGCCCGCACGCTGCTGCCTTTAGCCGACGCTGTTGGTGCCATTACGTGCGAGACGCTGCACGCCAACACGGCAGCATTTGAGGCCGAGTTTGTAGACCTCGCTCGCCCCCATCGTGGTATTGTCACGTCAGCGCAGAACTTGCGTTTGATTCTGGATGGATCCAAGTTTGTTAATAGCAAGGAGGAAGGAGTCACTGACGTGGCGGCCGTGGGCTGCATCCCGCAGTACCACGGTCCCGCCCGTGACGCTATTTTGGCCGCTTACAAGGCAGTAGAAGCCGAGATCAATTGCGCTTTTGATGATAGCGCTGCTGCCAAGTGTGCTGGTGTAGGCATCCACCCACAGGTGCTGAAGACGGCGTTATCAACTACGACAGAAGCGTTACGCGTGCTACTTCAGGGCAGTGTCGATCGTCTCCAACTGCTGGACACGAAAGTTACCAACGCACTTAATATAACGTTTGCTAGTGATCTCGTGAGTGCCACCGCTACCGCACTCGCGCGCGAGCTAGTACCATCGTTGAAGTTTTTCGACGAGAAAGAGGCAGAACTGAGACTCCGTTTGGCTGAGAAGAATGCTAGGACCCAAGAAGCAGAATCCAAAGCCGCTGCTGCAGCTGCTAAAGAGGATGAGAAGATTGCTGCCATGTCAGAAGCGCAGCACAAGAAAATTATGGAGAAGCGCCGCAAAAAATTTGAGAAGCAGAAGGAAAAGGAAAAGGCAAAAAAAATGTGGCAAAGACGAGCTGAAGATTGGTCTGGGTAGTCAAGCAGTGCGTCAGCATATCCTTTCCCTAGGAGATGCGTGGCAAACTAGTATAGAGGAGTCAGCCTTTGACTTGCGCGCTTCAAGCCTGTCACTATTCTTAGAAGACCTTTTCGTGCGTCTAGGCAGTGGTGGCACTCGCCGTAAACCGAAGATTGCGAAGGGATCACAGGACTTCCTGCCGCATCAGATGGCTCTACGTGAAAAGATCTTTAACAAAATTCGGATGGTTTTCAAGCGTCATGCAGGTGTTGAGATTGAAACTCCTGTTTTTGAGTTGAAAGAAACACTCACGGGAAAGTATGGCGAGGACAGTAAGCTTATCTACGACCTAGCTGATCAGGGTGGTGAACTGCTGGCATTGCGTTATGATCTGACGGTGCCCTTTGCTCGCTTTATGGCCCTGCACAGCCCTGGGAACATTAAGCGCTACCATATTGCCCGCGTGTATCGCCGTGACAACCCACAAATGGCCCGGGGTCGATTTCGCGAGTTCTACCAGTGCGACTTTGACATTGCAGGTACTTACGCGCCTATGCTCCCGGACGCCGAGGTGCTTTCGGTTGGCATTGAAGTGTTACAACAATTCCCAGAGCTTGGCTCCGTGAAGGTGAAGTTGAGTCACCGTTTGCTCCTGGACGCCATTCTCTCTATCTGCGGTGTGCCCGCTGACAAGTTCCGCACGACGTGTAGTGCTATTGACAAGCTAGATAAGGAACCGTGGAGTGAGGTGCGACGCGAGATGGTGGAGGAGAAGGACATTCTTGAGGAGGTGGCCGACCGCATCGAGCCATTCGTGTGCAAGGTAGGCTCGCCACATGACCTGCACGCACAACTTGTGAAGGAGAAAATGTTCGGCGATAATGCGAACGCCCGCCGTGCCATGGACGACTTGGCGCTTCTCTTCAACTACCTCGATGCCATGGGCGTCCTTGATTTCATTTCGTTTGATCTGAGTCTTGCGCGCGGATTGGACTACTACACGGGTCTCATCTTCGAGTTTGTACTGACAAGCGCGGAGCATAATGTTGGATCCATCGCTGCTGGTGGCCGCTACGATAATCTTGTGGGTATGTTCTCTGCAACGGAACAGCAAATTCCTTGTGTGGGTGTCAGTCTAGGTATAGAGCGTATCTTTGGCATCCTTGAGGCCCACGCCAAAAAGCAGTCTGCCCACACAACCCCGCCGTCACAGGTCCTGGTCGCGTCCACGAGCAACAATTTGATGGTGCCGCGGTTAGAGTTGTGCAAGCAGTTGTGGCTTTCCAATATTTCGGCTGAAGTGATGCAGACCGAGAATCCTAAGTTCATTAAGCAACTGCACTATGCTCTGGAGCGTGGCACGCCATACATGGTGGTGATTGGTGAGGATGAGCTGGCCAAGGGAGTCGTAAAGGTGAAGGACATGGCATCAAAGGATGAAGTGACTGCACCGCGTTCTGAACTGGTTGCTGAGCTACTGCGTCGTGGATGTCCAACCACTGATATCTTGACCATATAAGCTTTACAGAACGGTGTTGGTGTCGTTACTGGTGTAAATTTTTGGTCCGCAAAATGGTAAGACGTCGAATTGACCAGTATGGGACGAGCAGGTACCAAAATTACCCACACGTGTATAATTCATCGACTGCAATTTGATCTGGCTTGGAACTCATTGCGCGTCAGTGTGCTACATGAGTCAGCAAGTTGGTATTTGTTTCTTGCCTGCATCAGTTGGCAGAGGACACGAGACCCATGAGAGCAGTAAGCCTTGAACGAGCTGATGTGTGTCAATATCAGTCAAAGCTGTCATTCTTACTGCGATATATCACCAGGGACTCGCAACCTTATTGCGAGCAAGAGCAAAAGAAATTGGCTGTAAGGTAGTTAGTTTTTACCAAACAAGCTTTGTAGAGTCAATCTCAAGCTACAACAAATGCTCTATTATATGGAGAAGAAGGTGCTAGTCATTCATTCCACAATGTCAGTCAAGTGTTGTGAAGATCAATAGTGTTATCTGTTGTGAACTTGTGAAGTAACGCATAAGTTGTTAACTTGTTGAATGGAGCCCAAGGTGTCGTGTGTGAATCATGCGGCGCTAGTGAACGATTATTACATGAAGCACCTTTGTCTGCGTGAGGACTCGCTGCAAATTGCATCTACTGCTTTTATCCGCCCGTACAGTGCAAAGCGTTCAATGGAGACATCAATAGCCGCAGCGCGACGACAACAAAAGCGACATGTAGCGGCCCAACGGCGGGCACAGCGTCTGGAACAGCTTATAATGCAGGGTAAGTTTGTACCGTTACGAGATCAAGTTAGAGGCGCATTGCAGGATACATTTGACCGCTATGGTGGCCCTCACTTCAAGCTTCACGTCTTTCTACCAAGCTTTAGAGGCACTGATAGTGCAGAGACTGCATCAACACTCGAAGATGTGTTAAATTTGCTGTCGAAGGCGTCCAAAGAAAAAGTTCTTGATGATGGCAGTATTCATTTCAACGCAACAAATTATCTGCAGGTTGCTGTGGTGAATAACACGAAGATCATCCTACCAGCTGGATCAAGCTTTGCTCAGCGAGATGTTCGAGAGCTTCGCCAAATCTCACTTGAGAAATTCAAGCTCATAGTGATGGATCCACCTTGGCAGAATAAAAGCGTATTACGTGGAAAACAATATGGTATGTTTGATCATACGGATCTACTAGCTATTGACATTCCGCACATCGCAGACGTCGATGAATGCGTCCTTGCAGTATGGGTGACTAACCGACCACGGTATATGACGTACCTTCGTGACCAAGTACTGCCTTTTTGGGGCTTTACATTCCATGCGTGCTGGTACTGGCTAAAGCTTAGCAAAAACGGTGAGCTAGTGACTCCACTGGACTCAACACATCGCCTGCCAGTCGAGACGTTGGTCGTTGCGTATCGTGCAAAGGATCATAAACACGAGCAACTGTTACGCCAGCGCCTTGGGGAACAGATGCGAGTTGTATTCAGCATTCCACTGCGTCACTCGTGGAAACCACCACCTGAGTGCTTTATCAGCAATGACATTATCTCGACAAGCGACAAAAAAGTCGAATTGTTCGCTCGAGAATTGCGACCGTATTGGACTAGCGTTGGAAACGAGGTAAGTCTGCTTTCGCAAAGCTTTTGATGGTTCTACAAAACTGATAGACATTTGTTTATCTTAGCAGGTATTTAAGTTTCAAAATGCCTACATGTTTCAGCCAATGCTGTAGATATACATGCAGAGCGTCATAGTTACAGCTACAAGTAACACACATGATGGAGTGGTCGATATGTTCACACAAAGACTTTAGCGTGCTCAACAACATTTCTGCTGCCGCCTTGTTTGTGAGGAAAAGGATCGGCATGCTAAAAACGTCTCTGCGCAAGTTTTGTGTCCCAAAGATTCGGCTTCTACTGTTCATGGGCAAAGAACGGCGAGAATTTGACACTTTGGTTGCTGGCAGCAATAGACACACAAGTAACATGTAGTGTTGTAGATCTAGTTAAGGCTCAGGTAATGAGATTCCACTATATGCTATCTTCAGACAAAAAGGATACTACATCCTTCTTGCAACTCAGATGTCCCTATAGCATTCGTCACTGCCTTTGAATTAATGACTTGTACACAATCTTATACGGACCGTCTCAGTGATCTTGGTGATAATAAATGTCGTCACAATACTTGAAAGTATATCAAGAGTAGCAAATATTTTGATACATCATTGACAGGATCCAGTTACCCACCCATGTCCATACGTATACATACAATTAGTAATCTCATCATACAAATGCCTCGTATGTTCATCATATTAGAAGTACGAGTTATCTTGGAGCACGGCAGAACGCAATGCAATAAAACAGTCGTCATCTTCAGACTCGTCATCTGATTTTGTAATCACTTGAGAATATTATAATCAATCAACAGCTTCTTCACATGCTCTTGGTGGTGATAAAATGTCTCTCAATCGAGTGCAGTAATACCTAAATATGGTGAATTTTAGAATGACCGAGACATTAATGAGGTCGTCGACAACAAACTTGAGCCAGTATCGTTTGGTTGGCTACGGATGTTTCCATGGTCAAAACTTACTGAAAAACGTAATTACACGATGAAGAAGAAATTGTATATGATTGGTCAGAAAGAAAATTATGGATTAGTGACTATTTCACCATGATGTTGACGTAACCATCTCAAGACAAACTTACCACAGGTCGAACACCAAAGTATATCAAATGCAAGAGATTCTTTTTATACGTTTAGGCCTGGGCATTAGGAGCCTTTGCATATGGAATGCTGTCGTTTTGCAAGCTGATGTTATGTCTACGCTGTGTCGTGTTAATGACAACGAATAGCGGCTTAGTGAGATACTGACCGCATTCTAATGCTACAGCGTGATGATAGTGTATATGAACAGTTCACGAGTCGTCGAATGCGGCAGCGTCGATGGAAAAGCTAGAGAGTGCTAAAACGATCAATATGATTGAACTGTAGCAATGAACAAAAGGTTGCTGGCAAAAACACAAGTTTCCTCTATGGTGTTTCGTCGCATTGACTCTTTGGCTGCGTGTTGACTGATGTGGCAAGTACGATTCCTATGCGTTTTTGCGTAGCAATACGTTTCAGAAAAGCTGAGACACAATTGGTACATTCTTCAGCTCAGATGTTTGTCGATTCTAAGGTGCTTACTGCAATTGTATTGTAGTTTCTGCAAGCGCATTGACTAGTTTCTGCAAGCGCATTGACGAACTTGAACAACGCGATAAAATCTCTGAAGTGCGCATGTGTCAAGCTCCTGCAAACTGCAGACGAGCTATTGACCGAGGTGTATGCTCGATTATTTGATCTATAGATGCATGCATCACTTCAATAAGCACCGATGTACTGAACAGACAGAGACCTCGTGGCGATATGCTGTACTTGCAAGATAGACAACACTAGTCATTACGAGTGGAGTTTATCGCTGGGGATTAGAAGTTTGCTGCTTTGTATAATCAAGCATTTGATTACGACAAATAAGTAGAATGACTTGAGACATAGGCGTTAGTGAACTTCATTGCCGTCAATGGAACAAGCAGCATTGATGATGATGAGCTAGAAGGACCTATTCGAATCTGCTTAAGTGAATAATGATTGAGATTCTTAGAATTTCTCAGTACATTTGACTGGATAATAACAACACACTGAAAGTATTAACCAATCAAAAGTCTTCGCGCTCTTTTTGCTCTCAATCAAGCACTGATCATAATGGACGCGGATGTCTACGCGTACGAGCAAGAGATCAACGATATGGATGAGTGGGAGACCATACACGCGCACGAGATGGAAGCTGCAGAGGAAGAAATGCGCGCTAGGGAGTCGTTTGAGCACCATCAATTGAAAAAGAGCCAGCAGCAGCAACAATTAGATCAAGTCATAGGAGCTCAAGTTTCTTCAAGCAATAATTATGCAGACACTATGGACAATAGCCTTGAAAAAGCGACAAAAAGACTTGACCAAGTACTGTCAAGATGTGCGATGCTGTTGGGAGAAGACGTGGATGAAGATGTGGCGATGGAGGAAGGAAATTCTAGACTCAAGCACGTTGGACGCAATGAGAAACGGACAACTGCGTTCAATGTGGATACAACGATCACAGCCAACTATTTGTACAATCGACCACCTGTTGATGTGGAATCACTTTCCGTGGTGCTGAGCGACGGTAAGCGTTTGTTTCTTCGCAAAAAGCGACCAAGCTCCGCGATTGTCACCTCCAGTTCCGTACGCAGTGAGGCGGCGTCTCTTGTTCCCATTAAAGAAATGATGGAAGCAGTCCAACGGGTACAGTGCGTGCAAATGCTGTTTATAATCTTTTGATGCTGAGCTAAGTTTTTAATAACGTGCACGATTGTTTGCAGATGGAGATTGAGGAAGCAGCCATGAAGGAAGACGAGGATCTGCTGCAAGAGTGTGAAACAACTTGCACATCGGCTGCTAACATGACAAATGCGGTGCTGTGGTTGGACAAATATAGACCTCAAAGTTTTTTGGATCTGCTGAGTGACGAGAAAACGAACCGTGAAGTTCTCACTTGGATTAAGTTATGGGATCGATACGTATTCCCGAGAAAAAGGCGTGCTAACGTCGCACCCCCGACTCTTTCTGCTAAGACAAACACTTTCGGTGGCGCAAGCACACCTTTACGGAGTCATACCTTTGTAAATATTCAAGCTAACGGCAGTGTTGATGCCCAAGACGAGGAAGATGAGAGACCGTTTAGCAAGATAATCTTAATCTGTGGCCCACCTGGAGCGGGAAAAACGACATTGGCCAACATTGTCGCGCGTCACGCTGGTTACAACCCTATCGAAGTTAATGCTAGCGACGACAGGACGGCGTCTGTTTTGCGCAACAAAATCATTAGCGCGATGGAGATGCAATCGATTTGGGGTGAGCGCAAACCCAACTGTATCATCCTCGATGAAATCGATGGCGCTATGAATGGCAGGGATGGCAAATCGGCTATTGATGTCATCCAAGAAATTGTTCACGCTCCTTTGCAAAAGAAGAAAGTAGGAACGAAGACTGCAGGCAAGAACTACCATCCATTGACTCGCCCTCTCATCTGTGTCTGCAATGATCTATACGCGTCTGTGCTGCGCCCACTGCGTCAGGTGGCTAAAATTTTCATGCTGGATGCGCCACACTCGCAACGCCTTATCACACGTCTGAAGTATGTGTGTCGTCGTGAAGGGGTCAAGGCTTCCACAAGTGCGTTGGCGAGTCTTTGCGCCAGCGGTGACAACGATATTCGCTATTGCTTGAATATGCTACAATTCCAAAGTACGCAATCGCATGGACCTCAAAGAAGCACATCGGCTGGTATGACACTGAGTACCGGCCTTATTGCCCAAAAAGATCATGCTCATGGTATGTTTGAGGCGTTAAATCTTGTGTTCTATGAAACCCGTTCAAGGTCCACTAAAGGAGAGGTTATTGTTGCTGAGAAGATCACTGAAGCTGTGGCATCGCTGGGAAATTTTACTTTATTGCTCAATGGGCTGGATGAAAACGTCCCGAAAATGATCTTTAACGACCCCACCATGAACAAAATTTGCGATGTATTCGAGTGGCTAGGACTTGCGGATGAGTATGATAATCGTGCTCGCTCAGAGCAGCAGTACGCCTTTCAGGCATATATTCCATTTGCTGCCATCGCAACGCACGCATCTTGCTGCACAAGCTCTAGGCGTCGTGTGGAGTACCCCCGAGCTCAGTTTGAAGCCCAGAAACGAAGCGATCGCTCTAACAATATACTTGTGTCATTGGCAGAGGGTGCGCAGTTGCAGCCAATCCTGCGATTGAGCACTAGCGTTTTCGTCGTTGATGTTGTGCCCTGGATAGTTGCGAGCCTATCGCCTAACATCCGACGCACCAATCCGTCACTGCAAACGAAAGATGAAAAGATTATGATTCAGCGACTCATCCAGCTCATGGCGTCGCTGGGACTGTCATTCCGGCACAAGTATTTATCCGACGGTAGCGAAGACTATGCACTTGAACCGTACGTACCTGCCGTCTTTGTTGTCTGCATCATACTTTGATCTCTTGACCCGTTTCCCTCTTATTCCCTCTGTCATTGACATCTGATCTCGACAGGCCGTTGAATGAACTCGTGGAATTTCAAGGCAGTGACGCTAGTGCAACGTACCAATCCATTCTTCCACTGCTTGTACGAAAAATGATTGCTCGCGAGGTGGAGCTAGAGCAGATGCGTCGAAATGAAAACGCTGCCTCATCAACGAAGCAAATTGGTTTCGGTAAGGCAAATGCCAAATCAAGCGATGGTGCTATTGAGGAAAAGGCTGTGAAGGCCGTCACTTACGCTCTTCCGGAACTCAGCGGTACGTTTAAAGTCGACTGTATTGATGATGTGCTCGTATTTACATTATGTTGCTGTGTTGTCCAACAGAGGTGGAACTAGCAAAGAAGGATGAGGTCTTACGCAAGCGTAACCCTTTTGCATTCGCACACCGCGAGGCTAAACGCAAGCGCGACGAGGAATTGAACACGAATTTGAAGGAGAAGCGCACTGACAATGCCCAGTTACACTCGATGGTGCGGTACAAGTTCAATGAAGGCTATACATGCGGCATCAAGACAGCCGTGTACGTTCGTGATTTATTATAAAAGCACAAAGCTGATTGACTAGCATTGCAAGCAACAATGCATCTCCTCTCCGTATCGAAAGAATCTCCATTGAGCTAAGTAAGACTCTTAGTTGCATTCTTCTTCTTCTTCAACTTCTTCTGATTGTTTGCTTGATTCACAAGAGTGTTTACAGGCTTTGATTCAGGACACAAAGCAGGCACCACTGTTGAAGCTCCGAGCGACTTCATAGGCCCTAAAACTTCCTGCATTACAAAGTGCAAGAGCTTCATCAGTCGAAACAATTTAGTCGTGTCCGTGGTCATGTACTTGACTGCCTCGTTCCGTTCACCAACACTCGAAGACAACACCGTCGTAGATTTAACAGAGTAATGTGACACTCTTGCTACTACTTTTACATTCTTCGTAGATATTACTCGTGTCTTGAGGAAAAACCGCGAGTTCAGTGAGTTTCCTACAAACGCCAATTTGGTCTGCTCCTCAAAGCGTTCCCAGCTTACGTTTTCATTACGTGTCATTCTTTTTGTATTTCTACTGTGAAGCTGAGCATAAGTTTTTTTTATTAAGTTTTACAATAGTTGTTGATAAATCGGTTATTAAAAAATGATAAATCTTGTATGACCCAGGCAAAGTATAAGATATTAAAAGTAATTCTTACATTGTTTTTGTGCTGGCTTGCAAATATGACAATAAACCATCAAAAGTGACAAAACAGAAGAAAGCGCTTACCAAGAGGAGTCCTAAAAAAATCTAGGACACAACAAAGCAAAGACACTGAAGAGGTTGGAACTAACATGTACATTCGTATTGCATTTAGCACGCGCGTATGAACAATGTTATTATAATGACACAACACGCTACAACATAATACACCAGTCATTGGTTGTTTTGTAAAAAATCAACACCATGCAAGAGTAAAGCTTCAGCACCGTTTTACATGCTCGTCTTGAATCGATTCCACAACAACAACGTCGTCCATTCAAGATTCAAGATCGACTCTAGCTATATGGTCTTATTAGTAAGCATTAGCAAAAACTGCATCAATTACTGTAGAAATTAGAATCAGTCTATAGCAAGTCGACAACATGTGAGTGACAGACACAATAAGAACACGTTCGTTCGGGGAAAGTAGCTATTTCTATCCATTGAAGATTAACCGGATGACACGGTTTCTCCGGATGCCCTTTTTGCTGACCAATCAACAGTCGTTCTTACACGTTTTCACCAATAGAAATGCTTGTACACTTTCTACCATGAAACTCCCCCCTTTCGCCCCAGTCCTTTCACTTTCAAAATCTCCGCTTGGTGGTGAAAGCACTTTGAGCGCAGAGTGTTGGTCAGGGAAACCACCCCGCATTAAAAGTACTACCGTCGATAGAGGAGACACACTCTTTTGTCGTAGGAACTAGCTTAGTGACCCAAGCATATATACTCAACAACGTACTCATGGCATCCACGCAATTTTCGTACTCAAGTGCGCGCCTGCGTCGCGTCAAGTACCTACAGTTTGGCGTGTTTAGCCCTGAAGAGATTCGTGCCATGTCCGTTACGAAGCAGACAAAGGTCAACGACCGCATTATTCCTGACGGAATTTCACGTCCAGAAACATATTTAAATGGACATCCTGTTATTGGTGGCATTGGAGACCCACGAATGGGCACGTGTGACTTTCGTGCACGCTGCAAGACTTGCGATTGTACGTGGATATTGAATTGTACAGAAAGAGAGAGGGCGATTACCCTTTTTTTACTATTCTTTTAGGTGTGTGATACACATATCACTGGCTTAATATGCTGACGCTTGTTATTATGGCTGTAGGCACTTACAGCGGCAGCGGTGGGAAAGTAAACGACTGTCCTGGCCACTTTGGCCATATTGAGCTGGCTCGTCCCATGTACCACATGGGTTTTATCAAGGAAGTACTAAAGATCTTGCGTTCAGTGTGTTTTCACTGCTCTAAAGTACTGAGCGATGAGCGTGATCATCGTTTTCGGTCTGCTATGAAGATCAAGAACGGCAAACGTCGACTGAAGGCCGTGTACGAGATCTGCAGTAACAAGAGTATGTGTGAGTACGGTGAGGAGGCAGATATGGAGAAAATGCGTGAGGATTTGAATATTGGTCTACAAGGCGGACTGGACGATAAGTCCAAGCCAAAAGAGGGTGGCCACGGAGGTTGTGGCGGTCTTCAGCCAAAATATCGCAAACAGGGCATTAAGCTACTGGTAGAGTTTCCCGAACAGATGGAAGATGTACCTGGATCTGGAGATCGCAAGCAGAACCTGCCTGCGGCAAAGGTGATGTCTATTTTTAGAAACATCACGGACGAGGACTGTTATTCTCTTGGACTGAACCCACGTTGGGCTCGTCCAGACTGGCTCATCATGACGCTCATGCCGGTGCCGCCGCCTCACGTCCGCCCTTCCGTGGCTATTGACGGCATGGCGCGTGGTGAAGATGATCTTACCCACAATCTGGCTTCGATAGTTAAGGCGAACTTGGCTCTGCTGAATTGCGTGCGCAAAGGTGAGCCATCGCACATTATTGAGCAGTTTGAGCAACTGTTGCAGTTCCATCTGGCAACGTTTCTTAACAACGAGCAGCCTGGACTTCCACAAGCCCAACAGCGGTCCGGCAAACCCCTGAAAACGTTGCGGCAACGCCTGCGTGGCAAAGAGGGTCGTATCCGTGGAAACTTGATGGGTAAGCGTGTGGACTTTTCGGCGCGTACGGTTATCACCGCTGACCCGAACATTGCTATCGATCAAGTCGGCGTTCCACGGTCGATTGCAATGAACTTGACTGTACCAGAACGCGTCACACCGTTTAACATGAATTACATGCACCAGCTGATTGCAAATGGTCCGTTGGAGCACCCAGGTGCAAAGTACATTATCCGTGAGGATGGGAATCGTATTGACTTGCGCTACATCAAAAACAAGTCGGATCTTGCCCTCAAGTGTGGTTGGATCGTGGAGCGTCATCTTCGCGACGACGATTTGGTGCTGTTTAACCGTCAGCCTTCTTTGCACAAAATGTCCATTATGTCGCATCGCGTGAAAGTGTTTGACTGGTCGACGTTTCGTTTGAATCTTTCTGTGACATCTCCGTACAACGCAGATTTTGATGGTGATGAGATGAACTTGCACGTGCCTCAGTCTATGACTGCACGTGCTGATGCACAAGAACTGATGATGGTGCACAAGGTAATAATCACGCCCCAAAGTAATCGTCCAGTAATGGGTATCGTACAAGATTCTTTGCTGGGTGCACAAAAGTTTACGAAGCGAGATATCTTTTTGGTCAAGGACTGGGTTATGAACATGTTGATGTGGGTGTCTAACTGGGATGGCAAGGTGCCAACTCCAGCCATTTTAGTGCCAAAGAAAGGCGAATTGGGCAAGTACACTCCAATTTGGACTGGCAAACAACTTTTTTCCACGATCATCCCAGCGATCAACTTTACTGGCTTTTCGTCTACACACAAGAGTAGTGAGAAATTTTCGGAACTGTCTCCTATTGATTCTCGCGTCATCATTCAACAGGGCGAGCTGCTTGCTGGCATTATTGACAAGAAGATTATAGGCTCATCAGCTGGTGGTTTGATTCATATCACAATGCTTGAAAAGGGTCCTGAAGAAACGAAACGTCTACTTGGTGCTATCCAGCAACTCGTGAACAGCTGGCTGGTTGGCCGTAGTTTCACTGTCGGTGTGAGTGACACAATTGCCGATGTGTCTACTCTGAAGACCATTGTCGATATTATTACGCAAGCCAAGGTGCAAGTGCATGATCTGGTAGTGCGTGGACAAAAGGGTAAATTGGAGACCCAGCCTGGTCGAACCATGGTTGAGTCGTTTGAAGGTCTGGTAAACATTGTGTTGAATACTGCTCGTGATCAGGCTGGTCGTGAAGCGCAGGGCAGTCTCGACGAGACAAACAACATTAAGGCTACGGTGACCTCCGGTTCTAAGGGTTCGTTTATCAACATTTCGCAGATTATTGCGTGTGTAGGTCAGCAGAATGTCGAAGGAAAGCGTATTCCGTATGGTTTTAGCCATCGTACGCTGCCACACTATGGCAAGGACGATCTAGGTCCAGAGAGCCGTGGTTTCGTGGAAAATTCGTATTTGAAGGGTCTGACACCACAGGAGTTCTTTTTTCACGCTATGGGTGGTCGTGAAGGTTTGATTGATACTGCTGTAAAGACTGCCGAGACTGGTTACATTCAGCGGCGACTTGTGAAGGCGATGGAGTCGGTAATGACACGATATGATGGCACAGTACGTAACGCCCAGGGTGAAATTATTCAGTTTTTGTACGGTGAGGACGGTATGGATGCCGTTTGGGTCGAGAAACAACGATTTGAGTCGCACAAACTGAATAAGGTTCAGTTTGAGAAGAAATACTTATTTGATCCATCTGATGAAGACCTAGGATGCGTGCCAAACTGCCCTGATCAGTTGTACCTCGAGCCTGATATTATCAAGGACATCCGGACGAACCAGCGAACACAGCAGCTATTGCGAGAAGAGCTGGTTCAGTTACAAAAGGACCGTGTGAATCTTCGTGTGATTTTGGCAAGTCGTGGTCAAGGACAAGAATCCGATAATGCTGCCCAAATTCCTGTGAATATTCGTCGTCTTGTGGAAAATGCACAGCAGCTGTTTAGCATTGACATGCGGAAGCCTTCGAGCCTTCACCCGTCCCGCATTATCGAGGGGGTGAAGGAATTATGCAAGAAGATTATTGTTGTTCAGGGTGATGATCGACTGAGTGTTGAGGCCCAGGAGAATGCAACGCTATTTTTCCAGATTTTATTGCGGTCAACGCTTGCGTCCAAGTGCGTTACGCTCGAGCATCGCTTGACAGAGACAGCGTTTGAGTGGCTTATGGGTGAAATAGAATCTAAATTTACAAGTGCGCTCGTGTCTGCCGGTGAAATGGCAGGTGTTGTAGGTGCGCAGTCCATTGGAGAACCGGCAACGCAGATGACACTGAACACGTTCCACTACGCCGGTGTGTCTGCTAAAAATGTGACACTTGGTGTACCTCGCCTGAAAGAAATCATGAACATTGCAAAGGAAGTACGGACTCCATCATTACGTATATTCTTGACACCAGATTGTGCACACGATGCTGATAAGGCAAAGTTTATCCAGTCGCAACTAGAATACACGACCTTGGCTGATGTGACAGCAAACACTTCTATTTACTACGATCCGGACCCGATGAATACGGTAGTCGAGGAGGATCAGGAGTTTGTGGCTTCGTATTATGAAATGCCCGATGAAGACACTCCGATCGCTCGTTCCCCATGGCTTTTGCGTATCGAGTTGAATCCAAAGATGATGGCCGACAAAAAGTTGACAATGGGTGAAATTGCTTCACAAGTAGAATCCGAATACGGTCAAGATCTTTCGTGTATTTTTACTGACGATAACGCTGATCGTTTGGTGCTGCGCATTCGTATTATGAGTGACGAAGAGGAGAAATTACAACGATCAGGCGAGGCTACAGTTGGACAGGAGGATGATACGTTTCTGAAGCGTGTGGAGCACAACATGCTTACGCAGATGAAGTTGCGCGGTATTGAGGGTGTGAGAAAGGTATACATTCGTGAAGGACCGTCAACACATTGGTTCGACGATGTTGGTTTCAAGATGATGAATGAGTGGATGCTGGATACGGATGGTACGAACCTTCTTGATGTTATGTGCTACCCACAGGTCGACTCGACCCGGACAATTTCGAATGATATTGTAGAAATCATTCAGGTGCTGGGTATTGAGGCCGTCCGTCGAGCACTTTTGAACGAAATCCGGCAGGTGATTTCTTTCGATGGTGCGTACGTGAACTACCGGCATTTGGCTTGTCTGTGTGACGTCATGACCTTTCGCGGTCACCTTATGGCTATTACTCGTCACGGAATTAACCGCGATGACTCTGGTCCGCTTGTCCGGTGCTCGTTTGAGGAGACTGTGGAGATTCTTATGGACGCAGCAATGTTTTCCGAGGGAGATCCGTTGACAGGAGTATCGGAAAATGTGATGCTTGGACAGTTGGCTCCTCTTGGTACGGGTATAATGGATTTGGTGCTTGATGCGAAGAAACTTGCGAATGCGATTGAGTACGAGGCATCAGAGATTCAGCAGGTGATGCAAGGTCTTGACAATGAATGGAGAAGCCCTGACCAGAGTTTGGGCACACCAATGGCGACTCCGTTCGCATCAACACCCGGTTTTTCTGCATCGTCGCCATTCAGTCCCGGTGGCGGGTCTTTTTCGCCGGTGGCTGGCGCTTTCTCGCCCATGGCAAGTCCAGCTTCTCCTGGCTTTATGGCGGCCTCACCTGCGCACAGCCCTGCGTCCCCGTTAAACCCGACATCGCCTGCGTACAGCCCGATGTCTCCAGCTTATAGCCCAACGTCTCCTGCTTACAGCCCGACGTCTCCGGCTTACAGTCCAACATCCCCTGCCTACAGCTCAACTTCTCCTGCGTACTCGCCTACGTCTCCGGCTTACAGCCCGACATCTCCCGCGTATTCGCCAACGTCGCCAGCTTACAGCCCAACGTCGCCAGCATACTCACCGACGTCACCTGCGTACAGCCCGACATCCCCGGCATACAGTCCGACTTCTCCAGCATACAGTCCGACGTCTCCAGCGTACAGTCCGACGTCTCCAGCGTACTCACCGACGTCTCCAGCGTACTCACCGACGTCTCCAGCTTACAGTCCGACGTCTCCAGCTTACAGTCCGACGTCTCCAGCTTACAGTCCGACGTCTCCAGCTTACAGTCCTACGTCGCCTGCTTACAGTCCAACTTCGCCTGCGTATAGCCCGACCTCGCCTGCTTACAGTCCAACGTCACCTGCTTACAGCCCCACTTCTCCTGCATACAGTCCGACCAGCCCGGCTTACAGCCCCACCTCTCCTGCCTGTACGTCCGCGTATTCACCGACGTCCCCGGCGTATAGTCCGACGTCACCTGCCTACTCACCGACGTCGCCCGCGTACTCGCCGACGTCACCTGCCTACTCGCCGACGTCGCCCGCGTATTCGCCGACTTCGCCGGCATACAGCCCAACATCTCCTGCTTACTCGCCGACATCTCCGGCGTACAGCCCGACATCGCCTAGCTACTGTCCAGCGTCACCAGAATACAACCCAACGGAGGAATATAATTCGACTGCAAGCGGCTACAGTCCGACCGATGGGAATGAAAATGATAAATCTGATGGGAAATGATCGTGTTTGAGCATGTGCTTGCTAGAAGGTGAGCAAGGAAGACGTGACGTTGAATGTTGGAAGAGATACGAGCATCAGTGAGCACGCCACATGCTCATGCATATGTATATCATTCTGTTCATGCATGTGTACATGTGTACATGGATCTGCGTCTATAATAAACGATACTCAAACAAACAACCTTATATCATTGATATCGTGTGGTTTTGGCTTATTCACGGTTTCTGACCTGACAACATGAACATGAAGCACAGTCGTGCAGCATCTAGATACGTGGTGCAATTTGCAACTAGAATTCTCTATTCGGTGAGTGAAATGAGAGCCATCAGTCCAATACCTGCACACATGGCTGCTGCCTCTTTCAGCGACTGAGCAAGTGAACAGTCTTCCAATAGTTCCGGCATGACGCTGGTACATGCGATATAAATGAAGCCTCCTGCCGTAAATGGCGAGATCCACACAGACGTCGAGTCCCCAGCACCTTCCATCAACAAACCAATAACAGTGCCGATCATAGCTCCAATGGCAGTCAGCAGCTGCGTAGCCATAGCCTCGCGACGTGTGAAACCTGACTGGATGAGGATAGCAAAGTCACCAATCTCGTGCGGCAGTTCATGCAAAAGCATCGCCACCGTTGTGGTCCAGCCCGTACCACGAACGAATGTGGCACCAATTGCCAAGCCGTCCGTGAAGTTGTGCGAGAAATCTGCCGCCAAGTTCAAATAACCTGCGGCCGCAATAGGCTGCTTTTTCCCTAGCTCTGTTAAGCACACTAGCTCGTCTTGAGGCGCTTCCTTATCGTCTTTGCAATCCTTGAACGCAGTGCGCTTTCTCGCAGTTGGGGCCTTGCTCGATACCACACTGCCATCCTGTACCGATACGGAAGTATATATGTCTCCATGAGAGTGTCCATGACCACCTCCAGTCTGTGCTCGCACAAACTTCTCGAGCATGAGAAAGCCTAGAAGACCCATAATTGTCCAAAGCCACACATACAGATCCACCATAGAGTGCGAATGACCATGGTCTTCATGTTTGTGTGCATGATCATGGCTATGACGACTTAAATGATCAGGAATTGAGTGCGGAAGCAAATGAAGAAATGCGTCACCTAGCAACCCACCGGCTGCGAAGCTTAGGAAAACGCGCAGCCGCGGCTGCTGCTTCTCTTGACTACCGATGCCTAACGGCACCACAAGTAGCACCAGAACAGGTGCGATACCTACTAGTGCCGTGGCAAAAAGTGCCTGACCCCATACAATTAGCGAGAACCTACCAGCCTTGTGCTCTGCAATAATGCGATCGTTATTGTGATCATCATCATGGTCATGATCATGGTCGTGGCCATGATGATCATTGTGGCCAACGTGTTGGGCATTAGGGTAAGCAGGATCAGCGTCGTAATCCTCTTGAATTTGGGCAGAAATTACTACTGGAATCGCGACATTGTCAGCTGTCGAGAGGAGTGCAGTGTCCAGGAAAGCTACGACTACCAGTAGCAACAGGTGACAATGACCGAGATCTCTCATCTATGAGGAAAGTTAATTTGTGCATCATGAGATGTGATAGGATTGGATGAAATCACACTTTTAATTCAACCAATTTGTAAGACCGATGTCCTAATAGAGCAACGTTGGGTTCAATCACCCAGATTCTCTCAATGTCTACTGTCATTTAGCAACGCCAATGCATTTTTCTCTTTGCTACAACAAAGGCTTGCTGGGTTCAGGACTGATGAGCACAGGTGAGAATTCTATTTGGTAAAGGATGCAAAATTAGGTGATAAAATGTGCATTATGTTGAGCAAGTTAGTAAATGACTGAATGCCATTGGGCGCGTTCGTCAGTCTGATAAACGCTTGAAACAGATTGGCGATTAACTGAGGTACGGAACGCTGTACGTTACAACTCAGACCTCTGGATAAAAGTAATGTACCGACAGGTGTGAGTTAGGTTTGAGTTGAAAGAATGCTGGCTCAATACTGAAGCACTGTGCTTAGAAGATCCGTTTAAACGGCCATTAGGTAAGGGCAACTGCAACAGCAGATCTGGCAGAAGTTGCAATGCTTCTCTAATGTTCCAAGCACAGGACAGTCAGTGGAGGGCGTCATAGCTTGTTTGTCATTGACAGGACGGTGTCACTGGCAGTAAATACGCTGTGAGTACCTTCAAGAGCGCGACCGTGGGAGAAGCATCCCGACCAAATCTGAGAAGAGCCACAGTCGACTCGACTTGGATTGATATCGTTTCTGCCCAATGCGTCTTTTGTAAAGCAAACTACTTCCCTTCGGCAAATTCACCGAGTAGCAACATAGAGCAAAAATGGCGCTTGTATGGTCAATAGTTTCTGTAATGACGTCACTATTGGATGGGGTCAACATTAAGTTAGACCAGACTGGAATAGTTCTTTTGTTGTAAGCTTACGTCACAGACCAGGGTCTTACATGAACTAGCCACAAGGAGCTAAGTCGCTCAGCCAAAGGAATAATATATTATGGGCCCACTTGTCGCCATAGCTCGACAAATAATCTTCGTTCAGCTCGGTACTCTTACTCCTACGTGTGTAACTTGCTTAGAAGCTCCAATTGTTCATATGCTGCGTATTGATTGATAGTATGATCTGTAATCACTTTTATGTGCCTGTCAGCTCCGACGTGTGTCCGATTCAATATTGCTCCGACACCTTCAATTATAACTAGGAGTTCCATTCACTGCCGAGATGCCAAAGGTCCAATAGCAACATGTATCATTTGACTGCAGTATCTACAGCGCAGATTGGTCCCCATCGAATCGAATGCCATCGCATCACCATCACTTCCACGCATTCGTATTTCACATGCCAGACATTCGGTTCGCATAACTTCACCTGGGGCGGCAATGGCCGGTCCAGTGTGTGAGATCGGAGACGAAATCGATCCCATGTCACGGGCCCATCTCACCTTGCTAAAGATTGCCACTTCGGCGACACCACTCACTTAATAACCAGCTGTCAACCACTACCACATCAGGTCGAACGCGGCTTCGCACGGATCGGATCATCATTTCTCATTTCATCGCGTCGCACGCAACAGCACGAGTAGACACTTTCGAAAACTCCAAGTACAAGTTCAACTCCATTACCACCATGCTATCGATGCTTGCCCACCCTCTGTCGCCTCAGACCAGCAATGCCATAGTATGTAGCGTCTACGAAGGCATCGTCACGCAAACGTCGACGGTCATGGATCGACCTTTTGTGTGCGAGGAGCCTGGCTGCGGTCGTCGCTTTAACCGCAAGTTCACGCTCACTGAGCACAAGAAAACGCACACAGGCGAGAAGCCTTACGTGTGTCCGCTGGTCGAGTGCAGCCGGCGCTTCAGCACGTCGGGCAACCTGGCGCGCCACAAGCGCCTCCACGCCTCGCTCAAGCCTTTCGAGTGCGACATCAATGGCTGCAAGCGGTCGTTTCCCAGCCAGGAGAAGCTTGACCACCACATCAAGATTCATACCGGTCGAAGGACGCACATGTGCCACTTGCCCGGCTGCACCAAGACCTTCAGTACGGCAGGAAACCTTACGCGCCATATTAAGAACCGTCACGTGGAGCTCATTCGGCACACTATTCCATCCTATCAGAGCACACGGACTCCCGTCGAACATCAGCTCGTGCTACAACCACATAATCTGCCGATCTCTTCGGCAGGATACTTCCATGCCCCTTTCCCTGGCACAATACCGTCTGCTGAGCAGTTGACAAAGATCGGGCCCGTGTCGCCAGTCTTTTCACCAGACTCTGCGGTGCTGTCGTCGTCTCATGACGAGTTATCATCGGCCTTCCAGATGACATGCGAACCATTTCTACAGTGTTTTATTTCAAAACCACGTGATATGGATCCAATGGTGGAAAACGTCGTAGGTGACATTGCCCGGTGCAGCATGAGCGTGCTGGACGAGGTTATCGAGTTTGAGCTCACCAAGAACGTCTAAGGGGTGTAAAAGGTTGTAATTGAGTATTTCCGTATAATTGAGACTAAGCTAAGTACATGAATGTAAACTTCTATCATCATCATCGACGTCACTACTGATGAAATGCTACATGCATTTTCACAAACGCTTACCAACGCGCAGCCACGGCCGGGTTTCGAGTACGTCGACGTTAGCCAGGACAGAATGCAACCGTTCGCTTGTACCGTGTACTGGACACCCTGGTACCGCATGGTAGTACTGCAACATCCCCGCCTTGAACTGCATGGGCATGAGTACGATCAAATCGAGGCCAAGCTCTCACTATGCAGGTGTTATCCTGCTCTGTTCCTCGACTTGAAGTTACCTTTGGAAAGTTGCCAAGTATACTGGATGTGTTCTACCAAGCTCTTGCACCAAAATCTACACACGTAATACGTGCATAGTAAGCCGTTCATGCAACTCTCGACGCGAGAGACGGCCATCGGAGTGGGCTTCTGAAATTTCATCTGTAAGATCACGCTCGTGATTCATTCCTTTGTAGCTCCTAAGGGTTATACCAGCGCTTATCAGTGTATAAAATGAATGAGCTGCCCTACTTCTAGGCTGTCCACCCGAGCAAGACCCCATGAGTTATAACCATAGCGTCTAATTCTTGACGAGTTCGCCGTCAGTGGAGACAAGTTCAACCTGACGGTGCATTCGCTCAAGGCTCGACCAGAAGGTCCAATCATTTAAAACGGAAGCTATAACTTGAAAGGGACTTCAATGCTCAGTCGTCTTTTGCTTCGCAAATGACCGTATGGAATCGAATATAACGAGTAGATGCAAATCCATGTTGCCAGAACTTCAAACTGACAGGATCAGGCGCGGCACTATTTTTATTTTAATACATGTGGTCACAGATGACTATCATATCTGAGAAGTTGCACCTCAGGTTGAACTTGTCTCCACTGACGGCGAACTCGTCAAGAATTAGACGCTATGGTTATAACTCATGAGGTCTTGCTCGGGTGGACAGCCTAGAAGTAGGGCAGCTCATTCATTTTATACACTGATAAGCGCTGGTATAACCCTTAGGAGCTACAAAGGAATGAATCACGAGCGTGATCTTACAGATGAAATTTCAGAAGCCCACTCCGATGGCCGTCTCTCGCGTCGAGAGTTGCATGAACGGCTTACTATGCACGTATTACGTGTGTAGATTTTGGTGCAAGAGCTTGGTAGAACACATCCAGTATACTTGGCAACTTTCCAAAGGTAACTTCAAGTCGAGGAACAGAGCAGGATAACACCTGCATAGTGAGAGCTTGGCCTCGATTTGATCGTACTCATGCCCATGCAGTTCAAGGCGGGGATGTTGCAGTACTACCATGCGGTACCAGGGTGTCCAGTACACGGTACAAGCGAACGGTCGCATTCTGTCCTGGCTAAAGTCGACGTACTCGAAACCTGGCCGACCCTTAGCTGATTCATCATACGAAAGTAGAGCAACTACACGTTAAGTATGGTGAATACAAATAGTGCAGGTCATCTGAAAGGCCGAAACTGTCATGTTTCAATCTAGGCAGCTTGTTAGCATTGCTATCTTGTTCACATTGACTTGCTATCCAACGACTCAAGGAAATGATGTGTTTGTCCCGGTTTGTATGTCATTGGGCCCAAAATGTGCGCGAGCGTATCGCTGTTCAGAGAGTGTGGCAATCAGATCGGACGCCAGCTTACAGAATAAAGAGCAGTTGAAAAAAAAACACATTCGGCTGTAAACTTTGTGCTTCGTTGCGTCGGTCGTTTTGTCATGCTCAATGGATGAAGCATGGAATCTGGACTGGCCACGTACACTATGAGACTCTTGGACGACCAGTACTCAAATACTGATCAGTTTGCCACTGTTGTGTTCCCGTCATAAAATGTTACCGCTGTCATGTCGTCACAGTATCCACTAAAAAAGCTGACGGAGCTTACAGATTGCGTGCTGCCTACTATGAATGAAGCGCTCGTAGATTTGTGCGCAATTCACATATAGTCATCATCGAACTTGGCAGTGAGCGAGGAAAAGTCCACATAGGCAGTGGGAAACTCACGACTAACAAGTCGTGTGGACGTGAGGAAACAGGAGCGTTTGTTCAAAGGACTACAGACAGCGAATGAGAGGATGACAAAGACGAAAAGCGCACCTGCTCATGTTAGCGCGCAGAAGATTACTAGTGTGTTTGAAGAATGTGGTGGCGTGCCTCACTACGAACCCAACTCGCTCGATGCAGATTGAAGGCTTATGGATTGTGGATTTGAACAATATTACGGTCAATATGGTATCGTTGCCAAGCTGTGCTTCCTGCACGAGCATGTGCTCAGTATTTGCTATATCTGGGTGGATTCTCAAGAGTACTAGTATCTTTGCACTGCAACAACTGTATCGAAAGTTCACGGCGTTTTGTCAACGGCTGTCTACGACAGACACCATCAGAGACTTAATTGTCAACCATCTATGAGTTATAGGCAATCAAAACGTACCGAGGAAAAATGACTCATGAACCCGTTTGGAAAGGACATTCTGCTAACATCTCTTAAGTCGAGTCTCTCGTGGCAGAAAAAAACGAGAAATTGTGTACATTCGGGACAAGAGGAGGCTAACAGTATGTTTGAGTGATGCTTGCTGACAAGTTGGTCGGAGAAAGCGTATGAGCGAACAAACTTTGGTGTCAAGTTGGCAGCTCATGTGTCGTTCGTGCCACAAACTAATGCAGAACGACACTAAGCTGTCAACTTGACACCAAACTGCACTAATTACCGTACTATGTATGAGTCAACTAGTGTTGCGATCCAAACTGGAAGAACTTGTGTAATAACCTAGAAAGGACGCTTTGTCTTATCTGCAAACATTCTCGGACGCACAACGTGTTCACGTCATTTGCGCATAGACAAAGCTTCTACTTGACGAGATGGTGTCGACAGGATTGTTTCAATAGTGGGTTATTTGTCAAAAGTCTTAAAGTCACGGACTTCTTTTTGAGAAAAAAACCCAGGCTTGTCAAAACTCGATACTTGAGAAACAATATAAACCATGCATCATTGGGACAAACTGACGTAGCTTTTGACCTGAAACGTGCCATTTTGATATTTGCCACCTCGTTCCTACTGCGTCATTCCAGAAGCAGAAACTTTCACTCTATACACACATCAAGATGGTCACTGCTGGATACATTACGATGCGTACACCTATTGCCAACAAGGGACTTGCGTTTACAGAGGAACAGCGCAAACAGCTTGGTCTACGTGGTCTGCTACCGGCTGCCGTGTCAACGACTAAACTCGAGACTGAGCGTGCCATGGCCGCTATCCGTCGTAAGACATCGCCCATTGAAAAATACATTTTTATGCAAAGCATGCAAAATGCCAACGAGGATGTTTACTACCGGATGCTCATTGAGCACACATCGGAATTAATGCCGATTGTATACACGCCAACGGTTGGTCAAGGTTGTCAGGAGTTTAGCCACAACTATTTGCAACAGCCACGTGGTCTCTTTATCTCACTAAACGACATTGGTCACATTGCTGAGATATTAGACAATTGGCCAGAAAAGGACATTCGTGCCATCTGCTTTACGGACGGTGAGCGTATCCTTGGTCTAGGTGATCAAGGGGCTAATGGCATGGGTATCCCCATTGGTAAATTGTCGTTATACACGGCATGCGCCGGTGTACCACCTCACATGTGTCTACCAGTTGTACTTGACTGCGGAACGAACAATGAGAAGTACTTGGCCGATCCATTCTACATTGGTCTGCGCCAGAAACGCGAGCGCGGTGAAAAGTTTGAGCAGCTTGTGGAGGAGTTCATGGACGCCGCAAAGACCAAGTATGGCAAGAGAGTTTTGCTACAGTTTGAAGACTTTGGCAACTCGACTGCCTTTAACTTGCTGCGCAAGTACCAAAACACTCACTGCACATTCAATGACGATATCCAGGGCACGGCCTCTGTGGTTCTTGGCGGTTTGCTTGCTGCTGTTCCACTATCAGGCAAGTCCATCTCGGAGCAAACCTTTTTGTTCTTTGGCGCCGGTGAGGCCGGCACCGGCATTGCTGAACTAATTGCTCAAGCTATAGCCACGGAGACTGGAAAGTCTATCGAGGAGTCTCGTAAGCAGATCTGGCTTGTGGATTCACAAGGTCTGATTGTAAATTCACGTAAGGAGTCTCTGCAGCACCATAAGCTCATGTTCTCCCACGACGCCTCCTTTTGCCCGAATCTGCTGTCGGCCATTGAGCAGGTCAAGCCAACTGCTCTTATTGGTGTGTGCACTATAGCTAAGGCCTTCAACAAGGAGGTGTGTCAAAAGATGTGTGAGGCCAATGAGCACCCAATCATCTTCGCTCTGAGTAACCCAACGTGCAAGGCCGAATGCACGGCTGAAGAAGCTTATACGTTTACGGACGGCAAATGCATTTTTGCAAGCGGTAGCCCATTCGATCCAGTTGTCTACAATGGGAAGCGTTACGTGCCTGGCCAGGGCAACAACTCGTACGTGTTCCCCGGCATTGGGCTGGGAATTGTAGCGGCTGGTCTCACCCATGTCGACGATGAGATGATGGTCATTGCTGCAAAGACGCTGGCAAGTATGATCACCCCTTCCGACCTAGAGTCTGGCTGCGTCTATCCGCCGTTGTCCTCTATCCGCAACGTCTCACTTAAAATCGCTGAAGCTGTCGCTGATTACGGATACAAGAAAAAATTTGCCACGGTTCCCAAGCCAGAGAACTTGACCCAGTTCCTGAGCAATTTCATGTACAATCCTTAAGCGCTCAAAGCTTGCGCTGCAGTAGATCGTGGCACAAGCGCCTCTGAAGAGAAGTGGTCGATATTTCGTTGTTGTTATCGGATACGCTCTCTTCAGTGGTATTTCGCGTCAATGTAGGCATACAACGAACAAATTTGAGACGTATATAGCTGCGAGCGTCGTGCATAAATCTATATGTAACTTGATTTAGCATTGCATGAGGTGAAATACAAACAGGTTGATCTCATGGTCTTGCAACAAATATCAAGCATTAGTTAGTGCTTTATCCGTTTATATTAGTTCATCATTATTTGATTAAAGTATGGTCGTGGATTTCATAGTATTATTAAAAACAATGGTTCAAGTAGCAAAGGCACTCACTGGTACAAATGCAGCGTTATCACCGCGAGCACTTATGAAGCTACAGGCACAGATTCAGGCAATGGTACAATGCCTTAATTGTCCTGGTGGACCCTGGTATCTACGCATAGTAATGAATTGAAAAGGACCAATTGCATTTAACAGCAATGAATGTCTTTTACTTGTCACATGTCACTTGATCATGTTGTTATCACTAGGGACGTAGGTGTTATGCTCACAACTACCAGCCATATCCAGAAACTTAACCGCAAGTTTCGGAAGAAAGATAAAGCCACTGATATCTTGTCCTTTCCATGCCATAAAGTAAGGAAATGAATGCTATTTGTAAAGTACTTTCGTATCAATAGTTGGGGCTAATGATATTCAGGTTCGTGCTCCAGGACGGTTCCCGCGTGTCAAGAAGAAGGAAGAACGCTATCTAGGGGACATTTATATCAGTCCAGCGTACATTCAACTTCAGTGTAAAGACGCAAAGTTTGAGGATGTTACGACGTTGGAGAAGCGATTGCCCGTGCTAATTGCACACGGACTTTGCCATTTATTAGGGTGAGAATCGTCTCAGGATGAGAAGAGCAGTGTCTTTATATTACACTCGACTGATGAAAAGCTATTTGTTTTTCATTATAGATACGACCATGAGCAAGACGTTGACTATGAGCACATGCAACAGGCGGAGACTTTTATCCTCAACCACTACGGAAAGTTCCTTCCGCCTGCATTTGCTACTATCAGCACATCAGCTTCAGTAACCCGTACAGACACAATGTAGTGTATTGTTCGAATTAAATGGCATGAAGATTGTTGCGCGGCAGTAATTTCAGCTTTGGCAATCGATGAATTATCAAGATATTGGAAAGAGATACTAGTGTCTTTTTCAATCGGCAAGAAGCTATCTTGCCAGACCGGAGACGCGGACATTGAGGAGCCCGATAAGGAGGTAAGACATGATCCTCTAGTTTCGACCCTCGACCATATCGTATACCACGGTAGTAGCCGTTTTCATGATCATTGTTGTGAAACTGGCGTGAATGAACCGCGCCACGAAACCCGTCGTGCCGAACGCCAGCACTTTGTTGATACCACCAGCACGGTATTGCTGCCGAAATAGTTCCACCACCGACACCTTTTCACCGGCCTTGGACGCCTGTTGGATCTGCGCCACCAGCACATCCATTGGCAGCGTCACCGCGGCGCTAACCACACCACCCAAAAGTGACGAAAGAACCTGCTCGCTTGTTGTTAGTACGCGCTCGGGATTACCACGCTTGTACACAACATTCTCGGCCTGCACCGAGAAGAAGAAGCGCGTGGACCAGTCAGCCACACGCTTGAGCGAGAACATGCCTGATCCTTTCATGAGCGCAGCTACGCCTTCCTTTTGAATGACCTTAATACCGATGCGCATGGAGCGCGACATTGTTTCAAGTGGCGTCATGTGCTTACGGAAAATGGGGTCAGTCATTACGCGTGTTTTGAGCAACAGTGTGGGGCTGAGCACGAAACCCTGGAACCCACCACCAATGCCACCTGCAATAACCTCCGACGTGCCTTTACTAATCTTGTCATTCATGACCATGGGAGTAAGTGCAGTACGTGCGATAGAGTGACCCCAAGCAAAAACAGATCCCTTGGCTACTCCTTGCAAAGCGCCCCATGGTAAAAAGCCGTCCCAGATACCTACAAGACCTTTGGCATGCATGATCTCCTTGGTTAAATATACGTATGAAAACTGTGGCTTTGTCTGCTTCATAATTTTAATGAATTCAAGGTAATGACCTAATGCAAATTCATACGCGAGGCAAACACTAGCACCCACAAGCAGCTTCACACCTGCCTTTTCCGTTTTTGCTTCCTTCTTCGTGCTTAATGCAAGAATATTTTGACATGTATTTGATGTCAATGGATGATATGTAATGGTCGAATGTTTCTTCTTTTGCCATAGAATGGAGCCACATAGAGTACTAGTAGTAAGTAAAGGGAAAGGCATATGAAGAGAGAGAAGCGAGAGAAGAGCTTTGAATGGAGGTTTGAAAATGATTTGAACAAGAGTTAGCTGACTAGAAAACCGGTAAACTGGTACTTGTCCTTTGGATTTAAGGTGGATTGAAAAGATAGTACCAATCAAGCGACGTGTATCTTCTAGCAGTCAGCAATTATTTCGGTACATGTTGTTGCATGTAATAATCGTTTTGAGAGATTAGGATACATACCTCTGCAATGGAACGAATGACGCATTGTATTGCTGTCTTACATTATACGTAATATATATCGACAGTCAAGACATGCTTCATCTTACTTTGTATCACTATATCAAATAGTACGTAGGAAACAAGCACTGTGTTTTCATGGATTAGTAGTATTGCTTGAGAACAATCACATTGCGATAATAATCGACTGCCCCTTGTTTTCAGTCCAATTATTGAACAAGCATTCAGTAAGAAGACAAAATACTGACAAATTTCACTTTTCTGCATGCAACATTCTTCATGGCAGACGAAGATAGGCAATTAGTACTCGATGTATGATAAATAATCTTCCGCCCTTTGATTCCGTGCACAAAAGATGTTAATTGATAGTCAAGAGTCTCTAGCACCGAAATCGCTTCATAGTAAAATGAAATGAAAAAAACTTCAAGACCTTTTTTGAAACAATGGGTCAAACATTTCCGAAAAAACAATCAATCTAATACAGATCGTATGTCTCAAATAGGTCATGTAGTACCCTAAAAAATGAGCATTTTATCATTCAAAGAGGCACTTGCAATCTGCAAACACACGATTCAAGTATCATTTTCATGTTGCATAGTAAAACCTAGCTCAAACGTACTGTAAAGATAGCTCTCTTTTCTAACATTGTCCCATTGTAATCTATTTCTAGTCTGAAACTCGTCAAGAAAAAGCAAAACAAATTTATCGATTCAGTCCGTCCGTCCGTTTGTTTGTACATTCATCTCACTCATTCGTCAAGTCAGTAGAGCAAGAGTGTAAAGTAAAGAGACAGCAAGAGACAACACGAGACAGCAAGAGAGAGAAGGAGCAGAAGCAGAAGAAGAACTTGAATGGATTCATTTACAATCATGACAACAGCAACAACAAGTGCGACGACTGAAGTTCCAATCGAAGGACGTGATGTATTACTTGGTGTTTTATCAACTAATAACAATATGAATCCAACGACGACTAGTACTACGACTAGTATTCGTACTATGGATAATAATATCCTAATGGATACGTTATCATCATCATCGTTAACAACTACACATACAACATCTCCTGCTTTGATTCATGAAGTTCATTGGGAAGGATATGTACGAAAGAAAGGAGATTGGTTACCACGTTGGGAAGAACGATATTTGATACTAGATGGAGCAACACTGACGTATTATAATTCAAAAGAAGAAGCTCGTAGTGCACGAAATTTACGTGGTCGTATGATTATTAGTAAAGTTCGTTCTGAGAATTATGGGAAAGCGCATGGATTTTTACTGGAAACACAAGGTCATAAACATTTTCACTTGTGTTGTTCAACCGAGTTAGAAAAGGATATGTGGGTGGAAATGATGCAGGCTGCAATTGCAGAAGGTGTACGACATAGTACTCATGGAACAAGTCTTTCAATGGAAGGGATTGAAGTGTTGCAAATGCAAATGCAAACGTCACCAACTCAAGTGGATCTTCGTGGGTTTTATTTTGCTTTTCGTCAACTTCTCATTTCACACTCATCCTCACCACAGTTCTTCCCGAAACTCTCACGAGATATTGTACTTACGTCAAATTATGCACCCACTGTGCCTTTTTGGGGAGAGTATCATGGGCTTGACGGTGTGCTGCACTTTTTTTCCATCTTGTATGAGACTGTGGAAATCACATCCTTTTTTGTAACGGATATTGCCCAAGCAAAGGAAGGATGTACCGCCGTAGTAGCTGGACGGGAAACCATGAAGAATCGAGAAAATGGACGCAAGTTTACACAGCAGTGGCAGCACACGATTGAGTTTGCGCCCGACGGACGTGTCAAAAGTCTGACCATCTCGGCTGACCCCATTGCTGCCTCGGCGGTTTTTGGCTGCAGTGCTACGTCGAGTTTGTCACTACCGATGGCTGCAGTTGTTGGCAACACGGTCCACGACAATCCCGCAGGAAAACTTCACGTCGTTGTGTTCCGCGGCGAACAGATTTCGGACCAGGGCTTTATTGATGATTCAGAGCAGACGGATAGATTGGAGGCTGACGACGAGAAGCGACCGTCGAACCGTCGTGTGTTTTTGGGGCTACGTTTGGTGACAGATGGCAAGACTAATGTGTATGCACCGACCACGTCCGCGAACTGCGTGGCGCGAACACGAACATGCGACCCAGATGAATCACGGGATCCCAAGTGGAATTCCAAGCACGATATTCCATTTGTTGGATCTTCCAGAGGTAAGCCGTGTTTCATTTTGATTGAAGCATGGGAAGTCATGGACAGCAATGGATCTGGTGAAGCCTCAGAACGTGTAATTGGTGTTGCCAAGGTAAACCTTGCACCGTTTCTAGCGCTTGCCAGTACATCGCGAACGGTTCGGGAAAGTGTTATTCACTCCGATATTGCTCGTGGCGCTGTGCCGCAATGGTATACACTGCTATCTGCAAGCGAGACAAAGTTTACGTGTGGACGAGTCCAGCTCAGTATTAGTTTTGAAGCCTCTGTGGCCTCGTTTGCTGCGATGTCTCGCTCGAACCTTGCTGTTGCATCGCGAAGCGGTACTGATGGGAACTCGCCTGGTTTGGATTCAAATGCACCGACGCCACTGGTTCACCCGTCAGGGGCAATCGTGCAGTCGATGAGCCACCGTGTTGCGTTAGCTCGTGGTTGCTCTTTCCGCGATACAAAGCGGGACAATCACCAATTTCGAGTTGGCAACACAAACTTTGATGTACCAAGGCGCTATCAAATGATTAAGGCTGTGGGTCAAGGCGCATATGGCTGTGTGATTGCTGCTAGTGACACGGAGACAGGTCAGGCACTCGCTATCAAGAATATTCCAAATGCTTTCAACGACCTCATTGACGCAAAACGCATACTTCGGGAAATTCGTCTCATGCGCCATTTGAATCACCCAAACTTGGTGAATTTGCTTGACTTGCTTCGTCCAGCGACTCTACAAGAGTTTAACGATGTTTACATTGTGACAGATCTTATGGAAACTGACCTGCACCGTGTCATTCACTCGAATCAATCGATCAGTGACGACCACGTGCAGTACTTTTTGTATCAGATGCTGGTCGCTATTAACTACGTGCACTCGGCTGAGGTGCTTCACCGTGATTTGAAGCCATCCAACATTTTGGTCAACTCAGATTGCGATCTGAAGCTGTGTGATTTTGGCCTCGCTCGTGGTATTCAGGGTATGGACTCTGGTCTTACCGAATATGTCGTTACTCGCTGGTACCGCGCCCCGGAGTTGCTGCTTTCATCGAGGTATGACAAGCAAATGGATGTGTGGGCCATTGGATGTATTCTTGCTGAGATGCTCGGGCGGCGGCCTCTTTTTCCTGGTCATGACTATTTGCACCAGCTAAAGATTATAATGGACGTTATTGGCTCGCCGTCAGAGGACTCACTGGATTTCATTACTAATCCGAAAGCAAAGCGGTTTATCTTACGCCAGCCTAAGAAGCCCAAGGTGCCGCTCTCGTCCGTGTATCCGCGTGCAACTCCGCAATGTCTTGATTTACTCGAGAAGATGCTAGTGTTTGATCCGCGTAAGCGTATTACAATCCAGGAGGCTCTTGCACACCCGTACTTGAGCTTGGTGCGCGATCGATCTGTGGAGAAGACATGCCCTTCGTCGTTTGATTTTGCATTTGAGAATGCAGACTTGACCAAGCAGAAGCTACAGGAACTTATATTTGAAGATGTGTGTTCATTCCATCCGCTTGCTCGTATTCCTGATCCGGTGCTTTCCGCTGCCGCTTCTGCAGTGGGCCATGCCTCGAGTCGATCATATGGCCACTCTAAAGCTGACTTCACCTCGGCTTCAGGTTCAGGGAGGCCGAATGCACCGTCTTCAGTCTCTGCTCCAGCCGTTGTATCCCCTGCTGCTACTGTAACATCTGTGGCTGTGCCACCTGCACCGGTTTCTCTTGTGGCATCGGCAAGTCTGCTAGTCCCAGTACAGAATATTCCAGTAGTAAGAGAACCTGTTCGTGTTGAACAACTTCCAGTTGAAGCACAATCGGATTCAGTTGTAGCACTGGACCCAAATGCGACTTTTGCTCACGATTCCCGGGCTTCTGAGACTCCTCGAGATGCTTTGGCAACACCAGGACTAAGCCCAACGAAAGCACCAGTGTCGTTGCCTGCTTCGTTACCTCCGATACCAAATCTGTTTGTCGAACCCATGGAACATAAATCAGCATTGATCTCTGAGGACGATCGAAGTGCTCAAGCAGAAGTTGCCATCGAGATTGTGCAGACGCCTCCTCGTATTGTCGAGGTATTGTCAGAAGAAGAAGCATCAGTAGAAGCAGCAGCTTCTTTTGATGATATTGGAAGCACCTCCATTCACAATATATCAGTAGCAGACGCCGTGGCCATTGCCGACGAGAGTGAAGCTACCGACCGTGACGCACCTAACAGCACAAGCACAAGTAGCAGTGGCAGCAATGGTGAGGGTGAGCTTGCAGATGCCCATGAGTCAGACAGAGAAATTGACTTGCTGACCTCGCCGAAGAAGCAAGTGCTGCAGCAGGCCGAATCCCTCCTGACGCCATCGTCGGTAGTATGAGTCCAAGGGTTAAAACTGATGGATGTCCGTGGTGATTGAAACAAGAGTGTTGTCGTGTGTTCTTCTCGAGGTTGGCTTTTGATTACTAAAACATAAACTATACGATACGCACGAGTCGGGCCCGATAAGTGTCATGCAAGACATGGGCGAACGAACAACAGCAGATGAGTGCACTACTATCCGAAGTTGGCGGTAAGAAGCCTGCAAGGAAGTTGGAAAGAGTACGGCGTAGAGAACCGAACAAAATGAACTCGATGCTTTTTGTGTGCGAGCCAGTGATCATTGTCACCCAGCATTGAACATATCCATAGTGTATCTGTTTATTTCTTGATTCCATCATAGCTACACATAGTAAGCACTATGACAACACAAGGCTGCAAAAGGCTGTAGCTAAGTGGGTCAAGCATTCACATTCATGCAAAGAGTCGAGAGAAAGCAGCATGGAAAACCATTTGCTTGAATCATTCAAGTCTCATATTTGAATTACTTCAACTGGAAGAAAGACAATACTACGCATGTGGGTTTCGTAGTACAAGAATGACCGAGTCACCACGCAAAAACATTTTGCTCACAAATCGATCCTTGTTTACAGGTTTCGCAGCCTTCTTGCCTTTGCCTGATTTCGGTACTTCTGTCCACATTTCCTTGACATTCTCCAGCACCATGTTACAATGACGATCAAATGCTTTGACACGTGCCAATAGTTTGTGGTTATTGCGCACATTAATAAGTACTTGGGAGTTATTCTTGACACTATGCATCAAAACAGATAGTGGACCCTTTTGGAATTCCTCTTCGTTCTCTTGGACGCGTTTAAATTCACTTTCTCCAGTACTTTAGCACAATAGTGGAACAGCAATAGAAGAAAGAGAAAGGTTAGGCGTTTTTTCTAGTTAGATGCATTGTTGTTTCTATGGTAGAATAGATACACCAAGACACTTAGACATTTACATACTGTACCTGGTCATGATGAATGTGTATGGAATCGGTTAAGGGAATGATTGGGAGCTTTTCATTTTCGTACTTAAAAAGAAACACCTCGTAGATTTCTCCAAGTGTTACGAAAACAGAACGTGGTATCTACTTTTTCACGAGTATTACACGTGTTATTTTGGAACACTCTTCCATGTAAAATGCCTTGATTCTTGGCTCACTCCATGCCTAAAAGTTAATCTAATCAAGATCCATCTTTTCAGCAGCGTCCTTCTCGTCAGTAGCAGGTGCAGCTTCGGTTGGCTCTGGAGCAACTGCTGTCTCCACCTTTGGTAACGGCTTCGGCTTGGTTGTGATCGGAAGAGCTACCGCTCGCACAGCCACAATCTTGCTACGGATGGAAGCCGATGTAAGCACCGGAGCACTCGTCGGGTCCAGCTCTGCTTGCTTCGAAAGACCGTCAAACAGCCACGACTCGGCGTCAACGCATGTCTGGCGAAGTTTCGTCTTCTCATCCTCAGTCCAGTGCGAGTACGCGTCGTCGCCCGAATTGACCATGCGCTTGTATTCTTCAAGCACAGACGTCAACTCAGCCTGAGCAACAGAACGTTCCGTGCTCTCCGTCTGACGGAACTCCACTGGCGAAGTTAGCTTGCGCAAGTCGTCCAGCTTTTGCTGATACGCTGACTTGGTGCTGTCAAAGCCTTCATCCGTGTACAGCCAGTCCTCCGTCTCAATTAGCTTCGTTTCAACGTTGCTCTTCTCATTGCTAGTGATGAAGCCAGCTAGCTTGTTTGTAATCTGGTTACGCATCTCGTATACAAAGCTCTCCAGCTCATTGCGCTTGTTAAACGTCTCCTCAATCACACGGTCCTGCTGCGCCATCTTTAACTCCTGCTCAGTGGCAGAAGACACATCAGCACTCGACAGACCACTGACCTGTGCGTGCACAGAAAGCTCAATCTTGCGGAAACGCTTCTTCTTGGGCTCAGCGGGCTTGTCCTCCTTCTTGTCTCCACCCTCCTTAATTTCGTCTTCCTTTTTCTCATCGCTTTCGGCCTCAGCAGGTTTCTCCTCCTCCTTGATTTCCTGCATCAGCTGCGAAGACGCCACCGAAAACAGACCATTCATGTCCTGCTGCACATTCACGCGGATCTTGGCAATCTCGGAGCCAGCCTCCTGAGTAGGCATACCAGAGACCGTATACTTGCCAATGTCCATAACATAGTCAGAAGGCAGGTAAGCCTTGGCCGACTCGTCGTACGCAGCGTCAATAGAGAACGGCTTGTCGCGGCGAAACGTAATCCGTTTTGTCTTCGGGTACTCGTCCTTGCGGGTAAAGATCACCAGCGCGTTGTCTTCTGAAGACGGAACCTCCATGTTCACGTCCTCGTCATCCTCAGCAGCGTCCGTAGCACCCGAGGCACTACCATCCCACGATACGCGCACGGGAAAATGCACACGATCCGTGACGCTGAACTCCTTCACTTTAAACATGGGCGACAGGATAGCGCAATTGAGGGCACAACCACGGGCCACTGACTCATCGGCATTCAAAGTCGTGCTCAGGCCGTAATTTTGCTGTTCCTTGTCTAGACCCAACACTTCTGCAATGTGGCGCTTGACGCTGCTTACGCGGGTGCCACCACCCACAATTTCCACATTAGCTAGCTGCGACTTCTCGACGCCAGCGTCGGCAAGAGCACGTTCAATGGGTCCATCCAGGCGTTCCAAAAGTGGAGCAATAAGCTCCTCAAATTCTTCAAGTGTCACCTGGGCATTGTAATCACGATCATCTGCTAGACACTCAATGTTCATGTGCGTAGCTGAAACACCGTACGGACTGAGGTTCTTTTTGGCTTTTTCACATGCTGAGAGCAATTTAATCCGTGACTTGGAATTATCCATTGGGTTTGTCTTGTATTTCTCAGCAAACTTAGCAGCTGCGTCCTTGGCAATCGCTAGATCAAAGTCACGTCCACCTAGAAACCGATCAAAGGCAGCAGACTTGACCGTAAGACGACCTTGCACAAATGCAACAATTGCAACGGTATAACTAGCATGCCCCAAGTCAATAAACATGACATATTGAGGATCGGTCTCATGAAATAGATTACGAGCTGACTTGTAGATTCCATAAGCAAGTGCAATTGCTGTATGTTCATTCATAAGACGTAGGCAATTCACTCCTGCAATCTTTGTTGCATTCAAAAGAGCACGACGTTGTACATCCGTATAGAAACCAGGACATGATAATACACAATAGGCTGGATTCATGCCATTATTCGCACTTGCTGCAATATTCTGCATCTTGTTTAGTATCATTCCAACCACTTGTTCACATGAAAACGTCACAGGTTCGTCATTATACTGGAGTACAATCCCCACTTGACCATTGGCAAGTTCAACACATTCATAACCAAGTTGCGCAATCTCTTGTTGAACTTCCTTTTGTTTATATTTACAACCAATCAAACGTTTGACATCCGTCGCTGTATTTTTCGCATGCATTCTTGCCATACTAATGGCTGCTTCGCCAATAAACCGTTGTTTCCCTTGGATACAAACGAGATTGGGATTTTTACGATTCGAATTTTCATTCAGGATAATATCAATACCACCACGTTTTGCTTGCCCAATGACGCAATCAACGTTACCAAAATCAATACCAATAACCGACATGATATCTTCCTATGTAGTAGTATGATTAGATTGGGTTTTACTGCTGCGTTTTGCTTTTGGTTGTTTTGGGAAAAAGATTGTTTTTTCAAAATGAACAAGAGGGAGAAAGAAGGATAGAAATGGTTTTTTATTTCTATTTATTCTGACGACATGAAAGTGCCACGAAGTTGCTACTTTCAAGATAAAAAGAATTCTAGAATGTTTATTTACTAAAGAACCTGTATAGATTAATATACATGTGACATTTCATGTCATAATTCAGTATGACAACATCAAATACCTTGTAGCATGACGTTTTCTTGCAAAATTTAATTATTATACCGAAATTGCCCTAAATAAAAGTTGACTGGTTGGTAGCCAGCCACTCTCAAGCTCTCGAACTTTAAAGTAACTTTGCTGTAATGAACATGATTATCTAACCATGGTTATTATACCGGTGAGTTTTGTCATGTTACAAGTGCTACTTCTATACTGATTTGAGGTAGCTACAATTAGAACATGCAGTAACTTGCATCCACGTGTCAAGAAGGTTCTCGAATTTTATGCGAGCGTTGCCGTCTCTGACTTTTTCTCGAGTCTAGTTATGACAGCACGATGACGTCGCTCATTGTTGCGTTGTGCAACATAAGACAGCACTTTTCTACATCTTGTTCTTCTTACCCATTCTTGACCTTGCGTTGGTTGCAAGCCACAAACTTACTTCAGACACCACATCTGCTACTTCAATGTCTTATCTGAATATACTGCAAGTTTTTAAATCACGTGCTCCCAGGCACTATGCCTCATGTTGCATCGTGACCCACCGGCGTCAGATTCACTCGAGTCACCGAGTCGTAATTAGTAGCCTCTTTGTTGTTTATTAGCAGTATCTAGACTATTAGCAAAATACAGAAAATTGTGACACCACAAGCTTCAAATTACGTAAAACGCACAAAATTATTCGGAGGTGATGAGTGTATAGCGTACAAACGTTTGGAGGTAAGGTATAAGTTACGGCACTTGGATCATGAGACACAATGTATCAATAAATATTACAGTGAGGATATGAAATAGACAAGTGAGTCGACGCCAATGATGTGATTTCCAGTTTACAATGATCGCTAGCATTAATTGAGCCGTTTGAGCAGTAAATCATGTGTAAGGTAACAACTGCTATACGCAGCATCGACGTAGTATTGACGGATTTTGAGAAAGTTACAGTGACCCCCATGTTTACTCTGTGTGTGCCAAATGCTACGTTGTCTTTTGACTCCTTCAGCTTGCTGCAACATAAGAGCTTCAAGTTAGCAATCAAATCAACGTCAGACTCAAGTAGCAAGACGATTATTGTACAAGCAAACGGTCAGGTCAAGCAAGCATCGGTGTAGAAGTATCAACAGCAAATGGGCTGTAACATCTCCAGTCTCAGTTTTTCGATTGGGTAGACTCATTGTGTAATCCGTTTAAAATTTATTGTTCAGTATTCCGTTAAAGAGTGAAATTACCGATCGATATCGGTAAAAATACTACTTTCACCTACATATTCAAGACCCTGCCAAATATGATAGTATGTAGCTATCAACTTCTTTATGACTTTCCAATATATTGTAAAAAGTATGAAATATACCACAGTCAGCATGCTGACAATGTATCAAAGTCTATGGAAAACACTAATGCCATTTGCTTCATGGTATGTACGATATAAAGATTCAAAGCGATTTGTACCACAAGCTATTACTGCTGAGCGTTTTGGCTACAGTAAACCACCAGGTAAATTCGTCTTGTTATTATTATTCTAGTAGTAGTAAATAGAGACGTTAATGTGCCATTAACTTGTATACGTATGCCTTTAATCAGCTCATTGGCATCATCAAGACGATGATGTAAGCATCAGAAACCATCAATTTACACTGTGGATCCATGGTGCTTCAGTGGGAGAGTGTTTGTCAGCTTTACCGCTCGTAGAATTGGCTTTAAACCATAAATTCGACCACCTCTTGACTCCGTCCAGTTGTGGAATGAAGAAAAACTATGTGCGGGTGCTAATATCGACAAGTACAACTGCAGCACGAGAGGTAATTACTGATCGGTTAAAGAAGGTGAGTGACAATGGATGTTTCTGGAGCATTCGTGGCACTTTTGATGCGTTGTTGAGGGAATTGCTGATAGAATCAAGACGCCACATGCGTCTTGGCTCCTCTCGACCACTTGGAGTGTGTTCGGAGGTTTTACGATGCCTGGAAACCAGAGTACGTACTGATCACGTTTTAGCTCATTGTGGCAGGTGTACTGACATAAAGTGTTGCAGTGTGGGAATCTGGATCGAGTCAGAAATTTGGCCAACCCTCATAACCGAAGCAGCGCAAAGAGGTATCCGCGTTGGCCTGCTGAATGGTCGAATGTCAGCTCAGTCGTTCCGTTTGTGGCAATTACCGGGACTGCATGAGTTTTCAAAGAGTATTGTGGGCAGATTCTCATTGGTACTTTGCCAAGACGAGCAGGTGGGTGCCGAAAGTCCTGTTTGTATCGGAAAGCTTATTTCCCACTCATAGCTCAAGTTTGTAGAATGTAAAACGTTTTGAGCACGTTGGAGTACGAAAAGCCTACGCAGTGCCAAATCTCAAGTTTGGTATGACGTGTTCATTCATTCGAGTTGGCAGATATGTAACTCACTTCGACTCCAGCGTCTTCACGTTTGACAGGCAACGAAATTGCGCTTACTGCTTTACGACAATCAGTCGGGTCGCGACCAGTGTGGGTTGTAACGAGCACTCACGAAGACGAGGAGGTAATGATGGTGAGAGTGCACAGAGAACTCTCCAAGCGGTTATACACCGATCAGCGCCTACTCACCATAATCATTCCGCGGCATCCAAGTCGGACATCTTCTATCGTGGAGCAACTTCGCAACCAGGTATATCCTTGCGCTTTGTCTTTATTTCTTGGATGATATATTGCTAAGAAGCATTGTCGATGATTGTTTGACAGTTTTCTGAGCTTGCAGTCGGGTTACGCTCCAGTGATAGCTTGCCAACGAACACGGTGGATGTTTTCATTGTAGACACGATTGTAAGAGCGTTTGTAATAGTTAAAGCAAGGATGTTATAATAGTAACAGATGTGCTTTTGTTTCTGACAGGGTGAGACCAACTTATTTTTCAACATAGTTTCTACTGCAGTGGTTGGAGGTAGGACTTGCGGATTGGGTTAATACTTGACGAGACCTCATCATACGCGGGTACTTGCTGTTAGGTTCCTTCGTGAAGCGTGGTGGTCACAATCCAATTGAACCGTTGCAAGCAGGGTGCGTGGAGAAATGATTTCTGTTGTTTATAATGCAACTTTGGGCACTATGATAAGAGTGGGGTGCGATGCCACAGTTGTTATGTGCTTATGGGCCCTCACATGGAAAATTTTGCCGACATTCTCCAACAACTGCAGCGTCTGCCGGCAGTATCAAGTTCGCTTCGATCAGTGTGCAATCCACAAGAGCTTGTTGCAGTTTTGGACACTCGTTTTAATGTTGCTCAAAGGAGTGATGGGGATGCCACGTCAGGCACTTCCTCTGACACCGACCTGCAAAGTGAGCTATTACGAGCGATGGCAGATATTGCAGTTTCAACACTCTCGCTGCACGAAGCGCGGCTAATCAATTGGCTAGGAAAATAGTAAGACGCGCCTGTATTAAGAATAACACGGTGGTGCGGTGAAAAAGTATTGATTTGATAGCAACATGTCACGAGCTGGTGAGGGCGAAGCCGAGAGGCGGAAAACAAGCACATTATAGTCGGGGATGCGGACAATTGGTGCTCATTGTGTGCGTTAGCCAAGATTGCACAACTCTAATGCCTTCGTTTTCTCACTGCGTGGACGCGTATCTTAGTACGGGCGGTATCGGTCCGATCGCCCACCAGAACCTCCTTGAGCACCACTGGAGCCTGCTCCCTGACGATATCCACCGCCATAACCGTAGCTAGCAGCAGCTCCTCCTTGGCCTCCCTGAGCAGCTCCGTCTCCGCTGTATCCTGCTTCTTCTGCACCGGCACCTCCTTCACCACCTTCGCCATCAGCGCCAGTTGCAGCAGCGCCGCTTTCACCGTAGCTACCGTACCCTCCGTAGCTACCGTAGCCATACCCGCCACGGCCACCTCCGTATGAACCGTACCCGTAGCCAGCGTACGACTGCGGATACCCTCCATAGCCGCCGGCTCCGTAGGCAGCAGCAGCACCATAGCCAGCGCCGTAGCCGCCACCATAGCCACCACCGTAGCCACCGCCGTAGCCGCCACCATAGCTGCTACCGTACCCACCGCCGTAGCTACCGCCATAGCTGCCACCACCACCACCACCGCCGCCACCCCCACGACCTCCACTTCTCCAGCCACCACCGCGACCCCCACGACCGCCACCGTAGCCACCTCCACCTCCACCACCACGGGCTTCCTTGGGTTCCGCTCGCTTGATCTCGACGGTCTTGCCATGAATCTCGTGGCTCTTGCTAATCACTTCAGCTACTGACGACTGCACAGTGATAAAAGTAAACCCTTGCGTGAGTAGCCTACAGACTTGCAGAGTAATAGTACAATCACAGTACACGCACCTCCTCTTCAAAAGTGATGAAGCCAAATCCGCGTGAGCGCTGAGTATCACGATCGATCATCACTACGGCGTCTGTGGTCTTGCCATATTCTTCAAAGTAGTGACGAAAATCTTGCTCTGTTACAGTGGGAGCTAGGCCACCAACAAAGATTTTCTTTTGCTCCCCAAAGCCGCCGCTGCTAAAACTTCCGCGTCCGCCACTACGCATTTCGCTACATTACACCAAGAGATAGTCATGAGATAGGGATACTAATAGTTAGTATGTGAATTGTCAATTCGGACTAGGGTCGCGCGTGGTCTGCTTGCTGCATCAGATCAGTCTACATGTAGTTCTACGCCAGAGCCCCTCCCACGGAGTGGATGGAGAAGGGCTGGACGGAGAGAGCGAGGGTCGTGAGTGGAAGGGCCAGAAGGTGACGAGCAAACGTCATTTGATCATGTTGAGTAGAATTTCTCTTCTTCTTGTTCTGATCCTTGTTCTGTCTGTCTGTCTGTCTCTCTCTCTCTTCCTGCCCTTCTTCTTTCCTGCTTTGGGTTTCTTTCTCTATATACAAACTGTACAATGCAGCAGCCAGCCTTGCACCTGGCCCGTCCGCTAACTTTGTCCATAACGGCATTTTTTACTAACCTAGAGCCTGGCGCCGTCCTCTCCCTTGGAATCGCACGCTTCACTTCTACCGATCGGCCGTCCAGTATATGTGTTTCTTCCAGCACGCGATCAATAGCTGCAATATGATACCATAGTCCAATGTCAATATTACAAAGTACACAGATAGATTTATCATTCAACAAGAACAAACGTTGCAACATTTACCTGATGCATCCGCAAACGTTACAAAACCAAAACCACGAGGTTGGCCCGTATATTTGTCCTTCATGAGTGCAGCATCCGTGAGCATACCATACTTGCTAAAATGTTGACGTAATGTGTCCTCTGTTGTTTCCCACGATACCCCACCAATAAAGAGCTTTCCTGGTTGTATACTAGTACTACCATTCTTGTCATAGCCTCCATGATACTCCATCTGTTGCTGTGAATGTTGACCACTAGTACTTTGTCCATAATTTCCATAATTTCCAACATCAGGATGTTGTGATTGTTGTAATGCTTCTTCTTGTTGTTGTAATGCTGCTGATGGTTGTACATCTTGATCTTGAGTCTCTTGATGAACATGATGATGATGATGTGGATCCAAATCGTCTGGATTCCTAGCAAGTGCACGAATCTCCTCATCGTCTTCAACTTCGTGGCTTAATGTTGAATTTATTACATGCTGATGATCTTCCGTTGTTGTTGCTACTGCTGTCGTTGTCTCATGATTATCCATTACGACTGGTTCTTCCTGTTCATACACGACACCAAGTCCCTCCATAGTGATGAAATTTTAACTTGTCCCTTCACCTCTTTTTACAAATGGTTTTTTATATCGGTAATATATATATATTATGTATCCCTCTCTCTTTACTCTCCAGTCTTCTACGTTGTTCGTTTTTGTCGAATCATAAAAAAGCGATAATGAACCAATGAAACAAAAGAAAATAATTACTGCAACTGAACAAAGGAAATTATTACTGCAACTTAACACGCTTTTCATACGAAGGAATAAACGGACGAGAGACGAAGAACGAAATCTCCTCGTCAGTCATTCGTGACCGATAGTTGTAGTAACAGATAAACAAAAGAGCTCAAGCACTTCCTTTATCCAATGTCTTGGTTTTAGTATGTTAGATAGGATTAGTAATAATTTATTTGATTCTACTTTGTCAAAGATCGCTTTGTTTTCGTACCAAGCGTAGTCTCTTAAAAGCTCGATGATATCACGTATGAAGCGCAACAATGATAGACGTGATCAGTTTGTATGAATTAAAGTGAAAAGACTGATATTGATCGGCATCTTTCATGACAGTCACTGTTAACTGTGGCTCTGAGTATAACGAACGTAGGAACACTTCAGCCTTGTTACCAATCATCTCCATACAACCTCACAAAATCTAACTGTCTTGGTACGGTCGTGGCTGGTAGTTAAGAAGTTGGTCATCGCTGTGCTGGAAGTCTAAGCGGCGGGTGTAAAACGTCAGCTCCAGATCCACCAGCGCAAAAAAAAGCTGGGGATGCTTTTTTGAAAACAGGATGCACCTTCATGGCTCGCCTTGTGAATCCTTCCTCACCATTACAAACGTGTCTCGATGGCAGCTTTTAGCAAATAGTTGCTGCCGTATCGTCCGCTCAAGTTTGGTACAGACATGGACTGGTAATGCAGCATCGCCGGCACGGCTTTTCTAGCCGTGCTTTTGCTGCTTCTTGCTTCGTAGGTGCTTATTGCATCCACCAGGTGCATGCATATCTTACGATTTTAAATGGTGCTGTTGTCGATCTGCATCACCGGCTTCGAGACCGTTTTTTTGTTCAAAAACCTCTATCATCGTAGACTTTCTTTCAACTTGACCAATCTGATTTAGCACATGAGCATGCAGCATCGACATCCATTTACATGGCATTATGTTTGAATATTCTTCATCCAGGCCCGCCACCATGTATTGTACCACCTTAATACAGAGGTAGCATGGGCATCTAGTGTCGAGTCACATTAACTTCATCATTTTAATCCAAAAAGCTTTACGCTGCCCACCGGCATGAGCAGTTACGGTGCACCTTTTCGCAGGTCTCACTTGGCTGATGTTGTCAGAATGCAGAGTGTACCCGTTAATGTATGCGTGTGTGTGACAGACAACCCAGTTGTGTTTTTCTGGATGTTAATGGTCACCTTTTTCCTACCGCCACTATTGCTAGTTTTAACTTTCCTCGTCTAACCAAGTGCGGCGAACAGTCCGTACCAAAAGATCAAACGTCTTGGTGTTGAAATTGCAGCCAGCAAGAAGCATGCATCTTACATGTGGATGAAAATATCAACGACGCTGTTCTGCATTGTCTATATTTTAAGTAGCATCAATGATGTTTTCAGTGTCTTATCATTACTAGGATCAGGTGCTATGAAGATGGACAATGTAGAGGATGTACAATTACATCCTCATAGCACCTGATCCTAGCGCTGTTTCTATGATACCTTTTCTCTGTTTACTATTTGCCACGTCTTCTGGGCGAGCTACTATGCAATGATGCGATGGGAAGGAACAACAATAGAAAAGTGCTGTGGAATGATGAAGCGTTGTCAATTGATGCGGTTCTGTTGTATCCAAGTCAAAAGTCCTGACTTTGAGACATCTGTGGGTGAAGTGGTTAGACGTTTTAGTGTTGGAGCTTTTGTCGCTACTTGGTGAGAAAGATCAAGTCGCAACTTACGCTCAAATATCGCGGTGTCAGAGCGGTAGGTGTCAAATGAACGTGCAGTGGTTAGAAAATGGTATATTTATGCTTGCGTCTCCATGGAACGCCTTACATCTGCACTTTTTTAAGCAGTGTGATCGCCACGAAGCATGGGGCACGGAATGTAGCGACAATATGTCGCGGCAGGATCGATGTATGAACATTTCGTTTCTCAGAATATTATCCGTTGCGCTGACGCCACCGTTTGTGTAGCTGAATAAAGTACGGTACGTGCACGACCAAGTGCGAAGTGAGAAACCGAGTTGTCAAGTTGACGAAGACCAGACAGAATAAGCATATGCCAGTTCGCCCATCGTATACGTCACTGATGTTCAAGTTTTGGAGCGGCAGATCCAGCGCTTGTTGCGATTTATTTGGACTATTGCATCTAGGTTCATGGTGCTTGGCTTTTCGCAGCTTAGCTGACTCCAAGTGAAAGGCACTTTGAAAAATGCTTTTGCTCGAAACATCACCCCCCCCCTGCTACTTGCTGAGAAATCTCGCGTTGTTTCGACATATTTCTGCTTAGAATTGAGTGCTCGTGGTAATGCATTGGAGAGAAAGCTAATCAGGAGCAAGAATGCTTCGAAGGCAGTAGCTGTCTATTCTCCAACAATCAGATTAAACACGCTGCTAAAGACGCGTACACGGATTCAAAAGCCTTGTACTGGTGCTGTTCATGTGGAGTGGCTGGTTTTGAGTATGTGCATCATGTTGAGACGTATTTGGGTCAGTTGTTTTACGTTCTCCAAGCACAGGTCGAACTGGCAGGTGACTTTGGGCAAATCTTTTAACTCCATTTTCTTATGTTCATGGCTACAATCCGCCAATGCCAAGCATTCCGACGGCTACAAGTGGCTGTCCACGTCGTGCCACACCGCTCCATCTTTAAGGCGCTCACAGTGCTAATGACTTGGCATTCGTCCTAATGAACAAATGCGCCATATCGCAGAAGCTGCTGCCACTCACACCCCGATCTATGTCTCAAGCTGGCCTCTAGACTACCAAGACTACCAACCACTCATGGACGCACCTCCCGCTGTGGCCAAATTCGGCTTTCATACATTAACAAACTCTTGGAGCACGTCGTGAAGACATCAGGTGCTCGGTCGCTTTATCATGGTGGACACCGTGCTAATGATACGATTGGCAACATTTGTCTTCATGCGGTGATGCAGATACCCGAAGCAATGAAGGAGGGTTGCTTGTTTTGAGTAAAGTCGTGTGAGCGAGCAAAGATGGCCAGCGCGTAGTTTTTTTCCTCTAGTTTGATTGATTCGACTCGACGATTCTGTACTAATGCCGCATTGTATACTGTACAGCAACAAATGGCACGAAGTACTACCCAATTGATGAGTTAAAGTAATGACAAAGTAACCTTACGCAAGACGAAAGCAAGGTATGATGTACGTATATGAATATTGCAATTTCTCTTGAGAAAGCAATAAGAAAATGCAACCAACTACCGACCGCCACTATTGTTTTGCTTCTTCAATCCCAGCAAGTTTTTCATCGTGCTTGTCGATGAAGACTTCTCGTGTTCATCTAGCAAGATTCTTATTGTCGCTACAAGTCCGAAAGGGTCGGACTTTGATTCATCAATCAATTTGCGAAGCTCTTTGGTGTTGTAAGCTGTTTTTACCGTATCAAAAATGTTCCTATCGAAGTCACTGGGATGTTCCATGTTCTCCTTTGGCAAGGGTTTCATGTAATCTGCAAAAAGCTTCAGCTGAGGTCGCTCAAACAGTGGACGTCCTATTTCTTTGTCAAGCTTTAGCATTTTAAATATGTTGGTCCAATCTTTCTTGTCCTTCTTTGGCCACTGTGAGATATGGGAATATAGCATGGTCATAGAAAAAGATTGCGCTCCCACGGCGTATGATCCCTCAGCTAGAAGTTTGTCCAGATCTTTGTCTGTAGAACAAAATTGCTTCAAGATCTCAATCATTTTCGTATACACAGTTTCCTTTTCCGTTGCACTGAGGTAAGCAAACAACTTGAAAAAGCCCCTTCCGTTGAAAATTGTGCCGACATTATTTTTCGATACACTTTCCAACCCAAAACGCTTGACCAGGTCCGAAGGCGTTGTGGGATGAGTATAAATCAAGCTCTGAAGCTCCGGATCATAATGAGCCGCAACGGCTAGAGCATCGACCAGTTCATCACCAGATAGATGACGTGACACCGTCCATATCATATCAGATTTCAGTAAGTTCCTGTCCTTCGCTGCGAGGAAAGCGATCCACCACAAAAAGTCAAGGTTCTCGGAAGGCTTCATAGTTGCCTCGTCGAGGTGCAACTCCATAAAAACAGCATCCCCATCTCGGTCCAATAACCACTTAGAGAGCTGTGGACCATACTTCGCGGCGAAGCGTAGAGCATCAACCCGTTCATCACCATGGTAATGACGCACCAACGTCGAGAACATTTGTGGTTCCAGTGATTTCCTGTCCTTTGCTGCGAGGAAAGCGAGCCATCTGAAAAAGTCAGGGTCTTCGGAAAGTTTCGTCGTTGAGGCGTGAAGCTGTAACTCTCTAAACGCATCATACCCAGAGATATTGAGATCTAGCAACTTTATGAGCTTTGGATCATATTGAGCCGCAAAGGCTATGGCATCGAGCAGTTGATTACCAGTATTATGACGTGACACGGTCCATATCATTTTAGATTCCAGTAAGTTCCGGTCCTTTGAAGCGAGGAAAGCAAGCCATCTGAAAAAGACAGGGTTTTCGGAAAGTTTCGTCGTCGCTTTATCGAGCTGCATCCTCGTGAACGCGGTTTCCACAGATAGCTCGGCATCCAAGCACTTCTTGATCTCCGTGTCATACTTTGCCGCGAAGACTAAAGTATCGATCAGTTCATCACGAGTCTTGTGACGTACCAAGGTAGAGAACATTTCTTGTTCCAGTAAGTTCCGGTCCTTTGCTGCAAGGAAAGCAAGCCATCTGAAAAAGGTAGGGTTCTCGGAAAGTTTTGTCGTTGCCTTGTCAAGCTGCAACTCCATGAACGCATCATTCCCAGATCGCTTGGCATCCAATAATCCCATGAGCTTCGCATCATACTTTTTAGCGGTGAAGCCTAGGATATCGATCAGTTCATCGTCGTTGTAGTGACGTGCCAAGGTCGAGAACATTTCCTCTTCCGGAGATTTTGAGACGAATTTAACGAAAGCGACCCACTGGAAATAGGCCCGTTTTTTAACTAGTTCCTCGCCTTTCAGGTCGTAACGAGATTTAAGACGTATTAACATATCCTCATGTTTTCGCCCTACTAACCACAACCATCTCACTCGAATAGCCTCGATGACACGTGACAGACTTGATTTCACTTTGGTGCCAAACTCACGAATACCCAACAATGCAGCCCTTTCTTCAGACGGGTCAGCAGCACGACCATTTATCGGCATGTCCACATTCACCTTCAAGTGTCGCTTGACCGAAACATTTTTGTGCATCATAGTTAGCGAGTTCACAGTATCTAAGAAGCGCGTGTCCTCTTTAGATATCGAGTCTGCCGTGACTTCGTTCACAGCCAGATACACAAGCAGCGCAAAAGTACCACCACCTTTGCGCAGGAAAGGTGGGGCGCGTTGGTCTTGGTCGCCATCCGTAAATCTTCTTCAGTATGGTAAGTTTGGCAGAAAGCAAAGTGAGGAAGTTGAAATGACCGTGTATCTACTGGCAAGGGATCACTGTGCAGTTTCTAGCTTGAATAATGGTCGAATCATACATAAAACAGTCTTTCGTGCTGTTCCGATACTGAACACGAGACCAGATTCATCCTGGTTGGATTAGATGCACAGAATCATGGCTACAACAACTGATCTCGAAATATCTCAAGCCAAATCCAAGTAAAACCTGTTGCCGATCGCTCGGGTTGTTAGTTTAAACTATTGCAACACCACTGCACCAAAATGGTCAGGCCCTTCTGGTCAATGGGTCAACTGTTCTTCCAGCATACAATTCTGCGTAAAGTCGGGTCTGTCACCAGATACGTGCAGTTGCCATGTCCCCTGTTGCATGAGCAGTTACGGTGCACCTTTTCGCAGGTCTCACTTGGCTGATGTTGTCAGAATGCAGAGTGTACCCGTTAATGTATGCGTGTGTGTGACAGACAACCCAGTTGTGTTTTTCTGGATGTTAATGGTCACCTTTTTCCTACCGCCACTATTGCTAGTTTTAACTTTCCTCGTCTAACCAAGTGCGGCGAACAGTCCGTACCAAAAGATCAAACGTCTTGGTGTTGAAATTGCAGCCAGCAAGAAGCATGCATCTTACATGTGGATGAAAATATCAACGACGCTGTTCTGCATTGTCTATATTTTAAGTAGCATCAATGATGTTTTCAGTGTCTTATCATTACTAGGATCAGGTGCTATGAAGATGGACAATGTAGAGGATGTACAATGTACATCCTCATAGCACCTGATCCTAGCGCTGTTTCTATGATACCTTTTCTCTGTTTACTATTTGCCACGTCTTCTGGGCGAGCTACTATGCAATGATGCGATGGGAAGGAACAACAATAGAGTGCTGTGGAATGATGAAGCGTTGTCAATTGATGCGGTTCTGTTGTATCCAAGTCAAAAGTCCTGACTTTGAGACATCTGTGGGTGAAGTGGTTAGACGTTTTAGTGTTGGAGCTTTTGTCGCTACTTGGTGAGAAAGATCAAGTCGCAACTTACGCTCAAATATCGCGGTGTCAGAGCGGTAGGTGTCAAATGAACGTGCAGTGGTTAGAAAATGGTATATTTATGCTTGCGTCTCCATGGAACGCCTTACATCTGCACTTTTTTAAGCAGTGTGATCGCCACGAAGCATGGGGCACGGAATGTAGCGACAATATGTCGCGGCAGGATCGATGTATGAACATTTCGTTTCTCAGAATATTATCCGTTGCGCTGACGCCACCGTTTGTGTAGCTGAATAAAGTACGGTACGTGCACGACCAAGTGCGAAGTGAGAAACCGAGTTGTCAAGTTGACGAAGACCAGACAGAATAAGCATATGCCAGTTCGCCATCGTATACGTCACTGATGTTCAAGTTTTGGAGCGGCAGATCCAGCGCTTGTTGCGATTTATTTGGACTATTGCATCTAGGTTCATGGTGCTTGGCTTTTCGCAGCTTAGCTGACTCCAAGTGAAAGGCACTTTGAAAAATGCTTTTGCTCGAAACGTCACCCCCCCTGCTACTTGCTGAGAAAGCTCGCGTTGTTTCGACATATTTCTGCTTAGAATTGAGTGCTCGTGGTAATGCATTGGAGAGAAAGCTAATTAGGAGCAAGAATGCTTCGAAGGCAGTAGCTGTCTATTCTCCAACAATCAGATTAAACACGCTGCTAAAGACGCGTACACGGATTCAAAAGCCTTGTACTGGTGCTGTTCATGTGGAGTGGCTGGTTTTGAGTATGTGCATCATGTTGAGACGTATTTGGGTCAGTTGTTTTACGTTCTCCAAGCACAGGTCGAACTGGCAGGTGACTTTGGGCAAATCTTTTAACTCCATTTTCTTATGTTCATGGCTACAATCCGCCAATGCCAAGCATTCCGACGGATACAAGTGGCTGTCCACGTCGTGCCACACCGCTCCATCTTTAAGGCGCTCACAGTGCTAATGACTTGGCATTCGTCCTAATGAACAAATGCGCCATATCGCAGAAGCTGCTGCCACTCACACCCCGATCTATGTCTCAAGCTGGCCTCTAGACTACCAAGACTACCAACCACTCATGGACGCACCTCCCGCTGTGGCCAAATTCGGCTTTCATACATTAACAAACTCTTGGAGCACGTCGTGAAGACATCAGGTGCTCGGTCGCTTTATCATGGTGGACACCGTGCTAATGATACGATTGGCAACATTTGTCTTCATGCGGTGATGCAGATACCCGAAGCAATGAAGGAGGGTTGCTTGTTTTGAGTAAAGTCGTGTGAGCGAGCAAAGATGGCCAGCGCGTAGTTTTTTTCCTCTAGTTTGATTGATTCGACTCGACGATTCTGTACTAATGCCGCATTGTATACTGTACAGCAACAAATGGCACGAAGTACTACCCAATTGATGAGTTAAAGTAATGACAAAGTAACCTTACGCAAGACGAAAGCAAGGTATGATGTACGTATATGAATATTGCAATTTCTCTTGAGAAAGCAATAAGAAAATGCAACCAACTACCGACCGCCACTATTGTTTTGCTTCTTCAATCCCAGCAAGTTTTTCATCGTGCTTGTCGATGAAGACTTCTCGTGTTCATCTAGCAAGATTCTTATTGTCGCTACAAGTCCGAAAGGGTCGGACTTTGATTCATCAATCAATTTGCGAAGCTCTTTGGTGTTGTAAGCTGTTTTTACCGTATCAAAAATGTTCCTATCGAAGTCACTGGGATGTTCCATGTTCTCCTTTGGCAAGGGTTTCATGTAATCTGCAAAAAGCTTCAGCTGAGGTCGCTCAAACAGTGGACGTCCTATTTCTTTGTCAAGCTTCAGCATTTTAAATATGTTGGTCCAATCTTTCTTGCCCTTCTTTGGCCACTGTGAGATACGGGAATATAGCATGGTCATAGAAAAAGATTGCGCTCCCACGGCGTATGATCCCTCAGCTAGAAGTTTGTCCAGATCTTTGTCTGTAGAACAAAATTGCTTCAAGATCTCAATCATTTTCGTATACACAGTTTCCTTTTCCGTTGCACTGAGGTAAGCAAACAACTTGAAAAAGCCCCTTCCGTTGAAAATTGTGCCGACATTATTTTTCGATACACTTTCCAACCCAAAACGCTTGACCAGGTCCGAAGGCGTTGTGGGATGAGTATAAATCAAGCTCTGAAGCTCCGGATCATAATGAGCCGCAACGGCTAGAGCATCGACCAGTTCATCACCAGATAGATGACGTGACACCGTCCATATCATATCAGATTTCAGTAAGTTCCTGTCCTTCGCTGCGAGGAAAGCGATCCACCACAAAAAGTCAAGGTTCTCGGAAGGCTTCATAGTTGCCTTGTCGAGGTGCAACTCCATAAAAACAGCATCCCCATCTCGGTCCAATAACCACTTAGAGAGCTGTGGACCATACTTCGCGGCGAAGTGTAGAGCATCAACCAGTTCATCACCATGGTAATGACGCACCAACGTCGAGAACATTTGTGGTTCCAGTGATTTCCTGTCCTTTGCTGCGAGGAAAGCGAGCCATCTGAAAAAGTCAGGGTTTTCGGAAAGTTTCGTCGTTGAGACGTGAAGCTCTAACTCTCTAAACGCATCATACCCAGAGATATTGAGATCTAGCAACTTTATGAGCTTTGGATCATATTGAGCCGCAAAGGCTATGGCATCGAGCAGTTGATTACCAGTATTATGACGTGACACGGTCCATATCATTGTAGATTCCAGTAATTTCCTGTCCGTTAAAGCGATGAAAGCGATCCATCTGAAAAAGTCAGGGTTTTCGGAAAGTTTCGTCGTCGCTTTATCGAGCTGCATCCTCGTGAACGCGGTTTGCACAGATAGCCCGGCATCCAAGCACTTCTTGATCTCCGTGTCATACTTTGCCGCGAAGACTAAAGTATCGATCAGTTCATCACGAGTCTTGTGACGTGCCAAGGTAGAGAACATTTCTTGTTCCAGTAAGTTCCGGTCCTTTGCTGCAAGGAAAGCAAGCCATCTGAAAAAGGTAGGGTTCTCGGAAAGTTTTGTCGTTGCCTTGTCAAGCTGCAACTCCATGAACGCATCATTCCCAGATCGCTTGGCATCCAATAATCCCATGAGCTTCGCATCATACTTTTTAGCGGTGAAGCCTAGGATATCGATCAGTTCATCGTCGTTGTAGTGACGTGCCAAGGTCGAGAACATTTCCTCTTCCGGAGATTTTGAGACGAATTTAACGAAAGCGACCCACTGGAAATAGGCCCGTTTTTTAACTAGTTCCTCGCCTTTCAGGTCGTAACGAGATTTAAGACGTATTAACATATCCTCATGTTTTCGCCCTACTAACCACAACCATCTCACTCGAATAGCCTCGATGACACGTGACAGACTTGATTTCACTTTGGTGCCAAACTCACGAATACCCAACAATGCAGCCCTTTCTTCAGACGGGTCAGCAGCACGACCATTTATCGGCATGTCCACATTCACCTTCAAGTGTCGCTTGACCGAAACATTTTTGTGCATCATAGTTAGCGAGTTCACAGTATCTAAGAAGCGCGTGTCCTCTTTAGATATCGAGTCTGCCGTGACTTCGTTCACAGCCAGATACACAAGCAGCGCAAAAAGTACCACCACCTTTGCGCAGGAAAGGTGGGGCGCGTTGGTCTTGGTCGCCATCCGTAAATCTTCTTCAGTATGGTAAGTTTGGCAGAAAGCAAAGTGAGGAAGTTGAAATGACCGTGTATCTACTGGCAAGGGATCACTGTGCAGTTTCTAGCTTGAATAATGGTCGAATCATACATAAAACAGTCTTTCGTGCTGTTCCGATACTGAACACGAGACCAGATTCATCCTGGTTGGATTAGATGCACAGAATCATGGCTACAACAACTGATCTCGAAATATCTCAAGCCAAATCCAAGTAAAACCTGTTGCCGATCGCTCGGGTTGTTAGTTTAAACTATTGCAACACCACTGCACCAAAATGGTCAGGCCCTTCTGGTCAATGGGTCAACTGTTCTTCCAGCATACAATTCTGCGTAAAGTCGGGTCTGTCACCAGATACGTGCAGTTGCCATGTCCCCTGTTGCATGAGCAGTTACGGTGCACCTTTTCGCAGGTCTCACTTGGCTGATGTTGTCAGAATGCAGAGTGTACCCGTTAATGTATGCGTGTGTGTGACAGACAACCCAGTTGTGTTTTTCTGGATGTTAATGGTCACCTTTTTCCTACCGCCACTATTGCTAGTTTTAACTTTCCTCGTCTAACCAAGTGCGGCGAACAGTCCGTACCAAAAGATCAAACGTCTTGGTGTTGAAATTGCAGCCAGCAAGAAGCATGCATCTTACATGTGGATGAAAATATCAACGACGCTGTTCTGCATTGTCTATATTTTAAGTAGCATCAATGATGTTTTCAGTGTCTTATCATTACTAGGATCAGGTGCTATGAAGATGGACAATGTAGAGGATGTACAATTACATCCTCATAGCACCTGATCCTAGCGCTGTTTCTATGATACCTTTTCTCTGTTTACTATTTGCCACGTCTTCTGGGCGAGCTACTATGCAATGATGCGATGGGAAGGAACAACAATAGTACAGTGCTTTGGAATGATGAAGCGTTGTCAATTGATGCGGTTCTGTTGTATCCAAGTCAAAAGTCCTGACTTTGAGACATCTGTGGGTGAAGTGGTTAGACGTTTTAGTGTTGGAGCTTTTGTCGCTACTTGGTGAGAAAGATCAAGTCGCAACTTACGTACAAGAATGCTTCGACTATGTAATACTTCTTTTGGAAGCTGCTCATGATACGAAACGTTCGGATTTTTTCACCCCTAACGGTAAAGTATAATGCCTTTTGCAGCAGGATGGGAAAGAAGATGGGGCGATGTTGGATCCGATATGCCAGATAGTTTAACAGGGGACATGGCAACTGCACGTATCTGGTGACAGACCCGACTTTACGCAGAATTGTATGCTGGAAGAACAGTTGACCCATTGACCAGAAGGGCCTGACCATTTTGGTGCAGTGGTGTTGCAATAGTTTAAACTAACAACCCGAGCGATCGGCAACAGGTTTTACTTGGATTTGGCTTGAGATATTTCGAGATCAGTTGTTGTAGCCATGATTCTGTGCATCTAATCCAACCAGGATGAATCTGGTCTCGTGTTCAGTATCGGAACAGCACGAAAGACTGTTTTATGTATGATTCGACCATTATTCAAGCTAGAAACTGCACAGTGATCCCTTGCCAGTAGATACACGGTCATTTCAACTTCCTCACTTTGCTTTCTGCCAAACTTACCATACTGAAGAAGATTTACGGATGGCGACCAAGACCAACGCGCCCCACCTTTCCTGCGCAAAGGTGGTGGTACTTTTTGCGCTGCTTGTGTATCTGGCTGTGAACGAAGTCACGGCAGACTCGATATCTAAAGAGGACACGCGCTTCTTAGATACTGTGAACTCGCTAACTATGATGCACAAAAATGTTTCGGTCAAGCGACACTTGAAGGTGAATGTGGACATGCCGATAAATGGTCGTGCTGCTGACCCGTCTGAAGAAAGGGCTGCATTGTTGGGTATTCGTGAGTTTGGCACCAAAGTGAAATCAAGTCTGTCACGTGTCATCGAGGCTATTCGAGTGAGATGGTTGTGGTTAGTAGGGCGAAAACATGAGGATATGTTAATACGTCTTAAATCTCGTTACGACCTGAAAGGCGAGGAACTAGTTAAAAAACGGGCCTATTTCCAGTGGGTCGCTTTCGTTAAATTCGTCTCAAAATCTCCGGAAGAGGAAATGTTCTCGACCTTGGCACGTCACTACAACGACGATGAACTGATCGATATCCTAGGCTTCACCGCTAAAAAGTATGATGCGAAGCTCATGGGATTATTGGATGCCAAGCGATCTGGGAATGATGCGTTCATGGAGTTGCAGCTTGACAAGGCAACGACAAAACTTTCCGAGAACCCTACCTTTTTCAGATGGCTTGCTTTCCTTGCAGCAAAGGACCGGAACTTACTGGAACAAGAAATGTTCTCTACCTTGGCACGTCACAAGACTCGTGATGAACTGATCGATACTTTAGTCTTCGCGGCAAAGTATGACACGGAGATCAAGAAGTGCTTGGATGCCGGGCTATCTGTGCAAACCGCGTTCACGAGGATGCAGCTCGATAAAGCGACGACGAAACTTTCCGAAAACCCTGACTTTTTCAGATGGATCGCTTTCATCGCTTTAACGGACAGGAAATTACTGGAATCTACAATGATATGGACCGTGTCACGTCATAATACTGGTAATCAACTGCTCGATGCCATAGCCTTTGCGGCTCAATATGATCCAAAGCTCATAAAGTTGCTAGATCTCAATATCTCTGGGTATGATGCGTTTAGAGAGTTAGAGCTTCACGTCTCAACGACGAAACTTTCCGAAAACCCTGACTTTTTCAGATGGCTCGCTTTCCTCGCAGCAAAGGACAGGAAATCACTGGAACCACAAATGTTCTCGACGTTGGTGCGTCATTACCATGGTGATGAACTGGTTGATGCTCTACACTTCGCCGCGAAGTATGGTCCACAGCTCTCTAAGTGGTTATTGGACCGAGATGGGGATGCTGTTTTTATGGAGTTGCACCTCGACAAGGCAACTATGAAGCCTTCCGAGAACCTTGACTTTTTGTGGTGGATCGCTTTCCTCGCAGCGAAGGACAGGAACTTACTGAAATCTGATATGATATGGACGGTGTCACGCCATCTATCTGGTGATGAACTGGTCGATGCTCTAGCCGTTGCGGCTCATTATGATCCGGAGCTTCAGAGCTTGATTTATACTCATCCCACAACGCCTTCGGACCTGGTCAAGCGTTTTGGGTTGGAAAGTGTATCGAAAAAAAATGTCGGCACAATTTTCAACGGGAAGGGGCTTTTTCAAGTTGTTTGCTTACCTCAGTGCAACGGAAAAGGAAACTGTGTATACGAAAATGATTGAGATCTTGAAGCAATTTTGTTCTACAGACAAAGATCTGGACAAACTTCTAGCTGAGGGATCATACGCCGTGGGAGCGCAATCTTTTTCTATGACCATGCTATATTCCCGTATCTCACAGTGGCCAAAGAAGGGCAAGAAAGATTGGACCAACATATTTAAAATGCTGAAGCTTGACAAAAAAATAGGACGTCCACTGTTTGAGCGACCTCAGCTGAAGCTTTTTGCAGATTACATGAAACCCTTGCCAAAGGAGAACATGGAACATCCCAGTGACTTCGATAGGAACATTTTTGATACGGTAAAAACAGCTTACAACACCAAAGAGCTTCGCAAATTGATTGATGAATCAAAGTCCGACCCTTTCGGACTTGTAGCGACAATAAGAATCTTGCTAGATGAACACGAGAAGTCTTCATCGACAAGCACGATGAAAAACTTGCTGGGATTGAAGAAGCAAAACAATAGTGGCGGTCGGTAGTTGGTTGCATTTTCTTATTGCTTTCTCAAGAGAAATTGCAATATTCATATACGTACATCATACCTTGCTTTCGTCTTGCGTAAGGTTACTTTGTCATTACTTTAACTCATCAATTGGGTAGTACTTCGTGCCATTTGTTGCTGTACAGTATACAATGCGGCATTAGTACAGAATCGTCGAGTCGAATCAATCAAACTAGAGGAAAAAAACTACGCGCTGGCCATCTTTGCTCGCTCACACGACTTTACTCAAAACAAGCAACCCTCCTTCATTGCTTCGGGTATCTGCATCACCGCATGAAGACAAATGTTGCCAATCGTATCATTAGCACGGTGTCCACCATGATAAAGCGACCGAGCACCTGATGTCTTCACGACGTGCTCCAAGAGTTTGTTAATGTATGAAAGCCGAATTTGGCCACAGCGGGAGGTGCGTCCATGAGTGGTTGGTAGTCTTGGTAGTCTAGAGGCCAGCTTGAGACATAGATCGGGGTGTGAGTGGCAGCAGCTTCTGCGATATGGCGCATTTGTTCATTAGGACGAATGCCAAGTCATTAGCACTGTGAGCGCCTTAAAGATGGAGCGGTGTGGCACGACGTGGACAGCCACTTGTAGCCGTCGGAATGCTTGGCATTGGCGGATTGTAGCCATGAACATAAGAAAATGGAGTTAAAAGATTTGCCCAAAGTCACCTGCCAGTTCGACCTGTGCTTGGAGAACGTAAAACAACTGACCCAAATACGTCTCAACATGATGCACATACTCAAAACCAGCCACTCCACATGAACAGCACCAGTACAAGGCTTTTGAATCCGTGTACGCGTCTTTAGCAGCGTGTTTAATCTGATTGTTGGAGAATAGACAGCTACTGCCTTCGAAGCATTCTTGCTCCTGATTAGCTTTCTCTCCAATGCATTACCACGAGCACTCAATTCTAAGCAGAAATATGTCGAAACAACGCGAGATTTCTCAGCAAGTAGCAGGGGGGGGTGATGTTTCGAGCAAAAGCATTTTTCAAAGTGCCTTTCACTTGGAGTCAGCTAAGCTGCGAAAAGCCAAGCACCATGAACCTAGATGCAATAGTCCAAATAAATCGCAACAAGCGCTGGATCTGCCGCTCCAAAACTTGAACATCAGTGACGTATACGATGTCTTGGACTGCGAACTGGCATATGCTTATTCTGTCTGGTCTTCGTCAACTTGACAACTCGGTTTCTCACTTCGCACTTGGTCGTGCACGTACCGTACTTTATTCAGCTACACAAACGGTGGCGTCAGCGCAACGGATAATATTCTGAGAAACGAAATGTTCATACATCGATCCTGCCGCGACATATTGTCGCTACATTCCGTGCCCCATGCTTCGTGGCGATCACACTGCTTAAAAAAGTGCAGATGTAAGGCGTTCCATGGAGACGCAAGCATAAATATACCATTTTCTAACCACTGCACGTTCATTTGACACCTACCGCTCTGACACCGCGATATTTGAGCGTAAGTTGCGACTTGATCTTTCTCACCAAGTAGCGACAAAAGCTCCAACACTAAAACGTCTAACCACTTCACCCACAGATGTCTCAAAGTCAGGACTTTTGACTTGGATACAACAGAACCGCATCAATTGACAACGCTTCATCATTCCAAAGCACGCTTTTCGTTTGTACTATTGTTGTTCCTTCCCATCGCATCATTGCATAGTAGCTCGCCCAGAAGACGTGGCAAATAGTAAACAGAGAAAAGGTATCATAGAAACAGCGCTAGGATCAGGTGCTATGAGGATGTAATTGTACATCCTCTACATTGTCCATCTTCATAGCACCTGATCCTAGTAATGATAAGACACTGAAAACATCATTGATGCTACTTAAAATATAGACAATGCAGAACAGCGTCGTTGATATTTTCATCCACATGTAAGATGCATGCTTCTTGCTGGCTGCAATTTCAACACCAAGACGTTTGATCTTTTGGTACGGACTGTTCGCCGCACTTGGTTAGACGAGGAAAGTTAAAACTAGCAATAGTGGCGGTAGGAAAAAGGTGACCATTAACATCCAGAAAAACACAACTGGGTTGTCTGTCACACACACGCATACATTAACGGGTACACTCTGCATTCTGACAACATCAGCCAAGTGAGACCTGCGAAAAGGTGCAACCGTAACTGCTCATGCAACAGGGGACATGGCAACTGCACGTATCTGGTGACAGACCCGACTTTACGCAGAATTGTATGCTGGAAGAACAGTTGACCCATTGACCAGAAGGGCCTGACCATTTTGGTGCAGTGGTGTTGCAATAGTTTAAACTAACAACCCGAGCGATCGGCAACAGGTTTTACTTGGATTTGGCTTGAGATATTTCGAGATCAGTTGTTGTAGCCATGATTCTGTGCATCTAATCCAACCAGGATGAATCTGGTCTCGTGTTCAGTATCGGAACAGCACGAAAGACTGTTTTATGTATGATTCGACCATTATTCAAGCTAGAAACTGCACAGTGATCCCTTGCCAGTAGATACACGGTCATTTCAACTTCCTCACTTTGCTTTCTGCCAAACTTACCATACTGAAGAAGATTTACGGATGGCGACCAAGACCAACGCGCCCCACCTTTCCTGCGCAAAGGTGGTGGTACTTTTGCGCTGCTTGTGTATCTGGCTGTGAACGAAGTCACGGCAGACTCGATATCTAAAGAGGACACGCGCTTCTTAGATACTGTGAACTCGCTAACTATGATGCACAAAAATGTTTCGGTCAAGCGACACTTGAAGGTGAATGTGGACATGCCGATAAATGGTCGTGCTGCTGACCCGTCTGAAGAAAGGGCTGCATTGTTGGGTATTCGTGAGTTTGGCACCAAAGTGAAATCAAGTCTGTCACGTGTCATCGAGGCTATTCGAGTGAGATGGTTGTGGTTAGTAGGGCGAAAACATGAGGATATGTTAATACGTCTTAAATCTCGTTACGACCTGAAAGGCGAGGAACTAGTTAAAAAACGGGCCTATTTCCAGTGGGTCGCTTTCGTTAAATTCGTCTCAAAATCTCCGGAAGAGGAAATGTTCTCGACCTTGGCACGTCACTACAACGACGATGAACTGATCGATATCCTAGGCTTCACCGCTAAAAAGTATGATGCGAAGCTCATGGGATTATTGGATGCCAAGCGATCTGGGAATGATGCGTTCATGGAGTTGCAGCTTGACAAGGCAACGACAAAACTTTCCGAGAACCCTACCTTTTTCAGATGGCTTGCTTTCCTTGCAGCAAAGGACCGGAACTTACTGGAACAAGAAATGTTCTCTACCTTGGCACGTCACAAGACTCGTGATGAACTGATCGATACTTTAGTCTTCGCGGCAAAGTATGACACGGAGATCAAGAAGTGCTTGGATGCCGGGCTATCTGTGCAAACCGCGTTCACGAGGATGCAGCTCGATAAAGCGACGACGAAACTTTCCGAAAACCCTGACTTTTTCAGATGGATCGCTTTCATCGCTTTAACGGACAGGAAATTACTGGAATCTACAATGATATGGACCGTGTCACGTCATAATACTGGTAATCAACTGCTCGATGCCATAGCCTTTGCGGCTCAATATGATCCAAAGCTCATAAAGTTGCTAGATCTCAATATCTCTGGGTATGATGCGTTTAGAGAGTTAGAGCTTCACGTCTCAACGACGAAACTTTCCGAAAACCCTGACTTTTTCAGATGGCTCGCTTTCCTCGCAGCAAAGGACAGGAAATCACTGGAACCACAAATGTTCTCGACGTTGGTGCGTCATTACCATGGTGATGAACTGGTTGATGCTCTACACTTCGCCGCGAAGTATGGTCCACAGCTCTCTAAGTGGTTATTGGACCGAGATGGGGATGCTGTTTTTATGGAGTTGCACCTCGACAAGGCAACTATGAAGCCTTCCGAGAACCTTGACTTTTTGTGGTGGATCGCTTTCCTCGCAGCGAAGGACAGGAACTTACTGAAATCTGATATGATATGGACGGTGTCACGTCATCTATCTGGTGATGAACTGGTCGATGCTCTAGCCGTTGCGGCTCATTATGATCCGGAGCTTCAGAGCTTGATTTATACTCATCCCACAACGCCTTCGGACCTGGTCAAGCGTTTTGGGTTGGAAAGTGTATCGAAAAATAATGTCGGCACAATTTTCAACGGAAGGGGCTTTTTCAAGTTGTTTGCTTACCTCAGTGCAACGGAAAAGGAAACTGTGTATACGAAAATGATTGAGATCTTGAAGCAATTTTGTTCTACAGACAAAGATCTGGACAAACTTCTAGCTGAGGGATCATACGCCGTGGGAGCGCAATCTTTTTCTATGACCATGCTATATTCCCGTATCTCACAGTGGCCAAAGAAGGGCAAGAAAGATTGGACCAACATATTTAAAATGCTGAAGCTTGACAAAAAAATAGGACGTCCACTGTTTGAGCGACCTCAGCTGAAGCTTTTTGCAGATTACATGAAACCCTTGCCAAAGGAGAACATGGAACATCCCAGTGACTTCGATAGGAACATTTTTGATACGGTAAAAACAGCTTACAACACCAAAGAGCTTCGCAAATTGATTGATGAATCAAAGTCCGACCCTTTCGGACTTGTAGCGACAATAAGAATCTTGCTAGATGAACACGAGAAGTCTTCATCGACAAGCACGATGAAAAACTTGCTGGGATTCAAGAAGCAAAACAATAGTGGCGGTCGGTAGTTGGTTGCATTTTCTTATTGCTTTCTCAAGAGAAATTGCAATATTCATATACGTACATCATACCTTGCTTTCGTCTTGCGTAAGGTTACTTTGTCATTACTTTAACTCATCAATTGGGTAGTACTTCGTGCCATTTGTTGCTGTACAGTATACAATGCGGCATTAGTACAGAATCGTCGAGTCGAATCAATCAAACTAGAGGAAAAAAACTACGCGCTGGCCATCTTTGCTCGCTCACACGACTTTACTCAAAACAAGCAACCCTCCTTCATTGCTTCGGGTATCTGCATCACCGCATGAAGACAAATGTTGCCAATCGTATCATTAGCACGGTGTCCACCATGATAAAGCGACCGAGCACCTGATGTCTTCACGACGTGCTCCAAGAGTTTGTTAATGTATGAAAGCCGAATTTGGCCACAGCGGGAGGTGCGTCCATGAGTGGTTGGTAGTCTTGGTAGTCTAGAGGCCAGCTTGAGACATAGATCGGGGTGTGAGTGGCAGCAGCTTCTGCGATATGGCGCATTTGTTCATTAGGACGAATGCCAAGTCATTAGCACTGTGAGCGCCTTAAAGATGGAGCGGTGTGGCACGACGTGGACAGCCACTTGTAGCCGTCGGAATGCTTGGCATTGGCGGATTGTAGCCATGAACATAAGAAAATGGAGTTAAAAGATTTGCCCAAAGTCACCTGCCAGTTCGACCTGTGCTTGGAGAACGTAAAACAACTGACCCAAATACGTCTCAACATGATGCACATACTCAAAACCAGCCACTCCACATGAACAGCACCAGTACAAGGCTTTTGAATCCGTGTACGCGTCTTTAGCAGCGTGTTTAATCTGATTGTTGGAGAATAGACAGCTACTGCCTTCGAAGCATTCTTGCTCCTGATTAGCTTTCTCTCCAATGCATTACCACGAGCACTCAATTCTAAGCAGAAATATGTCGAAACAACGCGAGATTTCTCAGCAAGTAGCAGGGGGGGTGATGTTTCGAGCAAAAGCAATTTTCAAAGTGCCTTTCACTTGGAGTCAGCTAAGCTGCGAAAAGCCAAGCACCATGAACCTAGATGCGATAGTCCAAATAAATCGCAACAAGCGCTGGATCTGCCGCTCCAAAACTTGAACATCAGTGACGTATACGATGTCTTGGACTGCGAACTGGCATATGCTTATTCTGTCTGGTCTTCGTCAACTTGACAACTCGGTTTCTCACTTCGCACTTGGTCGTGCACGTACCGTACTTTATTCAGCTACACAAACGGTGGCGTCAGCGCAACGGATAATATTCTGAGAAACGAAATGTTCATACATCGATCCTGCCGCGACATATTGTCGCTACATTCCGTGCCCCATGCTTCGTGGCGATCACACTGCTTAAAAAAGTGCAGATGTAAGGCGTTCCATGGAGACGCAAGCATAAATATACCATTTTCTAACCACTGCACGTTCATTTGACACCTACCGCTCTGACACCGCGATATTTGAGCGTAAGTTGCGACTTGATCTTTCTCACCAAGTAGCGACAAAAGCTCCAACACTAAAACGTCTAACCACTTCACCCACAGATGTCTCAAAGTCAGGACTTTTGACTTGGATACAACAGAACCGCATCAATTGACAACGCTTCATCATTCCAAAGCACGCTTTTCGTTTGTACTATTGTTGTTCCTTCCCATCGCATCATTGCATAGTAGCTCGCCCAGAAGACGTGGCAAATAGTAAACAGAGAAAAGGTATCATAGAAACAGCGCTAGGATCAGGTGCTATGAGGATGTACATTGTACATCCTCTACATTGTCCATCTTCATAGCACCTGATCCTAGTAATGATAAGACACTGAAAACATCATTGATGCTACTTAAAATATAGACAATGCAGAACAGCGTCGTTGATATTTTCATCCACATGTAAGATGCATGCTTCTTGCTGGCTGCAATTTCAACACCAAGACGTTTGATCTTTTGGTACGGACTGTTCGCCGCACTTGGTTAGACGAGGAAAGTTAAAACTAGCAATAGTGGCGGTAGGAAAAAGGTGACCATTAACATCCAGAAAAACACAACTGGGTTGTCTGTCACACACACACGCATACATTAACGGGTACACTCTGCATTCTGACAACATCAGCAAGTATGACCTGCGAAAGGTGCAACCGTAACTGCTCATGCAACAGGGACATGACAACTGTTTGTACGGTGACAGAAGACTTTTTTGCTGATTCGAAGCCTGAAGCAATGTTGATCAACGGCTAATCGCTTTCAAATGCAAATTAGCATCACCAAATATGTTTATCAGCCTACTCTACAACATTTTTTGAGGTGCTTGAATAGCTAGCGATTGGGTTTGCTCCCGCTTGCGTTAGATGTTTTGATTGCGTTTCGTTCAAAAACTTGTGGAGTTGAGCAAATTTGTGGTCCATGAAACAAAGTTCAACGAAGCTGTGAGAGATTATCCTTGTGTAAAATGCATTGTACATTGTAACGATAAACCAGTTGAGTTGTTGTTTGTTGCCTGACACCCACTTGTGGGCCTTAACGATCATTCCGGTATGTGAGACCTCGGTAGTTGACGCTTTTATAGCAGTGATTAGCGCAAGAAGCAGAAATTTTCATGGCGCAAGCCGGGTGTTCAAACGCAGCATAATGATCGAGCCCACCAACTTTGAAGTAAGCAGCACCTTGTTGGTCTGAAATGACCTACTTATGCGTTTGTTGCAGGGCCTAAAGTTATTCAAATTCATGTCGGTTCGCATAAGCGCGAGCAGAACGACTCCAAAAAGACAATGAACAAACAGCTCGCTATTACACAACTCGTCATAGATTATCCTTTGTCCACTTCAATACAAACATAGCAATTCGAATCACTAGTAGTGTGTTGTAAGGCTAATCAAAAAATGTGTGTCAATCTTACAAGTTTGGACAAAGCACCATACATCAAATCAGCTCCAGACGCCAAAAGCACACGTACCATTCATTGCTATGCAACCGGTTAAAAAGAGCGTTATTATTCAGTTTAAACACTTTCCATAACAATATTGGGCGGGTAAGCACTGCCTCCCTTTGTCAGTCGAATCGCGTGCTGCAAATTGCGCAGTCGGTCAATCAGTCCCTTCATCACAATGTTCCTCTCATACACCTCCTATTTATACAGTAATACATGAGAAACCTTGCTTCAACCAAACAGCTTTCGCACTATCTCGTATTTCGTGTCCTTACCTTGCGCAGTTGATTCCTTCTCACCACCAATTTTGCGATCATAGCATCCTATGTCATCACACCATCCATCAGCCATGTACACAATTATCATTTCACTCTCATCACTTCAATGTCTTCCACCTCTTTATCTTGTAACATCCCCTCGTTACTGTTCGTCGTCTTCTTCTCTGTCTCTTTCACGGCTTCCAGCAGTTCCGTGCTGAGTTTCATATATTGAGTCTTAAGCATTGCAATTCTTGTGTACGTGTCCTGGACCTCCTCGGATAAGAAAGGTATTACGGCAAAATGTCCTTGTACACTTGAATGAGCATGAGTGCCTGCAAACGACGTTGTAAGCCCGTTGAGGTCCAAAGGCACTTCATCCTGAGGCGTCTCACTCTCAGACAGCGGTGATCCGGATGCGGCCACGTCAACAGCAAATAGCTTTGATATTGGTCGTAAAGGAGGTTTTAAATTCATGTGTTTAGTTTCCTCAAGTACATGGTATGCAATAGCTAACAACTGTAACAACGTCTCTTCCCCATTCTTCCGTGCTACTATTGGCTCCATCTTTACAAGGTAAATTATAAAATCTTGATGAACGTCTAAAAACATTTCAAAACTATTCTTTTTGCGAGTTACGATAAAAATGGGGTAATCAAGGTTTTTATTCTCCTAGTTGAAGACGCCTTTACACAAGTAGGAATAAGAAAAACCTTGGCAATCGGATAAACTGACAAATATCGAAAACAACTCCTCCGATGCATAAAGAAAGCACTTGGGACGGCAGATTTGGCAATTACATCCTAAGTTCTCAAAAATGCAAGCCAATCGTGTTTGAAAAAGACACGTCAGTTCCATTCATAGACTGGTGTACGAAATAAAAATTTGCTAGCAAGTATTGGCTGACGTTTTGGTAGCCAATCCGATTATTCTGTGTTTTCTTTTTCGTAGTCGCCTAGCTAGCTACCCTGTTTCCTAGCATCCCTCTCCTCCGACCATTCCAAGATAGCTGACTGCTAGCCAGCTCACCTAGCAACCATTACGCAGACTATGCGTGACAGATGTAATGGCTGGCACTAATCTCAAACCTAAATGTCATTCCGCAACAACACAAATCAGCCGCTCTTCGTACATGCTCACCTTTCCACACTTTTCCTCAAGGGCTCATTCCGTTCCATACTCTCTCTTTCTCTCTTCTTTAACGTCCCTGACCGAGCTTTCCCTTGTCCGTTATTTTCCACCTTGCCCGTCCTTCGCGTCTTTCTATTTAATAAGCATGAACTTACGAAGCGTTTCAACACTCATCGCATCGATCACTTTCGTCTTCAAGTCGGCAAGTATCAGCTGCGACCTTGGGTAGCACACAGCGATCACGCCGCGGCGTGAGAGGTCGCGCAAAAGCTTCAGTCGAACATCGACGTGTTTTGCCTTAAGCAACGATGCCAGTAGATCGCTGCTGAATTATCGACATGGATCTATGTCGGTAGAGCTGGTGAGGTGCTAATCTTGCTGAGCACCTCGCAAAAGGCGGTCTTTTTGCATGCCAAATCGAAAGGGGCGACGAACCTCTACCTCCATCGTCGACAGTGACACACCGTCCTGTCAAAGTGTAAGAGTGGAGGGGAGTAATGATGCACTTGTGCACGAGTAGGTAGAAGTAAAAGTAAGATATATTTAGCATTAACTACTCATCTTCGCTCGTGCTCTAACATGTATGATAAAATCGACTGCTACTATACCATGTCTAGTCTGTAGTCTTCGTCTATCCCGCCTCGTCCCATCTGTTGTAACACTTGGTGAAATGATGAGGTAATCTGGTCGATCGTCTCATGTGTCACAACATCCAGATGGTCCGACGTAGCGACGTCGTCGCCTCGTCACATCTGTCAAGATGTCACACCATTAGCCCATCAGATGCGGTCGCAACTCACCAGAGACAGGGTATAGCCCTTACCTTTAACACCTTCCAACCTGTCAAAAAAGATAATTTCTAACATAAAGCGTGCCCTGACTCATGACGTTCAGTCACAGTAGGCCGCTGACATTGACTTCCTTTCTGCTTCACACGGCCGCAGTTCGGCGTCGCTCATAGCTTTCAGCTGTCTTGTTGCACTCGGTTGCGGTTTTGAGCCGGCGCCATTGTTACCTTCAAGCTCGCCGTACCTTTCAAGTACCAATTGGTTCACTTTGCACGCTTCTAGTCATGCAAGAGCAATGCTGTCGTGTCACGGTGGCTTCATGCACCACTAAAGCAATTTCGGACCGAGTGTAGCGCGCAATCCATACGAGTATCTGAAATCGCGGATCGTGGGGTGACCGCACGTGCTCGAAAGTCGTAAAAGTTTGCATCGTCTGGCTTCGCGTCGTAGCATTCCTCCCCAAATCGGCACGCGAGTCGAATGGGATATGCAAATCTGGGGTTGCAAAGAAAGTTGCCAATCTTCTTCTCCTGATCGATAGTGTACCCGACTTGCCGTTGAGTACGACCTGCATTCTAAGAACTTGCTAACTCGGTCGAGGTCTTTGATCGACATTGAAGCGATGCTGTCAAAGTACCGATGGTCTCCTTCTGCGTTCGTCCCGGTCGTAGGAAGCATCGACGTATACTCCAACAACGACAAGCTCTTTGCTGTCTCGATTCCAATAAAAACACATGTCACTGTCTCAGCTCTGGAATATGGCTTCGACAAGACGCGTGTGTAGCAACTGGCGCCATATTCGATCAGCCTATCCGTACAGACTCTTACGGAGATCCAGAACCAATTCGATGGTGCTCGTGGTGCCGTGGTTGCGCAGAGTCTCGTCGACACGCTCATGCCGCGCGGCAGATACAGGTGTATCTGCAGGTTGGCCTACTTGTCGGCCTCGTCATACGCATTGGGGATGTATCCATGCTTGGCATGAATCTACTCCACGTGCAGCGAGCGCCAGTAGTTGAAAGGTCCATGGCAAAGTCGAGGCTATAGTGACAACTAGCACCTCTCGCTTCCACAGCGATGAGGCTCTCCTGCTGTCGCTCTAGCTTTCCCTAAGGGTCATCTTGGCCTCCTTTACCCACTTAGCGTGCAAGACCATCGATTCAGGCGCGCGTTTGACGCCTTTCCAGACGATGATATACTGTTTAACGGGGTATATCCTGCTAGTAGCAATTTAGACAGGTCCTTACATGGGTAGACTTAGCGAAGTACACATATTACATAAGTAGGTATAGTTGTGTCTGATTCAGTTGCTAACAGACATGTACTATTTGCACTAAAGAAACAAGCATTTTGGTGGTTAAAATGTTCAAAATTTCACTGCGTTATTTTACGCAGGGGTCGATTCGCAGCGCAAGGAAGAGAATTGTAGTCCGTAGGCCTACAGCAGACACCACGAGTAGTATGGGGTTATGGCCGCGACCTTATGGAGTACCAAGTCTGGGTCGTGTATCGAGTGGCCGTAAGGCAATTAAATCTCCACCATGCAGAACGGGAAAGCGACAACAGTAGTCGTAAGCTGCCGTGGAATAAAAGAGACGTTGTAACATGTTTTATGGACATTTCCATGCGCGCAAGAATGTTGGCAAAATATCATCTGCCACTAAACTAGATAATAGGATCTGGGACGCTTCAGGGCTTCCTACCCAACCATGCAATCCGATAAGCTCCAGGAATATCCGCAGTAGCTCAACCGTGCTTCCCATGATGAGACATTCGCATACATCTGATCGTATTGGCACCTCTGGTTCATCTTGAGCAACATATGCATCGCTCGCTTATGGGTACAAAGAAACGGACAGGAGCGAACCTGACCATCGAAGGCGGTTTTAAGTAGCTCTCGGAAACTGGCATGCGACAAGTTCGTGCAATAGGTAAGCGCGGGAGCCGACGCGCAGAAACGTTCAACAGAGATATAGGCCTGCTTTATACCACGCATCATAGCACGGCAACCCGAGATCTGTCACCGCAGGTGACTAGCCCCGAACAGCCACCAGACTCGACCAACGAACTGGCTTTGCTAACCAGGCTTAGTAATTACCGGACATCTTGCGAGCCTTACTACATCCATAGAATTGCCTGTCTCGGATAATATCCGCAATTGTTTAGCTTAGTATCAAGTAACGACTAGCCGGTAGCTCTTATTCACGTAGAAAATTACCCAGCTAAGGAAGACAGCAAGCTCTGTAAATCTGCCAAACGATTAAACGGAGGTCATTAGTGGCAACGTTTTATTATAGCCAGCTACTGTAGCCAAGCTACTACATGTACTAAGTGCAGAGGAATACAGGCTCTGTAAGCTTTGCATCTTAGGGTTCTTAAAGCCCTAAAGGATAGCTTCACAAGCTTATGTTTTCTTGGTTGTACACAATTAACTTCTATATGAGACCAGTATCATAGATGATGACATATTCAAGTCTTCGTGTTTTGTGCTCTTGCTTTCTTTCTTTGTGACTTGTATTCTTCTTCTATCTTACTGCTTTTTTTAACGTAGATAGGCTGAGAGACTATATCTTGGACAAGATAGATGAAGCAGACTCTGACGAGGATTTTGCTCATCATGTGCTACTCGGTAGTAACTTGAACTCTAACGCCAAAGGAGGTAGAAGGAAAAAGATCATGTGGTGGGGAGAAATTTTAGAAATGAAACGTGTTGGTTGGATACGTAACTACTGACATTTGGAAATGAATGTAAAAAATTCAGGAAAGGAGTATACATTGCATTGGTCTTGATCTGCATCGCGCTGTCTATCGTGGGAATTGTTTTAATGTACATGCGCTATGCAGAGTGCAACTCAAACATACTGTTTATCTCAATTACGCTGGTATCGATGATTGTTCTAATTGCGTTAAGCGGTACGTACTGACATGATGACACGTTCTTGAGAGACATTGAGGTCTAAGACTCATCGATGTAGTCGTCAAGTGGGTAAACGTGGGCCTTCTGCCATCTACTGTGGTTTCCCTTTACCTCGTAGCATTGTGCTATCAGGCAGTTCGAGCGAACCCATGTGCTGCATGTTTTTCGTTGCCTTTATCAACCTACGAGAAGGATCAGAATCAACCAGGCATGATCATGAACTCGTTAATCGCAGCGTTCACGATTACCTGGACAAGTTGGCGAACATCAGCGACTAATACCGCTTTTTTCGGCTCGTCGTCCGTGTATAAGCAGTCTGACAACATTCTCGATGAAGATGACGAGCTAGCGAGTATTGGTCTGGTATCTGCTCGAATTGCTGAGGATGATCATCTTGAGGTTGAGATAGTACCCCAGTACCAATTTCACGTGCTAATAATACTGGCGTCGCTTTACATGGCAATGGTTCTTACAGACTGGGGAAGCGTCGACGGGTAAAGTTATCTATTGTCAATGCCAAATTCGTTGTTGTAGGAGAGAACTTATGCGTTTGTCGTTGTAAATCTTCGTCAAATGATGACGCGATGGTTACAATGTGGGTGAAAGCGATCTCGCAATGGGTGGCGTCAGGACTTTTTCTTTGGACACTTGTGGTACCCGTAGTCTTTCCCAATCGTGATTTTTTCTCGTAGGCGGGGAAATCAAGTGATACGTACGTGAAATTCTAGTGGAGGCAAACAATTTGTCATGATCGGAATGTTGTACCGGATACTTCAAGCGGAACGGCATATTGTACTTAACTGATGTCAATGCAGCACACTAACTAACACTCAAGACAACTAATCAAAGTTCGCATTGTCATTTTCGAGTTCGTGGGTCAACCCGCTGCCGCTTACGACGCCCGGAGCCGGCTCGGGCTTTTCCACCACCTCCACTTCCTCGCTGTCTTGTTAATGTATTTTTTGCAACTCGAAGCATCTGGCCTCCACACATTGTGCCATCCAATTTGCGCTGGGCCTCCAGGGCCTGCACTTTGTTTGAAAATTCCACCGTATAACCAGTCAGCTTAGACTCGGCCACAGCATCCTTTGCAAACGATACCACCCCAGGACAGTCCTGTACTGCGCTGACCAAATTGACAAGCTCTAACGGCTCACAGGTTGATACATGGATAGAAAAAGAGGTCTGGTTGCTGCAGTTACGATTAGCGTCTTCGGCGTCCAGTTTCTCCGACGTAGAAAACAATTTAGGAGAAACAGTGCAAGAGTTTCCTGCCCTTGCCGTATTATCGACGACAGGAAACGCCATTTCTTGTTCTAGTGCACACGAAATCGGATACTGCTGAGCTCCACCTTGATAATACGGTATCGTTTCCATCCAACCAGATGCATTGCCTCCAAAGCCTCGATACTGGGGCAGTTGGTGATAGGTCTCCAGTCCGAAGGTAGCATAAGGCTGAAAAGTTTGTGGGAGAGGAGGTGGAGGATATGTCACAGGCTGCATCGGATAATATTCCAGGCCCGTAGATACACCAGTATGAAATTCACTTGAATGCGAGAGTACGCCGGCTGCCATCGGCAATTCATGGTCACTCGGTGTAGCCCGTCTTGGAAAAGGTGGGCTAGAATAGTGGTGGAAGTGGGGTCCCTCCCTTGTGTACGGAAGCTCGGTACTTCGCATCAGATGCGCAAAGCGCGCCTCAACAGCGCGCAAATCTACATCTTCAGATGACCCCGTTACAACTCGTTCATCTGCAGCATGGTCGAGTCGCAACGACTCTTGGGTACTAGTTGAACCGTTTCCATGGGTGGTGCTGAACAGACTCGGCGCCAGAATCACAATTGCTTGTAAAAACTTGCCGGAACCGAGTGGTAACTCCATTTGATGAAGCTGAAGAGCCGCCTGTGTAGCACTTGTGTCAGAATCAAACTTTACAAATGCCACTCCTTGTGCCTCGCCGGTGCTCTTAACAACCTTAATATCCATGTATTCCATTCCCGACAACGATGAAACCACTGACGATAACATATGGGTTGCTAAATACCGATCGTATAACAATAGCACCCAAAGGCGGTCTTTTCCAGCTGAGGAAAGGTGGTTGGTCGATGTGGATGGCACCGGACTGTTTGGTAGACTGGAATATAACGCCGTCGAGCAACCCAACGCTCTTTCAACGTGGGATTGTACAGGTTTCTCCCGCTGCTGCAATTGTAATTCGCCAGTTTCATGTGCAAATGACAGCTAGCATACATGTATCACGCAACTTGTTGTTAGTAGTTTGTCACCTATTTATAGATATGTTCACGTACTGTCATGAATTCAGGTCGTTCCCGATTTTGGTCCCCCTGTGACAATTCCTCCCGAAATGACTTGACGACGAGCGCTGCAGTGCAAGGCTGAAGATAGATATAATACATCAGGCTGCTTAAACAACGCAAATATCATATTGCAGTTCCTTGCAGCTAGGCTACCTTTGAATAATGGATATAAGCCATGGTTTTAACGCGGCCGAAACTCTTGACAAGGTGTGCTGATTCAAAATCACCGTATACCACAAACATAGCCTCCAGTTCCTGCTTCGTAAACTGTAGAAAGTAACACAGTATCAGAAATACTCAACAAACATTAGTAGTATGATATAGCGGTACCTTGTACGTCGACGTGAAAAATAGCTTGGTCCGGGCTGGCTCGACTGACTCCAATTTAGACTTAAGCTTCATGTCCCGATCCTCTCCATAGCTCTTATTTATATCGGTGGCACCAGGTCGAGTATGCCTCTGATCTACCATCAGGCCATCATGAGCGCGCCTCTCCTGAGTTGCCTGCTGCTTCGCTAATCGATATGGTTCTTCAATTCCATTATCTGACGACTGTCTTTTACATTGCTTTTTCCGTGCTAATTCAGCTTTCAGTGCATCGGCTGATAAGCGAATGTCACTTTGATCGGAAAACTTTCTCGGTGGGGACAATGGCTCGGGTTTGGCACAAAGATTGGCTGTTGACGTTTGTCGGGACGACGTTGTAGTGTTGCTTCGCTTGCGGCAGGCGCCACTGCTATCTGACCCTGTACTAGATTCGCTGTTATCTAAACTCTGCCGTCGCCTGCGTAAATGATGTTTAGTGCGGCGAGGTGGCATTATAACTCCGCCGTCTCTTGTTGTCACCCTCAGCGTTCGTACTGCATCAAACGGAGATCCTCGAGCAGTCATTGCTGTTGATACTAGCGACACTGACCTAATACTGGATGCCAGCAAATCTGTACTGTTTTCTTCTTCAGTCTTCTCTTTGGATTTCAAAAACCCGACACTGAGATCTTCAGGTTCTTTCTGCTTCTTCACTTGACTTGGCATCGATACTATCTGCTGGTATACTGTAAACAGCCGGTCCCTGCTTGCTCCAGAGTTCGCCTCGTGTTGCTCTACTGTAAGTACCATCGCATGCACCACTTGATGTAGTTGTATCTGGTTCAAATCAGGTTTCATCATGTCGACATTGCAGACTTCTAGAGATGACAAAGGCAGCTGACTCGCTGTCATCGTCTCGGTCCTCAAACTCTCCATTGTTACCGCATCAGCTTGAAATCCTTCAAGTCGGTGCTTTTCCAGCAAAACGGCTGGCGTCATGCAATTCGTTTCCAGCGGTAGAGCTACAGCGGGTGGACTTGGTCGCTGTCTCTTTCCTGGCAGTCTTGCCTCAATTCCTCCATCATCTTCGTCCAGTCTTTTCTCTTTCTTCTCGTCCAAGTCATGTGCATGCTGATTACGTTTTAATTTGCCATGGCCGCCCATTGGTCGTTCCTTAGCAATAGTCACCTGAAATCAAAACCAACAAGGATTTTTGTCAGACAAGACATATCATTGTTTGTTAGGTATGATGATAATATCTGTCCAGAACAAAATGTCCACCTTGAGAATATGTCCATCGTCCATTTTCATATGGTCCAACTTTTCAATCGCTTCAACTGCATTAGCTTGATCTTCGTATTGTAAGAAAGCAAATCCCTGTATAGATCGAAATAATAGTTTCCAATACGACAGAAGAAGAAGAAGAGAGAATCAAAACTCATGTCACATATTACATACAAATACGACATTGAACTTTGAGCATTTCAGACCCGTGACTTTTTGCTTCGATCCAGTGCCAAATGCAAGTGTTTAATAGGTCCACACGTTAAAAAGAGTGCCCGTAATTCATCCACTTTACAACCACGTCCACATACGACAAACAGTCGTAAGTGATCCAAAGACTTGGAGTCAGGAATGATCTCGGTCTTGAGCGTCTCTTGTTGGTAGAAGGAGGTAGATGAATCACCACCACTTGGAGTGGCCATGTGAGAGACGATCGAAGAAGACGTTTTTTGACACTTTTTGATGTTACTGACATTAAAAAGGGGTGATGTAGTCATTACTATTATTAGATGCATGGACAGATAAGAAAAATAGATATGGTCAGATTAGAAGAATGGAGTTTGAAAAACACTTTTTTAACTTTCGACGACAAAACGTGTTGAGTATCGTTGTTTTGTAGGTCGAAATGGAAGCGGTAAGATCTAAGGGTTTTTTAGCCGTCTTACAATACAAGCAAGCACCTGTTCTCTTGTTGTGGATACGTTTTGAACCCATTGCATGACAATGTAACGATATCATTAAGCTCTATTGTGTCTTTCAGATATAATCTACCACAATTGACCGACAACAAGTTATGTCGCTTGTCAGCTGTGGTAAAAAAGATGGAGACTAGCATTTAGTTAGTTTACTTGCAGAGACAAATTGACTGAACCAACAACTAAGAACAACCCAATATGACACATTTAGATTTACAGATCAAAACGTAGAGACTGTCAAATGAAATCATGATAGTGCTTTGCATAAGCTCAGTCTTATGAATCGTGTCTTTTAGTGTCTTGTTCATTGCTACTTTACCTTGTAGCTGATCGATCACACAGGCACAGGATTAGATAGCATTCTAGTGCGTACCCATATGGTATTAGTTGTTTGTAGACAAACCGTGCAAATACCGGTACGAGGTTTTCTTAATTTTACCGTTTCTCAGTACATTTGTTCACTAAACCCGGGTGTACGTACGTACATACGTACGTATACAATGCATAATCACTTAAAGTCTTTTCAATCATGAACATAAACAAAACAAAAACGAAAACACCTCATCCTTTTTTTTACTTCAGGTCTACTACATCTAAGCTATAGAGCACATTTGAAAAGTAGCAATAAAGAGAGAGAGACACACATAACGTGAGTGAGTGCGTGAGAATGATGGAAATGCATCTAATTGAGGTCGAATTTACAGTGCGTCTATTGGGTAATACAAATGAACCGATTGTCGTTTGTCTCTTGGGTAACGTGATAAAACTGGGGACTTGGGACGTGGCAAAAGCTGGTACGTCGAGCAATCATGGGTCTTGTTTGGCGTATACACTTCATCCTTTCGTAACTAATATTATACATGTTCTTGTATACACATGTATACTAGTACCTCTGAAGCTCCTTCTACATGAAGAGAATGGAAGCACATGGCATACAAAGATCAAGTTTAAAGCAAATCTTCATACTCTTGAATATAAATATGTGGTCAAACATCAGGAGACCCATGAATTGATTTCATGGGAGGGATTACCAGGTAATCGAACACTTACGATTGCTCCAGGTACTAATGTTGCATTGTAAGTCGTAGGTGTATGATGTTTCGATCTCGCTATTGATGGGAAAAGCGTTGATTTTTAGACTTACTTTACTTACTTTACTTAGACAAGCTCCTTCAAGTCAGAGCTCCACGTATGCAACGTCACGTGCTCCAGTCCCAGGACCTCGTGGCGCAGAGCTAGGAAATAACGGAAATACTAATGGATATCAAGAGTGGCGTTGCTGTCGTACTAAAAAAGAGGCAAATCCATGGTGGGAAGTGGACTTGGGACAGAATTATACTATCTCTAGTGTCCACTTGTGGAATGCAATGACATATCATGAACAAGCTCAGCATCCAAGTGGTCGTCCACCGAGAACATCCAAGTCATCAACGTCATTGCCTGCGCCTCCATTGTGGATATTCATTTCGAAAGAGCCATTGGGTCGTGGAGCAGATTCATTTGAAGATGCACAAGCTAAAGCTGCTGCAGATGCATCTTTTGTGCGTGCAATTGAGGTGGAACATTCGTTTGATAGTCGCGTGCGATCGGTGAAGTTTAGTGTCGGGGGATTACGTGGAGGTGATGACAGCTCCAACGGAGACAATTGTCCTGCTATGGTAGCATCAGAGCTTCCACGTGTTGAGGGTCGCTATGTACGACTGCAATGTGCTGGTAGCTCATGCGCTTTGCAGTTTGCTGAGCTTGAAGTAGTCACGCAGGATATTGAAAACGGGCAAGTGGTACTACAACAAGATACGTTGTGTACCAAACGGGACGATGGATTTTACGGTGTTTCGTCAGCATTGGAAGCAGATCTGCGCGAGTATGTTGAGAGTGGATGGCTGGACCCTGCGGTCGACGTAGCTGAGCTGAGGGTATGGATTGGTAGTTTTGATTCCGGCAAGCCAGCCATCCAGTGGCTGAATGGCGAAATAGAACACAGTCGTGTGGTAATTGAAATGCGTCATGAAAAAAAGCAAACAACACACGGTCCTCAAGGCGAGCGCAACACTCAGCGTCAGCAAAAAAGCAGTAATTCGTTTATGACATGGGAGCCACTCCCCGTGGAGTCGAAAAGTGGAGCCTTGCTAGACCAGGAGTCAACAGAGCTGCGCAAGCTTTTGAAAGCACACCAGCAAAAGAATGATACTGACTTGTCATCATATCTGAACAACGACCCTTATGTTACACGTTCAAAAGCCGCGTTAGGCGGATCATCGTGGGTCTCGACGTTAGCATTTGTTCAATCTCTGAAAAAGCCGGACGCGGAGGCTTTGTTTTGCCAGGTCGTTACGCGTAACTACAAGAAGGGCGAAAGTATCTTGCGTTACGCGGAACAAAAGCACACTGTTTTCTACATAAAGTCTGGCGATGTAGAATTGCTAGGACCGGAGTCATCAATGGGTTCGAATGTCATTGGAACGCTTGGAAAGGATTGTGTCTTCAACGAGATGGGGATTTTTGGTGGTTGGTCTAAGCAACCAGCGTTATTTAAAGCTAAGGATGAAGTGGTTTGCGAGATGCTCGAGTTTGAGACGCTTCTTACAGTTCTGGGAACGAACAAAGTAGCTTCCATTCGGAACAGTTACGCGCGTAGCAGACACAAGGCTATGTCCTCACTCGAAACGAAGGAAGTACACTACATGGACAGCGTACACGCCCAAATATTTTCTACCAAAGTACCTTCGTCCGTTGTAGATGGGAGTGGAAATTATATCAATGGCCTCATTCATCGCTGGAAATTTGATGTTTACGATTGTCAGAAGGACGCAACGTTGGGAAAGTACACCAAAACGAAGCTCATGGGATCAGCTTATCTACTTCCATCGCAGATTGGCAAGTATGGAGAATCAGACCAAACCGTCCCGATTTTTTCCACTAAAATGGACATCGTGGGTGAGCTCACGTTGACATACTTAGTTCTGACGCCTTTTGTCCACCCGAAAAACAACATTGCAAATGTTTGGCGCTCTTACTGGCGCGAACGGCCTCCTCTTACAATTGGACATCGAGGTATGGGAAGGTCACATTATCAAGTGGACGGACACCGCCTCGCGCTAACCCGGGAAAACACACTAGCGTCGTTTATTTTGGCTGGACGGAGTGGTGCAGATTTTGTGGAGTTTGACGTGCAACTGACAAAAGACAGAGTGCCAGTAGTCTATCACGATTTTATGGTGAACGTTGGATTCGAAGACAAGAGCGCCGGGTCATTTGGTACAAAACCCGAGATGTACGAGATTGGTATTCATGATATATCCTTTCGCCAGCTGACGCAGTCGTACACGACCCCAGTGCAGCATAAGGGCAGAAATAGCCAAGTGCTGCAAAAGCGCGTGAAAAAACACTGGGCACGACTTCAAGGAGACAAACAACTACCTTCACCTAGACGCGGACCTTTAAAAAACGATGACAGTATCGCTGCCGAAGAGGATCATCTCGTAGAGTTCTTTCCCCGACTCGAGGATTTGCTTGTGCATGTTCCTGCGGAAGTTGGTCTGAACATTGAAATTAAGTACCCCGACACGTTATTTCATCCAGAGCTGTGCAGCTTAAGGAGCTTTGCCATCAACGCCTATATCGACAGGATCCTTCAGTGTGTTTTTGATTACGCCGGCTCGCGCCGGATTTTCTTCTCGTGCTTCAGCCCAAGTGTCTGTGTCGCACTTCGCGCGAAGCAAACAAAATACCCTGTGCTGTTTTTGACTTGTGGTTCCATGGCACCAAGCGCAATTGATGCACGAATGACGCTTGAATTCGCCACCAATTTTGCTAAGATGGAAAATTTGCAAGGTATTGTGTCGAACTCGAGCGCGTTGATTGAGACGCCGGAGCTTGTAGCGCTTGTGAAGAAACGTCTAGGTACAGTGCTCATCACATGGGGTGACAAGAACACAAACCACGAGATGGTGCAATTGCAGAAACGTTATGCTATTGACGGTGTTATCAGCGACAATGTCATTGACCTCATTATCCAAGACAAGAAGTTGCAGTCCCTAGTACAAACGTAGCGATTGGTGTTTGTTGACGAATTATTAGTAGACAGGGTCAGATTGACTAGAAGCAGGAAGTCGAATGGATTTGCTATTTTACTTTGTTTATAAGCTGCTTTTTTTCACAGTGAAAAAGTGTTTTTTATAATAAGTTAAGTTGTGTGTGGTACTTCATCAATGGCTACAGTGATGTAGCCTGTGGGGTACACTATATCAAGTCTGAGACATTGGCTGTTTGTTGCCTTAACGGACAAACTTGGGATCAGACATGAGGTAAAATTATTACATCTTGTCACATGTGGGCGTATATTTCTGTCATGAGGGTGACAGCTCTTTTTACCTCGATTTTTTATAAACTTGCCATCAAAACCTACCAAAACCACTACTCCTTTCATGTTGCATATTCAACGGCCACTTTTTGTTTGCTTCTCTTCTTCTTCTTCTTCATTATTCATTCTGATTCAATAATATCTCATCATGGAGCGCACTACACGTCCTATCCATCACTATACTACTCTTTCTATACTCGAGAAACAGAGACAATGTATACTATTAAGTAAGATCATGCAGTATGAGACACGAGGAGCAATTCTACCAAGCGATGCACGTACATTACGCAATCAATTACATGATAGTACGAGTGGGCATTGGAAAGATGTGGAAATACGATTACAAGAGCTTGTATTACAATGGAATCCTTATCAATATGGAAGAAGAAGAAATGAGGAGGAGGAGGAGGAAGAAGAAGAAGAGGCATTGAACAAGAAGAATCAGAAGGAGAAACTGAATTTTTATCAGATTTTAGCATTTGAGCATCTTTCTCATCCTCAGACTCAGATTCCGACATATGCTCATGTAACTAGTGATGATATTAAACGACAGTTTCGTAAATTGGCATTGGTTTATCATCCTGATAGACAACAAAAGTGGAAAAAGGATGCACAAGCAGGAGAAAGGAGAAGTCTCAGAACTGATAAGAAGAAGGAGAAGGAGAAGCATAAAGAGATGGATTCTATGCAGTTTGCACGGTTAAGATTGGCCTATGAGACATTAAGTGATCCTAAAAGACGTGCAGCGTATGATGAGAAGCTACTGGAAGCATTACAACCAAAGAAATTACAACATATGGATCATATGGTGAAGGATCAAGTGAAATTAGAAGCGTCGACGGATTTTGCGTCCTTGGAATGGATGGCACGTGTTAAACACAAGATGGACGTGATGGAGCGGATTGCTGAATGGACTAAGCTATTGTCACTTGATGCAACGGAAATACGATTTGAAACGGGTGAGCCATGCTCTGGAAAAGGATGTGGTAAAATTGTGAGCATGGATCGAGATTTAGAATGCTCCGGATCGCCACGACGTCGTGTATACGTTTGCCTATTGCACAAGTACATCCACGCATGTGATGAAAGTTGCACGAGCTTATTTAGTGACGCCGAATTGGATCGACGTGTGTGTCCGATGCGAGCGTATTGGCTTATTCAAAACTGGCTGTTTGATCAGCTTCAGGCTGCAACGACACAGCAGCAACAGCAGATAGAGCAACCGTTTACCCCAGGAGCTAACAGGAATGAGTGTAGACAGCCTTTGCTGAAGAAAGAAAAACATGCAAATGAGTGTGATCATTCTTCAGCACGGAAAGAGGAGACTACGATTCCGGTGATGTGTAAAATTAAGCCGTCGGAAATTTACTTGGGCGATCAATACACTCGCTTTCAGGTTGAAAAGAGTGCAGAATGTCAGAGCGATACATGTCGAATGAACTTTCAGTTTCTGGAAGATGGTATTTATGCTTGCCGTCGCCATGGAACGCCTCACATCTGCACTTTTGAGCAGTGTGATCGCCAGGAGCTACGCTTGGGCAGCTACATTTGCTGGGTAAGCGGTAAAGTTTATGGTCGTGAACGGGAGCAAGTGGGTACGGACGTGCGCAAACGTCGCGTCGTGTATTCAGACGAGCAGGGGGACGACAATTTTGTTGAAATAGAAGTTCCTGTAATGCTGCCATTGGGTAAGACAACAGGATTTCTGTTAGAAGGCGACTCCTCTTTTCAGCATTCAAGTGATATGTCATCGCTGTCTCCACCGCCGCCAGACGAGAAATTGTGGAGCAAGCGGCCACGTGCAGGCTCTGACCGGTGTACTTATGGCACTTCGTCGCCATCGCGCAAAGTACGGAAGAGATTCAAGTGCGACCGAGATGGAAAAACCTCACCGGCGCGCAAGCGCCTGCACGAACGGTTGGCATCGAAAATTGAGCGCGCGGAGACAGCTTCGTTTCACATATATTTAAAGCTACCACCTGCTGTTGCCATCTTACCAAAGGTAGCGCTGGAGCTGGAAGGTACCGCAGACAGTTCATATGATGGAGGCATTTCGACCGAAGCGGGTTCTGATGGTAGCAAGGAGAACTTGTTGCAGATCTTGCTGCATTCGTATCATACCGTCAATTATATTAAGTACTGGATGGAAGAGCTTACGGAGCAGCAATTATCCGTTTGGGACCAACAGATATATTGGGGTGATACTCCGATTGGTGAAGAGGCCGACGTGATGGTCCTAGAAGAGCATGGCATATCAGCTGGCTGCATACTTGAACTACGTCTCCACGACGATTGTCCACTGCTGGTATCAACATGGAATGGCAAGAGTGCCGCATCTGGAGATGGGGGGTGGTGCTCCTGTTGAGTATAACACGGTACAGATATCAAAAGAGGCAGAGGAAGAGTTGGACGATCTTCAGGAAGAATGGGAGAATGTTATAGTTGCTGAAGAGGAGGCTTTCGAGCAATCTCGTCTTGAGTTGGTGCGTGAAAAGCTGAAGCTTCGTGGTGTTATCGGACATACTGAAGTGCTTCGGTACGATAGTGCCAAGTCGGCACCTCGACTACTTGGCGTAATTCAAGAGCGATCTACTGGTGATGATGACATTGATGGCAAGCATAGGAGGCAACTAATTCCACCTAGTGCAGACGGCAATGGGATATGTGAGAAGGAGACAGCTTTGTTGCCGCCGAGGAGCGACATCTTGGTAAAAGAAGAGCAAGAGCAAGTCCCGAAAGGGGTGGAGGAGATGCGATCATTGTCGAACGACGCCCAACCAGTAAAAAGAGTCAAGAAGGCGTGGGCAAACCGAGAAAACAAGTAAGTCTGCAATTTACACTTGCTTCTACAATTCATGATGCATTGAGAAGAGAGGCAAAGACCTGTCGGCAGCTTTCGAAAAGAGACATTGTGATAGCGGTGGATGGGGCATGGAATGCGACGCGCGCTCCGGCTCCTTTGTATAATGCCAACACGCCTTCCGTTCTACTCAGTGGAACAAGAGCACCAGAGAGATCAGTTAGTCTTTGCCAACATGTAGCTTCAATTATTCTATGCAACAAGATGTACCTGATCACTCGTGTGAGGCCGTCGACGATTCCATGATAAGCTGTGGGAGCTTCTTCTATTGTGTATACACGTTGAACCTGGTGTGCATTTGCTAGGTAAGTTTTTTTTATCGGGTAAAACAGAATTGAATGCAACACGTGCCTGAAGTCGTAGTTTAATGAGGTCCAATGGGTTGGTAAGGAACGATGCCATGGCACCTGCAACCGCGGCGCTTCCAAGCGTGTAATGCGCTGGCAGCTCCTGTAGGTCGAGTTGCTTTTGTGCAAACGCCTTGGCGTTTTCGTAAAACATAAAGTAGAGTGCCGAGAATGGTCCAAAAGAAAAGAGTGTAGCAAAGTACCCCTTGTAAAGACCACCAAGGCGCTCTGTGCGTGCAATCGTTTGTACAGCATCAAGTGTATTGCGGTAGTAGGTTTTCCGCATATTTTTTGATGCATCTTGTGGCGGTACTTGGACCTGCATGCGTTCCTTGATCACGTCAATGGGCACCCATAGTACACAACTGAATGCCTCGGCTATCATTCCTGCTCCTAGATACAAGAATGATGGATGTTGACGAAAACTTTCAATTCCGACGAGCGTCTTTTTTGACATTTCATATGACGTCATGTAGAGACAAGTTGCTGGTGCTGAACCTAATAGGCTCACTCCAATACCTCGATATAATCCTTTCCAGTGTGTTAAACTACAAAAGAACCGCAAGATTATTCACTGGATTATAGTATCGATCATGTCCATCATGACGTTTTGACCTTCTTGCAGATGTTTTTTTACTTACTTAAATGCTGCTTGGAGATGAAGCTGAGACATGATAGTTTGAGACGGGCGTAAGGTCGAATTAGCTTGTAATCGCGCTTTAATTGTATCCAATGGATGACAAAAGAAACGACCAATCATACCAGCAGTAGCACTGCCCTGATTACAAGCAATGAATTATAGAAGATTATAATCATGTTAGAATTAACTACTACCACAAAACCTTGACACATGATATATACCTACCAGAAGAGTGGGCAGTTGATTAGAGGACTATGAAGATACAACGATACAAATATGATTATATTAGAATGTACTACATTAGATTGGATGTTGTCTTTCGATAAACTCAAGAAGTCATGTATACATACCATAGAATGTCTCTCCTTCTCATTGTCTTTCATGTTATGGCGTTGTATGGTTTGTGTTTTGTGATCTTTTGTGTATCAAATGGTAAGAATAATCGAGTCATACCAGCTACCGGTTTCGTGATATTCTTTGTTTCCTGTGATAAAGAATCCAGACAAGATACCGGTACACGTTACCATTACCCCCATGGTTCCGTACTCTAATTTGTCAAAATGTTTCTTTTTTTTAGCAAATCATCATTCATTTTTTATTATCGTCACATTGAGTAAGAGTCAGACCTTATTTGAACAACGTCATCATCATCATGACTCGCGTGTATCTCGATTATAATGCAACAACACCCATTGAACCTCTTGTAATGCAAGCATTAGTACCATATATAGGTCCTTACTTTGGTAATCCTTCATCTTCCTACGAACTTGGTCAAATTGCAAAAAAAGCCGTTAATGTAGCACGTACTCAAGTCGCATCGATGTTAGGAGCGAATAACGCCAATGAAGTGGTGTTTCTATCTGGTGGGACCGAATCTATTAATTACGCAATCAAAGGTTCAGTATTTGCAGCGAAACGTTCGAGCGGTCGTAATCATATCATTACATCACGTATTGAACATGTCGCAGTCTTGGAAACTTGTAAATGGCTAGAGACACAAGGATTTCGTGTCACGTATGTACCAGTGGATTGTTTTGGTTGTGTACGGATACAAGACGTTGTTGATGCCCTGACGTCACAGACGTGTTTAGTATCAATCATGCTGGCAAATAATGAAGTTGGCTCGTTACAACCAGTCGCAGAAATCTCACAAGCCGTACGACAATTTGTTGCTGTGAATCAAGAGACGAAGAAAAAGAAGGAGAAGAATGGGTCCGTGATTCTTGTACACACGGATGCAAGTCAAGCTATTGGCAAAGTTCGTGTCAATGTCCAAGAGCTTGGAGTTGATTTACTAACAGTAGCAGGTCATAAATTCTATGCGCCAAAGGGTATTGGTGCACTCTACGTTCGTGAAAATACAATGCTGGACACGATTATTCACGGAGCATTACAGGAAAATGGACGTCGTGCTGGTACAGAGAATGTTGCACTAGTGGCGGCATTAGGACAGGCTTGTGTGCTTGTTGAAGAAAACTTGCACGAATATGCTGTCATTATGAAAGAAAGCAGGGCATTTCTTCTGGAGCAGATCCAGAAACATTGCAGTCTCTCAAATGTTAGCTACCGAGTGAATGGACATCCAGAACTTTCACTGCCTAACACGCTCAGTATCAGCTTTGAACACATTGACGCACCACGTCTCCTGGACTGTAAGTTCTTTGCATACTTGACTTTATCATCGAAATAGTACGATGCTGACTTTACTGTGGTCTGTCATCATTATCAGTGATTGCGGCCGATGGCGTCTATGCGAGTGCAGGATCAGCGTGTCATGGCCACAAGCAGGACAGGACTATTGACGAGGAGGCAAACTTAGAGCATCAGGAGGAAGACATTGCTGCTATCTCGCACGTGTTAGTTGCCATGCACGTGGCCCCTGAGTTTGCTAAAGGTACGCTTCGCTTGTCAGTGGGACGCTCCACGACGCAGGAAGAGGTGTTATACGCTGCTAACGCGATTCACAAGGCCATTCAGCAACTTTTGTAGGTAGCCAGGCATGGAACTATAACGTCTACTGTGACGCTTCATGCTCTTTCTTGCCTCATTATCACTGACATGGGAAGAATAATATAACTTCAAGCAAACACGCAAAATGGACACATTCTACTTGCTAGCACGCTATGGATGGTGCAAGCACATAGTTCCTAGCAAAATATCCTGCCGACTTTGTGTTCATTCATCTTCAGTAGCGTTTCGAAATCCAAGCCAAAAGCCATTTAAGGTGCGTGAGCATGTACTTGAGCGCTCGAGTCCACTGCTCGTCGTTGCCAAGAGAAATAGGCAGGCCACCAATTTTACCGCGTTCCACCTTGTACGGGAACTTGAGCGATGGTTCCTCTTTCATCGCACGACGACCTGCGTCCTCCACGCACTCGAGAAATAGAATCATAGCTTGATTGAAGCCTCGGCGACGAAACATGCCGCCATCGCTGTACAGACTGTACTCTTTCCCGTACATATTGACTACACGAGAGAAGCTACCTCGAGGCACAAGACGATTACGCGAAAATTCAAAATTGGCGCGGTCAGCGATAGTTGCCAGCAACAACACTGCTTGACCCATTGCCGCATTAATTTCGACCCACTCCACCGGTTTAGACGGCAACCTGCCAAGCCTCAGTCCATTAATGGTACCAAACAGACCGTCGTGCCAGATGTGGAAAACATCGTTGCACACGTTGTAGCGCTGAAGGCGGCGCAGCATATCTGATGCATGCACTGCAAATACACCCACTGACTGGCGCTCGTCCCGACTCAGACCCAACAAATGCTGCAGGAATGCTCCTTCAGCAAACGTGCCATGGATCAAATGCTCGAGATCAATGCCAGTTGACCAAAGGTCACGTCTTTTAGCTGTCACTTGTACAGTCTCATCCTCAATAGCCTCTAACTCAGCCTTTAGTTGCCGTTCTTCCTCCTCCAGAGCGCGAAGTTTTGGATCATCATGCCACTCGTCGGCATTGTAATCTCCATCATCGCAAAACGCTCGTGCTGATGTCCGCTTTTCGTCTGCAAACTGAGCTACAAAACCCTCGTATTGAGCTCGATCTTCCTCCAGTTCGTTCAATACTCTGCAGTAGTCATCAAAAAATGCATAATGATAAATTCTTCTCAAAATGGCACAAGCAGATGCTCACTTACTGAGTATATTGGGAAAGTACCTTACTTTCACAGTCATGACAAGTAGGTAGTCTCTTTTTCAGAAGAATTGTGCTGCAAAACCATCAAACCATACCACGTTATTATGTTTCCTGGTAGAAAAAACACTTAGTACGCCCTACCTGCAGTCCAGTAATTCCTGGAACCAGCTGAGATCGCTACCATCAATGCGACGCTTGCGGATCAAACACCTTCGACGAACAACACGCTCCTGTGAGATCGCATCAGTCTTTGCTGCACTTTCGCTTTGCTTGCCACTTTCCACTGCCTCCTTTGCAAAAACACGGGGTTTCTCCATCTTGTCAAAATCTGCAAACGAGGCTGCGTACACCCATCCTTCTTCATCGCAATGCGGAAGAGAGTGATCCACCTTCCAGTCCGATATCCACAAGTGTGGCTTGTTCAGTAGTCGCGCCGGTACTACATCCGCAATATTCTGTCCAATGTCTCCACGATTGCAGCTCGTAAAGGCTGCGATTCCATTCATGAGATCAGATTCAGCGGGCACCCAAACATTAGCATCACCAATGTCGTCCAAATGTTGTTGCTCCCACACAATCTCGGGAACAATAGCTGACGTCTTTTGCTGCTGTTGCTGTTGACTTAGTGACGACCTCGCCATAATATGTGCTGTCTCCTCCTCTTCTTCTACATCAGTGGTCTCTCCAGCATCTGTTCCTTCCGTAAGTCTCGGTATCTGCTCTTCCTCGTCTTCTCCCTTGCTGTCTCGTTGCCCACACGGTTCTGATGGGTGCTCGTAGACCACTGGTCGAAGCTTCATAATTTTCTCCTCAATCGACACTGGACTGTATTGAAACTTGAGCAATGCACCACACTGATGGCACGTAAACAAGCTCTTACCTTCCATAGCGACGCGTCTAGCGGTAGGTGCAGGACTCTTGGAGTATGGTGAGAAAGATGCATTGGCAGATGAAGGTGCGGGAGAGGAAGACATGGTGGTCAATACTGATCCTGTAGTAGCTCCAATGGTAGCTGGTGGTCGTGGTAATGACGTAATGATCGTAGGCGGTTGTATCGAGCCATTGGTACTCATTGAAATAAAGATTGATCGAGTTTGAGACGTCGGTTGGACTCTGTAATTACACGAAAAGAATGGAAATCAAGTGAGAAGGAACAAGAGAGGATCGGTATAATGTAAAATCTCTTGTGGACAAAGATATGAAGCGGAGAAGAAGAAGAATCACCAACACGTTTGCAATATCGAACAAGATGGAGTAACGCCATCGCAACTCGAGTGAGAAGTAGAATGAACGCTGATTGGATAAAATTCAAGTGTAACAAGACAGTCACATAATTATCACCAATCGATTGTTCTTGTGGACACAATCTGTCCACATCAGATGAAAAAACGACCGAGACAATTACATTACACTACATGATGATGACTCATTGATCTGTGCCGGTTGCTGAGTCAATGGCATTGATAATGACGAGTTTGCTGCATCTTCTTCACTAGATAATGACATTGCAGCTTTAGCTTCGTTATTGGGACTAGCCGCTCGAATCATTGATGTGTTCTTGCCTTGACCACTACGATCCACTACCATGTTGGTAAAAGGATCATTAATTTCATCCTCATGCTGCAATCGATGCTGCGTAACCGCAACTACTTCCATCGGTACACCCATCTTCGTCGCCTCGAGCTTCATCTGCTCACGTAGTACTGCTTTCTTCACCGCATCGTTCTTGAACGGCACTACAAGATCCAATCACATTGAACACACATACAAGAACAAGAAAGAGAATGATTCCAGCCAGTATCAATCAATACACACAGGATACAAACGACAGTGAGTTAGAGTTTCATACATACCAAATGTGTTGTCAGCAGCATCAGCATCCAAGTCCACAGGTTTATCCCATCGATCTTCGCCTGTTTCCGTATTATGATAATAAGTACGTCCTTTCTTTGATGTAAGTACGGCCCATCGCTTTCTCTTGGGTTTCTTCACTTCCGTTATTGAAGTTGTTCCAGTGTTGTCAAAAGCCACAGTTATCACCTCACTTCCTCCTCTCCCGTCTGCTGTCGTCACAGTCTCATACACCCGTCCACATACAGTACATTTGCCCAATGCCACCATATCATCCTTTGGTATATTGACTTTACAGCCTGTACACTTGATAAAACGTTCATTCAATGTCCCGCTCGTTGCGCCGTTCATTCCACGCGACATCATTGGTTTTTCTTGACTCTACTCGGCTTCTTTTTTAGACTTGAGTTCAGTATACTCAACGGTATCAAGAGCCGTTATTAGGAGAAAAAAAAACGAGAAGCTAGAATGTTTATGCGATAGAACAGGTTTTTCGCACATACTAGACGAGACAATCTTTTCCTACCTTCGTCATAAAGTAAATTGCACTGGAAAATATAAAAGAGCCTTTATTATAGCTTACCACAAAATAAAACCGATGCTTTTCGACACGATTCGGTCAGTTAGTATTTAGTATATATCTATTTTTTTTTATCTTTCAACCTGGTTCTTTCTTTCTTCTTTTACTCATTATTCTCATGTATCTTCTCTATTAATTATTATGTTTGCGCTATGTAGATGGATGGATGCATCCGTTGTAAATCCCGTGGCAACGCGACTTGCTGGATCAGTTGCGAATCCGACTGTATTGAGTTTTATCTTGTGGAAACGACTCAAGACATTGACACCACAGCGTACACGTGATTTTATGCGGCTATTGACAACAGCCCTAGCCAATGCTCTTGATGTTTTTCGTGCAGAGAGAGGTCATGAGCTTCGAAGCAAGTCCAAGCAGCTTCAGAAGGACTTTGTCTACGCTGCGAGTACACGCAACGGTCGAGATGTTGTATTGAATAGTGTAGCTACTGTGGCAAAGATAGCCCAGGCACTCAATACACCCGAGACGAAAGCAGCTACAGAACAATTGTTTCAGACACTACAGTCTGTCGTGGACTTTTTTGCAAGTGATGATGGACGGCGGATTATCTCGAGCACTGGCAAATGTCTTACAAGTGTGACTGAGATGACAGCATCACCTGAAGCTTCGATATTTTTGGCAGAACTCGCAACGAATCTCCTGCATACGCTCGAGAGCGAGGAGAGACGACATCATGCGAGTCATGGACAAGAGGAAAAGGACGTAAAGGTGAAAAAAGAGGATGAACAAAATGCGCCACAAGAACGGGAGATGGATCAAGAAAGGAACCACAAACATGCGTACTCACCCACATCCTCAACGACCGACACTCGGTGGAGTTTTGACACGGATTCCATGTTATCGTCAGCACCAGGAACTCCCGTTACAGGAATGGACACTGCTCGAGCTTCGGAAGACGGATCGATGCTGTCGTCGTCTACAGCACTACCGGGAACGCGACGTCAGGTGTCAATGTCGTTGCCTGCAAAGAAAAGTAGAAGTTTTCGCTCGGCACGAATTGAAAAAGAGGTATTGCTAAGACTAGGGGTTGATCCATCGATGCTCAGCGAGGTCCAGCGTGTGCTTGACGTCATTGCCGCGGAAGAACGAGCAGAGATGCAGCGTCAGCGTGAAGAAGCAGATTATGTCGCGAGTTTGGTGGTACCGGAGTCGACTGATGTGGGTATTGCACCCGCGTTTGGGAATGATGAGGAAGAAAAAAACGATCAAGTCAATGATGGTGACGAAAGCGCGTCGCTTCCGGCATCCGAAGAGATTCCCGAGTGGCACAAAAAGCCGTTGCGAGAGGCATTACGCCGCCGCCACGCGCATACTGAAGCAGCAATGAAGCAGCGTGATCCGGCAACTCGTCAAGCTTGCGAAATGGCGGCGGTGCTGGCTCAACGCAACATAATGCATGGAGACTTGCAACCTGGCGACATTGTGGCTTGCCGGACGATTGCTCGGATGATCGTGTACAGTGCAGGTTTCTCCTTACTGCTCTCGGGATATCTGCTCAGTCGGAACATCTTTGGTTAAGAAGCTGGAGCGCTTTTTTGCATTAGTTTAATATTATCTTAGCAATTTCTTAATCTACTCTACTTTCCCACTCCAAAACTGTTGCTTTGCACGAACAGTCTGTTCCACACTGCGTCCAGAACACCGTTGCCAAACTGCATCCAGGACAACGTGAATTGGTTCAAAACGCTGATCAAGCTCTTGTTGAATAACAGCAGCAGAGTGGCCCATACGCGTCCAGATCCGCACTTGACGGAAATAGTCGTCGTAGATTTCGGCTGCACACACTGGGTGGAAGTTCTCGCCCGCACTTTCCGCAAGCTCATTTAGGTGGTCAAGACCAAAGCTCTGATTGATCAACACGCAACATCGTCTTGGGTCCGATACGCCGTCCCCAGAAGTCAAGGTAGCATGCACTGCATTGATGGTAGCGGCCGTCGTTGGGTAATACAGTAGCCGCGGCAGTTTTTCGGGTTTGTTGCTCCTCCTTGTTATGGCTACGTCGTCATTTTTTGTGTTGTCTTTTGATTCTTTGTCCTTGCTCACAGATTTGTCCGTAACCTGTGTCTGTGTAGCAGTGTTGCTGGGCACACTACTAGCACTGTTATTCTTTTCCATTTTCTGAGAACCTCCGCTAATCTTTTGCTTCATATCGCGATTCGAGTTACGTATCCCTTGTTCTTGTTCTTCGACCTCGCGCGGCTTTCGTTCGATCTCCTCTACTTCAGCCTTTGCTTTCGCTTCCGCAGCAATCTCGGCTCGCTCGCGCTCTTCAAACTCCACAGCCTCTGCTGGGGTAAGGACAGCATATCCATGGTGTTCGAGAAACAGCTTAAACAGCGAAAAGTTGTGCGGCGTCACATCTAGTACCAGTGTCTTTCGGCCATCAACAAAACGTCCACACCATTTCAGCACCTCTAGCAGCAGGGGTGCTTTAGAGTCGATGAGAACGTTAACTTCTTGCTTGAGTCGCGTTCGATCACGCAGCGTGACGAACGACTCTCCGCCAAGATTGCATGGCTGGCGAGAATCGCCCAACAGCACACAAAGACTTCGAAATGGCCGTGCAAGTGTCAGTGCTGCTTGCCGCTCTACAAGGCGGTAGGCTTGTGATGCATCTTCAATCGAGAGCTCTTTGTCCCACGATGAAGGTGCCGTTGGCATCACTTGCAACTCAAATGCTCTATCCTTTAGTGTGGCATCCGCCTCGATGCATAGAATATACTTTCCTGTGGTCGTACGCAGCAAAAAGGATTCATCAACACGCAAACCTGACCACGAATGCCGAAACCCGTATTGATCTTTGGGTACACACCACACGCACGGCACTCGTCCATTTAGCGACCACAAAGCCACCAGGTGACGATGCTGCTCTGGTTTCTCGAGCACAGGTAGAATATGCGCGCCATAACGTGCCATTGATACTTCGGTCACATCACTTCCCTTTCCTGCAAGACGGATAATACGTTCTTCAATGCCTTGTAACGGCGGTTCTAGTCCACTGTATACATTTTCCGAGTACCCCAAGGCCGCTTTGCCACTTGCCCTGACAATATTCAACAACTGCGTCACCACCATAAAGCCCGCAAGCATCGACCTTGCTGTGAATATCGTCATGACTTTTAGCTTCAAGGCTGCATCAACACTTGACGTTGCCGGGTAAAAGATGTGCAGAAACTTTGTCGGATCGAGATTGAGCGATTGCGCGACAAGCTCCGGCGCTCGAGTTTCCCAGATGCAACTAGCGAGAAAATTATGCGTTGCATATTTGTACATAAAGAGCATCGAGTCGAGTGTTATTGGTTGTAACGGGTCCAGTAGAAGAAATGCCTCGTACATTGAGAGGCCAAAGACACCAGTAGAACAGACACCTAGAAGTGCTAGTCTAGCAGGCTGTACAATGCTGTATATGGAAACACGTGCAATGCGAACAAGAACCTGAGCTTCTCTTGATAATGTCATGGCATGGTGATCAATTACAGAGCGTCCAGGAAATTCCTGCTCGGGTTTCCATATAACGTCGCCTAGTCGCTGTTGATTCGCAGTGTGTTTTGACTTTTTGATTTTGTTAGAAGACGAGAAATGATGTACTAATGGAGTAAAAGAAGCGGAGAATCTTTGACAAGGGACTAAAAGATCAATGGCTTTGGAATGATTGAGCCATACGCGCTGGAGAGAGCACCACATGCCACTAATGAGCTAGTGAACTATAACGTTGAAGCTGAGATTTCAAATGAGGGGGGGACACGTGGCGTAAAATGTAGTGTTTTAGACTAAAAGAAGGGATTTAATACATATGTGGCGAAGGGGCGAACAGCTCCTTGATGCGATTTCAATTGACAAACGTCAGTACGATCTGACAACGGTAGAAAAATGATTTCACTGCTATTGTCGTAATTAATACCTTGTCTTAGCTGATAAATATATTGCAGTCTGGACTTTGGCTACTGACAAAACCTTTGTAATTTAGTATCTGATAAATTCTATTCGATAATAAGTGCCGTCTACAATTCCTCTTGCATCATTTAGCAAGTTCTGATGGCACGCGCTACTTTGTCCTTCATCATCTGAAGTAGCCATAGAATGGTCCTCGATATCTACGTGCTACATCCAGATAGTCTTCAGTGAATTGGATCAACCTTTGCGCCACGACAGCAGAAATATAAGGAAGGTTCTCACTGTCGTTTTCGTCCACCGACACCATCATGAATCTTTGTGGTAGATATTCATAAGTCACTTCATCCAGGTCCGGCTATCAAAACGTCATCCATTTCAGCTCTACGTCACCATACAATGTTGTATGTAGCTATCATTGCGGTTTTCTGTCATTTAAATCAGCTCAGTGGAGTGTCAATGGGCAACTTGTGTTATGCTCATGTCGAAGCTGATAACTTGTACGATCTGATACCTTGTTTGAACTGATAAAAGTCTGTGATCCTATAAGTATCTGTTTACACAGGCTCAACTGTTTTGTATTGCATGTTTTGCAGAGTGTTTGATCAACCTTCTGGTAACAAATTTGTTTCGTCTCGTACACATGTCTCGTCCGTTTTATGATGCATAGGTCACTTTCTTGGACATATGTTCAGATACTCACAAGGTATTCGGTTCAAGTTCAGTCCAGCACTGCTGAGGATTTCCACGGCACGATGACCAGTTACATATTTGCGTCTTTGCTATCGCCATGGGCTTCACCAACCTACCCTCTATCCTCCGGAAAGCATGTCCACTAGGTGCTTCCATCACCGTCCTTGTGACAATAGTAACTTGCGTTATTATTGTCAAAGTAAACGACATTTGGGTCAGCGGTCTTGCATGGCCGTTTCTCTCGGATATGGGGCGAGGTAGAATTGGGCTTGCTTGTCTTTGTATTCAAACGAGCTGTGCAATACTAAACTGATCTTGTTATTCGTTACATCCTGTACAGACTCTCCGGCTTACTACGTTTTCTGCACAGGGCTCACGCTCGTCGCTGTGCTGCTAGTGGTCACTTGGACGTGCAACTGGCACTACCACCTGGCGGCACTGCCGCAGGATGCCACCATCCTTCGCACAATTTCTCTCGCCAGTTTCGTTGCTGGCGTCATGGCAAATCCTGGTCTTCCTATTTTGGTACGAGATCGCAGCAAAGATCAGTGAGAGTTACCGTCGCTGATTCTTTGTTATAATGATGACAGGCTTTTTTCGACACGTCGAAATACTCTGATCTCCACTCTGTGGGTGCCGAGTGGTTTTTCTACATTGAGACGATTGCGGTTTTTCTGAATGTACGTGAATGACGTGGCATTAGTAGTACTGCCTGCAGCACGTTAAACATGGCTTGTCTACCTGTAATACAGACCGTCGTCAGCTACAAGTTGTACAAGATGCTGACAGGTTTGCAAACAGATCTGGAAAACGTGTGTTCCACCGCGGGAGCCAAACTTCGAAGGAGAAAAAAGACACTATTGATTCAAGTGGTCTTTTTCATGCTATTTTTCGTGGCATTCCTCATCTACATGCCGATTGGAATAGCATTGGCTCCACAGTCACATCGCCTCTCAATCGACGATTGCATTGACAAGGGTCTAGGAGAGACGTATTGTGCGATAACAATGCGTCTCAATTCGACATCAACTACGCTTTATAACAATGGTATGTGTAGTGAGTGATTCTTCATGAAGTAGTTTCGGTGTCTAACGAAAACTTTCTCTCTGGTATTCTTCATTCATGTTTACAGAAAAGAATTATGGCATGAGTCAAATGCGAGCTGCAGCTCAGCTAGCCTGTATCCTAACACTCGTAGGATACTCGACTTCTTTTATCACTAACGACTACGATGACTTGGAAAGACAGAGTTTGCTCAGTCCGGACTCCAAAGTTGTCGACCTAGATTAGTAGGAGATTGTAATCAGGAAGAGATCTGTGGATATTAGGAACAAGGTTATGCTGTCTGATTGCCTGAGTCTAGTTCAAGAAGCTACAAGCAGACAAGTACTACATTTAAATGTAAAGCAGTTACTACGGTTAGGACCATGGTATGTGGATCACGGAAGCAGGTGATAATGATTGTCAAGTGAAAGTTGTTTCGAATATTGAATGGAGACAGACAAGTGGCTTGATGCTTTATGATTGAATAATATAATGGTAACACTTTGTTCTTGGATACACTAATGATGATTATCGATTAGGATCATCACACCAATGCTCATGTATTATTTCGAAAAGGTCTGACGGAAAGTCTGCTCGAAGATCCTGCGAATCAGATCCTACACATCTCTTTTCGACGCTTCTTCTTTTAAGTTCATTTATGCTGATATATAAATAGTTTAGATAAGTTTTTCATACATATGAGGACAGTAAAAATGTCACTAAGGGTAGATAGATATGGCTAAAGAAGTCTTGCAAAGACCTGATGACTTTAGATAGGTTAGTTACATTACACTCATGTTATGAAACACTTTAGGCAATTATATGGTTAAAAACACATTGGACGTTTTGTTTAAACTGGTTTTATTTCGTTCAAACAGGCATAATTTCCCTAAAATAAATTAAAAAAAGAATTATTGCTGATAATAATTATTTTATAATGTAAACAAATATAACAGGAAAAGGGTAAATTCTATTCTGGAGAGACAAATGGTAACTTCAACTTGAAAAGTACATTGTCCCCAATCTGAATATTATACAAAAAGTGCTTTGTTTCGACGTGCGTGTAAACTCTTCTACACGACCAATATCATCATATCCAGCTTGTGTTTCATCAGCTAAAACTCAGCATCGTTGCCATTGAGTCCTCAAGAAGCTTTTCTTACAATAGGATTGCCACAAGCTGCCTTTGTCAACTCCAAGCAGTCGCCCCTCAATTGACGTCGATCTTCCAGACCAACTCTACTACCAATAGATTGCCACGATTGGTACAATTTTGTTATCGATAACTCGGTATACGTGCTTTCCATCACTATCTGATGTTGAGATTGATTGGAGGAACTGAAACCAAGCAGCTTTCAAGCGAAAGAATGAGTGCAGACTGCTACTTGCAGCAAACGAATGCGAAGTAGAAGACTAATGTTAGCCTCAATAGAATGACAGTCACTAGTGTTACACCAAATGATAGGTTACTTGAATACGTAAACATGGTATCCATAGAAAAAAGTCAAGAATGTTTGGTTGAAGTTGTCAATGGCGGAACATTCCGCCGTCGGATCAAACGACCTTGGTGTTGGGACTTTTTATATCTTGAATAAAGCCAGCCAGCATTCGAGTACATCTTTTCTCTCAAAACTTGCTTTTTGTATGCTGAGAGACGTATTACATTTGTTTTCATTATGTATTGGATTGACGAATGGTTGTCCTTCTTATTCTCTATCTTCTCGTAGAAGTAAATCAAAACAAGTCCAAGCCAAGTGTATCAATTGTCACAGTTTTTCACAGCATACCGCCGTCGGCACAAATTTGTAAGGTCTCCGACGGCGAACCCTTGTACAAGACTTTATCAGGTATACCGCCGTCGGACAACACAGTGAATATACTGAATGTCTCTGTATCATGAACGGCCCATGCATGTATTCCATGCAGTGCATTGATTGTCCTTTCACTAGACTTTCGATCACTCCGTCCTAGCAAAAGTTTGGAGCAATTTGTTTGCTCACTTTTCATTTCTCATCCACTCGCAGATAACTTACGTAACAAGTTGCAAGCTTCATTATTCGACAAATAAGAGCCAATGTCGAAACGATCTTTTACTCCATCGAAACTCCCCGTCACGATTCTCACGGGCTTTCTTGGCAGTGGTAAGATAACGCTCTTGAACCACTTGCTTACGGAAAATCACGGCAAAAAGTTTGCCATTATTGAAAATAAAGTTGGTGAAGTAGGCGTGAATGACCTGCTTATCCGCCAAGTCACCAGCCCGAATGACTTGATCGGAGGTGATACCAGGAGTCGCAAATGCAACATAGGCGAAGAAATTTTGACCATGAACAATGGCTGTATCTGCTGCTGAGTGCGTGGTGACCTTGTTCGATTGATCGCGCAGATCCTCAAACGCAATGGAGCCATAACCAATTGGATGGCATCATCATTGAGACCACGGGTATGGCTGGCCCTGGCCCTGTAGTACAGACCTTCTTTGCCGAGCCTCTCTTGGCAGCAACGTGCGAGCTCGACGGCATTATCACCGTTGTCGATGCAAAGCATATTTTGCAACACCTTCGCCCGGGCGCCGGCGTGGAGCATGAGTGCCAAGAGCAAATTGCTTTTGCTGACCGCGTCCTTCTCAACAAGACGGATCTTGTTACCAAGACTGAACTCAAGGAGATTCAATCCCAAATTTGCGGCATTAACAGCGCAGTATCAATCACGGAGTGCCAGCATTGTCGTGTGGACTCCGCGCTGCTACTCAATGCTCAGACTTTCGACTTGAACTCGATCCTCAAGAGGCAGCCTGACTTTCTCAAGACCAACAAGGACAACAGGCAAGATACAGGATGATAACAACGAGCACAAGCACGACCATGATATCACGCATGAACGTGAGCAGCACCATAGTGGACACCGACACAACCACTCGTTGGTGTCGTCAGTGGGTCTTACCTTACACGACCCAATTCTAGTGGCGCTCCTGGAAGAGTGGATCGATGATCTACTAGAGACGGAAGGAAATGATCTGCTACGCTACAAGGGAGTAGTAAACGTTGCTGGCATCGATCAAAAGTACGTTTTTCAGGGCGTGCATACGTTATTCAACGGACGATTTGCTGAGAATTGGGCCCCCGGTGAGACTCGTGAGACGCGGTTCGTCTTTGTCGGCAAAAACCTTGACCGCACTGCACTAACGGAAGGATTTATGGCCTGTCGAGCAACAAAAGACCTCTGTTTCCAAGTGGGAGATAGGGTCATGGCTAACGCTGGCGATGAAGGCTTCCAAGATCTAGTCTGGAGACAAAGCAAAATGCTAAACGCGGTATACATTCATTACTCTCGACAATCACGGGATATACGGTAGCAACGTACAATGTATCGGTATAATGTCGTCGAAGTTGAAGTTAAAATATTGAAATCGTAGTGCGTAGTTGTAATTGGAAAGGCTGCACACAGAAGCAATTCCTGGGCCGCAAATCGCCAACTAACTTGCACCTCAACTTGACGAGCTTCGTGGTAATGCAATAACATGAAAGTTGTTTGTCTGACAGCTGAGACTGAGCTGGAAAATGGTGGTAGGTAGCAACGGTATACAACATCGCATGTGAAACAGGGTAGAAAGGAGAGCCACAGTCATTCAACAAGGTGTTTTCGTATTTAAAGCAAAAGAAGAACAAAGGTGAAAAGCGTAAGGCAGTGCATTTGCTGCTTCAATGCATTCCATTAGAACTTGTCGTCCAATTGCCAATCAACCACGTCCATTTCCACAGTCCTCTACGTATCTATCACGTAGAGGACTGTCATGTGACACCGTCAAGCATTCAAAAACTCGAGCCAATCTCAAAAAGGTTTGATCCCCTTTCCACCCAATTTAGTGACGGCGTGTCTACGTTTGCAACAGCGCTACTTTGCGTCGGAAAACGTCCAGAGAAATGGACAAATGGTATGGCGTGCGTTGCCGTCGCATCGAATAATGAAAAGAGACGAAGCAAACGCTAGAAAAAAGAATTGTAAAGGCCGTTCACTTGGTACTTTTTACTTCTTGATTCGCAGTAATAAGCGTCGAGAGTATCTGTAACTAAACTTATCGAATCGTGCTGACTATATTTATTGGACACGTCAGCTAGACCCAAACCCGCAAGCCGTTCAGATTGGATTTGCTCTGCAAGAGAGTAAACGGGTTTTGGAACAAACCCATGGGGGAGGGGGTATCCATACAAACATCAAGTACAAAAACCGTTGGGTCGTGAAAACCATGTTCCAGGGCTGGGGCTCACATGCGATTTATCCGTACAGAAAGTGTATGGAATTTAACCCGAAAGAGTGTGGACGTAGTCAAGGCTGGGACTTTTGGCTCAATCGCGAAACTCAAAGACAGGCGGCCGTGAGCAGTTTCGAACGATCTCAGTGCAAGACAGTTGGTCGACTCTCTACTATTGTCTCAAATTCTCAATTGCCTCGATTACATTCACATCAACGTGTATTTCCATCTCACGTCTTGCAATTGTCTCTTACGAAAGACAACGAACAAAGTCAAGAGCTGGAAGAGCTGAAACGTGTGAACAACATGGCTGGATATAATGAAGAATGGGTGGATGTGCAAAAAAATACATTTACAAGAGTAAGTTGATGAGGAAGAAGAGAATGAATTATGTGGTTGGAATGACTTGAAGGAGTGACAGGCGAACTAATGATTGATTTGATCTTGTAGTGGGCGAATACGTACTTATCACGTAAACGTATGACAATTGAAGACTTGTATGAAGATTTAAAGGATGGGATTCGTCTCATTGCACTACTACAGATTGTTTGTCGTGAGAAAGTTTGTCGCGTACGTTGTGTGTTGGCTTGTTTTGGTTTGATCGATCGATTGATTGATTCATGGATGGATTGCAAGACTCAGAGAGAGAGAGATGAATTGGACAATTGGACTAATAGTGTACTTGTCGTTTTTGATTTCATGCTATTGTTATGTGTGTAGAAATTTAACAAGAAGCCACGCATGCGCATTCAAAAGATGGAAAATCTTAATTTTGCATTTGCTTTTATGCAAAAAAAGAATGTAAATGTGACGAATATTGGATCGTCTGATATCCTTGACGGTAACAATAAGCTAGTGCTTGGTCTCATGTGGACGCTCATTAAAGCTTTCCAGGTGGCGGAGATTGATGTGGAGGGTGTTTCGGGCAAGGATGGTCTATTGCTTTGGGTCAACCGCTCGTTGGCCGAGTACCCGAGTGTACAAGTCAAGAATTTCTCCAGCAGCTGGGCCGATGGCATGGCTTTCTGTGCCTTGATTCACCGATATGCGCCTACGCTCATTGACTTTCACTCGCTGAACCCCAAGGATCCACAAACTAATGTTAAGCTCGCTTTTGACATTGCTCGTGAAAAGTTTCGCATCCCGCAACTGCTTGAGGTAGAGAACGTGGCGGGACAGGCTAAGCCCGACGAGAAGAGTATTACCACGTACGTGTCTCTTCTTTTCAAGGAATTTGCATCGGGTGTGCAGAAAAAGAAGGCCGTGACAACGATCTCCAAAGCGCTAAACATTGCACAGCGCCACAAGGAACTAGCGACCGAGTTTAACAATAATGCGTCAGGTTTGCTAAAATGGCTCCAGCAGCAGACGGAGCGATTCCAGACACTCAGCCAGCCTCGTCACATACCGGACATTAAGGAAGCGCTAGCTTGTCATCTCGATTATAAGAAGAACGAGAAGCCGCCGCGAGAGGCGCAGTTTGTGGCTGTGGAAGGATGCGCTGGTCGTTGGGTCGCCAGTTGTAAGAATAATGGGCGCGCAGTACCGAATCTGAATCCACCTGTTGAAAAGCTGCAAGCGCTGAAAGCACTGCTTGACGAACTGGAAACGTGTTTTGAATTAAAGCTGCGTCAGAACTTGGAAAGCTACCAAAAGACGGAGATTTTCCTCACTAAGGTGGTGAAGGATCTGGAGAAGGTCGAGGGCTGGACCAAGGAAAAAGAGGCGCTTGCTCTTTTTGCTGATGACTTGCAGGTCAACTCCACTGCTGACGCGGAGGAAAAGCTTGAGAGCGTTGCTTTTTTGCAGGACATCGAGCTCCCACGCTACAAGCAGCTCTTGGCTACGGTCATTAGCGAAGCCGATGGGCTTTCGGAGGAGCACTCGGACACTAAGGTTACGCTTGAGCGGCTGGAGGCCATGAAGAACTTTATTGCTATGGCTGAAAGCAAGATTGAGGGTGTCAAGGCTAGATTGGAGGAAAGCCTTCGTATGCAGCAAAATGTGGATGCTGTGGCCAAGGACGCCAAGTCGCTGATGCGTAATCTTAAGTACGTTATTGAGGAAATGGACGAGGAAGTGGAGGCGGCTACGAAGCTCGAGGACGTGTCGACGGCTGGCGTAGTTGCCGCCAAGCACCAGTTTGATACTGTGTTGGTCCCCAAAGTGCAGAACGCCGTGGTAAGCGAGAACGAGAAGCTTATTGAGAAGAAGCATATTTTGGAGGATGCTGGCCGCGTCAACGAAGTGACTCTCATTGAGAAGACGAATGCTCGCGTACAGAAACTCCTTGACTCGCTAGCTGAAAAGCGCGGATATTACGAAAAGGAGCTTTCAAATGTGGAGAAGCGCGATGAGGTCTGTCGTGAATTTGCGACGCTGTCTGCTCGTATCAAGGAACGCTGTGTTCAGAGTACGCAGTCGATCAACGTTGTGGAGGGATCACTCAAGGATCAGTTCAACTCGATGGCTCGACTCCGTTACAGGCTGTTCCGATCCAACACTGTTGTCGCATGTGAGGAAGAGGTTGAGGGGAAGCCTGAAGACCCTGAAATCACCGGAGCTGAGATGCCCGTCGTTGACGGTGCATTCGAAACTGAAACCGCTCCGGAGAATGAAGGAGGTGATGAGTACAAAGATGTGACTGCTGAAAGGAAGGAGACCAAGCTGACGCAGGTTGAGGAGGTTAAGGCGAAGGCTGAAGAAATCATTGCCCCGCTTACGGACGATATGGAGAAGCTGGAACGCATCAACGAGGAGCTCGAGCGGCTGCAAGTGCACACGAATCCGTTTACAACGGACACGATTCACGGTCTGCGTGCTCAGTTCACGTCGCTTGAGATGGCCGTACGTGACAAGGTCAAGTCGCTGGAGAAGGAATTAGCGCTAAGCGAGGTGGGCAGCCTAACTCCGCAGCAGGCAAAGGAGATTAAAGAGGTTTTTGATCACTTTGATTTGGACAATGACGGTGTCCTCGCTCGCGACGAGTTCATCATGGCGTGCAAGGGTCTTGGTCTGAGCTTGAGTGAAGATGATTGCCACGATTACTTTGACAAGATCGACGAGGATGACAATGACGAAATCAAGTTTGAGCAATTTTCAACCTTTTGCACGGAACAGTTGCAAAGTGGTTCAACAAAGGATGATGTTCACGAGGCACTGGACATTCTCACTGGTGAGGAGCTAACGATTGATCAAATTGAGGAGCGCTTTGATGCGTCTCAAGTCGAGTTTATCAAGAAGAATGCACCAGAGCTTTTGGAGGCAGACGGCAAGTCGGTCGACACGAAGAAATTTGTCGACTTTATCTTTAGCGTGTAAGAAGACGTTCATCAGTCACGATCCAGCGCGTTTTGTTTTCACATTTATCAAGTCAAGTATTTTTTGATGGCTCGACATTTTTTAGATAAAGTTTTCATCATGATGAATTAAACGTGTAGGAAACGATAACGACATTTTTCATTTGCTAGTCGATTGACCATTTTGATGCTTATCGTTTTCACACATGGCTACATTTATACCGGTAAGTAAATTCTGGAAACTTTTATACTGTTGCGACTACAACGACTACTATACGTCCGATCGTTTTGGATCCCTACTTGTTGATAAATGCATTTGATTGGTTAAAAAGATCCTACACGACTTAAGACAAACATTTAAAAAAAGCATCACGCGTCTCTCTGTACGAAGAAAGCTCTTACAATATATCAAGACAATTCAATACGCACCATACAACACATCGTGTCGTATTACAAGTCTCCATCTCTCTCTCTCTCTCTCTCTCACTCTTTTCTTCCATCCAACCTCCTCGTGTTGTTTCTTCATTTCAATTTACACGATTGCCCCCCCAAAAAAGCACTTTTTTCTCGTTCGTCATTTCTTCCTCATGGCTACATCTTGCAGTAATTTAAAAACGTTAAAACCTCATGTTTCGACTGTCAAGCACCCCGAGACTTTATTACCTCTATCACTTTATACAGACCAAGAAATCCCATCATCATCATCTCGATTCAATCTCCCCAATCTCCTCCAAACTCAAGCATCGACCCGTCCCCATGACGTCATTACACGAGAACTTCGTGTTGATATTAACTATGGCCTGTCTCATCTTTCAATACGTGAACGACAAGGTGAATGGGGATGGAATGAATTTCAAGGGACACAAGATGAGCTCCTGATTCTCAAATTTGCCAGTCAATTTAAAGATCCACTGATTCTATTACTACTATCCTCTGGACTTGTGAGTGTGACAATGGGACATCTTGATGATGCGATTTCAATTGCTATTGCCATTACAATTGTTGTAACGGTTGCATTTGTACAAGAATATCGATCCGAGAAAACACTTGCAGCATTGAAGGAATTAGTACCACCCCATTGTAAAGCACTACGAGATGGAAAAATGCTTGATATATTAGCAAAGGAATTAGTACCGGGTGATATTATCCTAGTGGATGTAGGTGATCGAATTCCAGCTGATGCAAGATTAGTAGAAGTAGTTGATCTGGAAGTTGATGAATCCAATCTTACTGGTGAAAATGCACCAGTTGCAAAAATTACGGAAGCAATTGCCGATAGTCACTTGCATCCGATTGCCGAACGTAAGAATATGATTTACATGGGGACATTAGTGCGTGCCGGTCGTGGACGAGCTGTCGTGGTTGGAACGGGATCGCACACTGAGTTTGGACAGGTTTTTGATGTCGTACATCAAGTCGAGGAACGAAAGACGCCACTGCAGAACAGCATGGACACGCTAGGCAAGCACCTTAGTATGTTCTCCCTTGCCGTCATTGCGGTGATTGTGATTATTGGTGTAATCCAACACAAGGGTATGCTGACCATGCTGCAGATCGGTGTCTCGTTAGCTGTGGCTGCTATACCAGAGGGTCTACCGATCTGTGTGACAGTCACCTTGGCATTTGGAGTCATGAAGATGGCTAAACGTCATGCAATTGTGAAAAAGCTCCCTGCCGTTGAGGCACTTGGCTGTATTAATGTGATCTGTGTGGATAAGACGGGCACAATCACGACAAACAAGATGGAGGTAATTGAGATTTTTGTTCCGTTCGAGAGTGTGACTGCTATCGTAAACGGCGTTGGCGAGCGAGAGCAGTCACCGTCAGAGGCAGTTGCATCCGACATGGTCAACAAGAACGCTCGCCCAGCCGTCACCATGCGTGGTGAACCGGTTACAGAGACTTCCCATCCTCATGTGTACCATTGCTTGCTATCCGGTGCACTCTGCAACAATGCAAACATTGTGGACCGTGAAGTACTTGGCCAAGCAACTGAAGGCGCCGTTTTGCTTTGCGCGCAAAAGGTGGGAATCATACCTTCGGTCATTCAACAGTTCCGTCGTGTCAGCGAAGTGCCTTTTAGCTCGGAAAAGAAGTGGATGGCTGTATGCTGCGAACCGCTGTCGGGTGGTCCCTCTCGATGGCATCTTAAGGGCATGGCGGAGGCTATTTTGTCGCGCTGTAATAAGATTGAAGATAACTGTGGTCGTGAAAAGGTGATGACTCCAAGTGATCGCGAGCGTATTTTCGTGGCATCACAGCAAATGGCAGCTCGTGGTCTACGTGTTTTGGCGTTTTCTTTCGGTGAACATCCGGATCATGACATGGTATTTGCCGGATTAGTGGGAATCTCAGATCCACCTCGCGCTGAGGTCGAGAAGTCTGTACTTGAACTGTCACTGAGCGGAGTCAAGACCGTGATGCTGACGGGTGATTCAAAGGAAACGGCTATAGCGATTGCTACAAAGGTGAGCATCATTTCAAGCGACAGTTTTGGCAGCGCTGGCTGCGACGATAAGGGAAGCAATGCCGTGAACGAGCTGGTAATGTCGGGCCAAGAGCTGGAGATTATGGATATGATGGAGTTGGAGCAGCGTATTTTGAAAACATGTGTGTTTTACCGGACGTCTCCTCACCACAAGCTGAAGATTGTACGAGCGTTACAAGTAGCGGGGCTGATGGTGGCTATGACTGGTGATGGCGTGAATGATGCGCCTGCACTTAAAGCAGCAGACATTGGTATTGCTATGGGTATAAACGGAACGGATGTTTCGAAAGAGGCTGCAGACATGATTTTACTGGATGACAACTTCAGCACAATCCTGTGCGCCATGGAAGAGGGCAAGTCAATCTACCATAACATCAAGCATTTTCTGCGTTTCCAGCTCAGTACGAGTATCTCAGCGCTCTGTCTGATCGCGTTGTCTACGTTGTTTAACCTGCCGTCTCCACTGAATGCCATGCAAATTCTTTGGATCAATATCATCATGGACGGACCGCCGGCCCAAAGTCTTGGTGTGGAGCCGGTAGACCATGACGTAATGAAGGAGGGCCCGCGCTCCAAGGATGCCAGTATTATCACGCGTACAATGATCCGGCGCGTGCTCACATCAGCTTGCTTTATCGTATGCGGCACCCTCTACGTATTTTGCGTTGAGCTGAATAGTGATGGTACGATTAGCAAGCGTGATCGTACTATGAGCTTCACCACGTTCGTCATGTTTGATATGTTCAATGCACTCTCTTGCCGGTCAGATGACAAGTCCATCTTTGAGATTGGCATTTTGTCCAACACGTTTTTTGTGTACGCCGTCGGCGCGTCGCTGGGGGGCCAACTCCTTGTTATCTACTTTCCACCGCTACAAGCAACGTTCCAGACTGAAGCGTTGACACTTGGTGACTTGGTCTACGTTTGTTGTATCGCATCAACCGTGCTGATTTTTGATGAGGCTTGCAAATGGTGGCAAGTGCGCAAGCGGCGTGGAGCATTGCGTTCTGCGTCTATTGCCTCCGGCTTTAAGCAAAAGAAGAGAAAGCACTCGTGGGATAACAATGATAAGATCTACGATACCGTGTAATTCGGTCAGAGTCGCGTGTATCAACGCTGCTATTCCATCCTAGCGGCATACAAGAACTCGGCCGAGTTGAATTAGACGGAAATTCTCGCTTCACACTTCTGCTTGCCATTAACTAACATATCTTTGATCTAGCAACAGACAAACCCCTCGATTGTTCTGTCATCGATGATCCTGTCTTATAATACAAATTCAAGCATCTTCACCACAACCGCTCCAATAGCCTCCAAAATATCTAGCCCTACGAGCGCAAGTGCGCACGGCACATTTGCAGGGAACACAGCTTCACTGCACTTTGCATAGCAGTTTCGAGCTGCTACGAAATCTTGCGGAACGCCGTCTCCTGTCAAAAACATCACACCGCAATTGAAACCAGCCTCTAGGTCACCTAGTTCAGCTGCAAAACGGTAGCGCTCTAGTGCGCGTGTGTGATTACTAGGGCACACACCGGCCCAAGGCTCATGGTAGCACGCGCCAGTCTTCCGAACAGCTTCCGAGTCGTTCAAAGCCGCCGCTCGCGAATACAACGTAAAGGCTTCACGCAATGCCAACTTGCTTGAGTCTTCAACTGAATTTGTAAGTCCCAGCCACTTCCACTTAAGAATGCTATCGCCGTGATGCTCTAACAGGAAAGCAGCATTGCATTGTGCAACTTCATCCCCTAGCTCTGCAACTAGTCGGTAGTTCAAATATGCACGCAGATAATCACCCTTTTTGTAGCATTCATACCCTTTGACCAGCGAAAACGGAAGCCTCGAAAGCAAATTTGGATGCAGTGCTACCGATCGGAACAGTGACAAGGCAGTAGGACAAGACCGCGGTGTATTAATGCCCCGAAAGTGCACGACACCCAAATCGAGTAACGCCTGGCTCGATGGACCGTCCGTGCCATCTACAGCCGCTTGAAAATGAAAGAAGGCTGCTTCGTGATCAACCGGTACACCTTCGTCGCCGTTTAAATACACGGATCCTAGAAACGAATGGGTTTCAGCATAACCCAATGCAATAGCCTCATTGAAACATTCAAGTGCTCTTGTCACGTTTTGAGGCACACCAGTTCCTGTAAAATACATTTTGCCAAGACAATAAAATGCAAACGCCTGGTTTTGCTGAGCTGCGCGGTTGAAATACACAAGTGCTTGTGATACATCTCGGTTCACTCCTATCCCATCAGCGAGAAGAATGCCATAATTGGCCTGAGCCAGAGCATCACCGGCATCCGCTGCTTGGCGAAAGTATCGTGCGGCGAGTTCACGATCTACAGCCACGTGAGCTGCACGGTCGCCAAAATAATACATTTCACCAAGACCATGCATCGCTTGAGCATATTGCTCATCCATGGGATTCTCCGCAATGCTGCGGTAATACTCTAGCCTGTAAAGTGCGTCATTCTCGTCGAGAAGCGGATCAACTGCTTCAGCAAAGAATTCGTCAAAAAAAACACTTCCTGTAGAGTCCAAGAGTTCATTCGATAGACGTACGACCTTTACAAATCGCTCATCACCTTCATCAGCAATGGTATCGACGTTTTTTTTTGCACACATGTGATACATCGACACTGTGTTTTCACAAACCGCGTCCATGTCAGTAAAAGCGTCCTTGTCATAGGTTTCCATTGGCATCGATATTCTTCCAGATAAAGTCCCGTACGCAATAGCTAAAGTAGCCATAACGTCCTGTATTCCATACAAGCTTAATAGCTTTTCATTAGCACGAGTGAGTTTTTCCTGCCGTGATAATAAATGAACATTCGAATCCTCCATTTCCTCAGGTTCAGGAATACCAATGAGATCCAACATGGCTAAAACACCATATGCTGATTGTACACCTGCATCAGCTGCAACATTAAGATTATAGACAGCATCAATAAAACCCTGCTCCCGTGTTGACTTGACGTTTGGTTCAAATAGCTCTTTGTAGGATAATTTTGTCACTGCAAATGCCCAGTCATCCGTTACTGCTGGGTTTTCTGTATCGACATAAGAGTTTACAATTTTCCCAAGTTGTTTTACTATTTCCGTAGTAAATCCTTCAGTATCAATGCGAGCTTCTAGGATCAAAAAAGCGTCGGACGCTTGTGCAAACTGTAAAACCGACGTATTGTGTTCCATCTTGATCACTTTATCGTCAGAATCAGGTGGCGTCATCATTTTTCTGTATTTTCTGTTTGCCGCATGAAATCTTAAGGTCTCACTTTCCGTGTTGCTTGATACATTCATCGAGGTTTTTCTACTCGATAAGATAAACCCTCGTTCATCTGATTCCATTTCCCCGGCTGTGCTTTCTTTCATAGACGCTCGAGATGATGGAGCTGAAGTAGGATTTGTGCTCTCATTTTCAAGTGTATAACCTTCTTGTTCTTCTTGTTGAGTAGTTTCTTCTTTCTTACTCTCTGAAGTGGCAGTAATAATAAACGATAGAGTGATAGTTATCAATGTAAACAATAGCGCAAGAAACTTAAAGCGGACGATGACAACCATCAGTTAAGAATCAGAATTGTTCTTAAGTGTCACTTACTCTGTCTCTCTTTTTTACTTTTCACTGGTTTGTGGAATTGTATGGTACTTTTCCAAGATATAATTGGTAGAAAATGTTGTTGACGTTATCGAGTCAGATACTGACTCGGAGATCTTGAGTGACGCAATACAAACTGACTCTTTTTTTTCTCTTGAAATTGTCGGTCTTTTACTGTATCAATTAATTACTATTCATTTATTGTTGAATGGACAAAAGATGAATCATACTAACCTTTTTTTCTTCTGTAGATAGCAATGCAATCGTAACAGCAATATCATAGACCTTATTGCTTTTCAAGTTAAATAAAAGAGAGAGAGTATTATGCTATTATAATGTTGCAAATGAAGCAATGGAATTGTTACTACTACCGTGGGTGTTCTCATGACGCGCGTCCGTCAAGTACGACACTTACGATAAAACTGTCTTACGGTGCAGAAACATATGACGTTAATTGATGACTATTGTTGTTATCCAAACGAAAAAAAAATCAGACATATAAGGGTCGTCGTATAATGTTCATAAACTCTTGTTGCTCGCCGTCGCTAATTTGTTGGTAGCTCTATCTATCTGTCAACATCTGATAATCCATCAATGATTATCCGTACGTATAGACAGGGCAGAATCGTCATGACACGCCTGTGTCAGTATAAAATGTTGAAGTCACGACATGTGATCACAATCATCAAGTCCTCATTTCTGAACTTTCCGTGTTGAGTATACTACCACTTCTTATGCCTGCATCATCAATCCCCTCAAATCCAGTAAAAATGGTATCTACTCTCTCTTCTTCTTCTTCTTCTTCTTCTGCAGCTGCTTCTACTTCCTCGAGTAACGTGGCATCTACATTTCTTGCGTCTTCCATCTATCGTAGTAGTTCCAACTACGATAGATGGCATAAGTGGGAGGAGACACTTGACAACTTTGACACTGACTTGAGTCTCTTGGGTATTGATACAAGCATGGATGTGGTAGATTTTGGTAGTCTCGATCATTTCGTGTTGACTACAACTGATGACTGTCTTGCACCATTTCCAAGCTCGAATCCGACATGCGAGTTGCTCAATTCATTTGCTGCTGATAAGTTTGTATACGAGAAAGAACAAGACTTGGAAATACTCTTGGCTGCAGGATATGATGTTCACTCTAGTGAGAGTAAAGATTTACAAAGTCTTTTAGACTGCAAAGTAGAGCCACACACGAAGCTGCGAAAGCAGAGGATTTCGATGCTACCAACGACGACGAGAACAACAGGGTCAACTGTACCACGTCATTGCAAACGGAAGACGGTAGATCTTCATCGACTTGGAGACGACGCAAACAAATTAGGCGACCAAAACTTGCGTAAGAAGATGAAGAAGATGAAGAAACAGGAGCAATCCACCTCAGTAAAGCCTATCACCACAAAGAGTGAGATAAAAGTTGTGGAACAGACGGAAAGTATGTACCGACGGAGATATGACATTTTACATGGCATCCTGGAAGCATGGAACACTGGAGGCATTGAAGACCTGGAAGAAATTGCTGGCAACGTGTATGACGACGACGTCATTCTCATAAGTCCTGATTACTCGGAAGGTCTGCACGGCGTAGAAGCTGTAATGTCACATTGGAGCTTGCTATTGGACGCGTTTCCCGACGGAATGATGGAAGAATACATCATTCAGCGCGAAGAAGGAAGCACCGAGACAATGAAGGCCACGTGGACTTTCAGTGGTACGCAAATCTTTCCAATTCTTGGCGTACAGCCTCGCCACAAGAAAGTTTGTATCAATGGCAAGTCCTTATTTATATTCAAGAACGACCGAATTCGGCGGATTGAGCTTTCATGGAATTATGGCGAGACGCTGCTAAAGCTGATGGGAGTACAACCTGAAGAGACTAACAGCGTCACCCTTGGTGTGCCTGCATTTACAAACACTTCACATTCCGTAGTTAACCAATGATCAGTTATCGTCTTGGACATTTAAACTCTATCTCGATTAGTCATTCTGCTGAGCTACCGTCTCGATGGAGAAGATAAATGCGACCTGGAATAGGCTCACCACTCTCCTTGCGCACAGTAATGCCTTCCTGTAAAGCAATTGTAAAACCAAAGCAGCTTGCGAGGGAGGCGATGTAACTGTGCGCGTGTTGAAATCGGCCAGATGAAGCCAACCGATATTCAACTGCATTGTCAGTGGCTCTAGGATTACATAATTCGATTGAAAAGGCCATCCAGCCCGTGGAGGCACGAAGCTTGCGTGCGCTTAACTCAAATACTTGCTCCAATGCGCCCACATAAATCCATACGTCTGCTGAAATGACTAGATCCAGCGATTCATTAGCGCAGGACTCAAGGAATGGTACAATATCTACGGCTTTAAAATGAACAAAGATGTCAGTGACAGACTGACGGATGAATAAATTTTAGTTACAATACGTACTATGCAGCTCGTCGTAACTACCCTTCTCACGTGTCTTTTCAATCATCAATGGCGAGATGTCCACCTTCACAAACAGACCAATAACGATGGTGATCACAATTGCTCGACTAGGATACAAAGACACAGAAAACAACAGCTAACTTACCCCAACAATATGTTTTACATGCGGACGGAGAAGGCGACCGCAAAGACCAGTGCCACATCCGACATCTGCCACAACCCACGTGGGCTCCGTTTTGGAGTCTGTGGATATGAATCCGGCTGGCGATAGTATCTGCAGAGCCTCGACAAGTTGCCAAGGTACGTGGTATTCCAGATGTGCCACCAGTTTTTCCTCAAAGCTGTCCGCAAGCTCGTCGAAGACCTCTGCGACATAAGCAGGGGCAGCAGTCCTGATAGTGATGGCATCCTCTAATGTTGCGAGCGAGTGCGTTGCTCGGACATGACCATCTCGATTTGCTGAAAGGATTAAGCGATAGCCAGCAACTACGAGGTCGGGTTCCTTCGGATAATAAACGGATCTATTAGGAACATTGTAAAAATTAACTCATCGAGTTGCGTACGAATGTAAGATACTGACATGAGCACACCACGTACCGAAGGACTGTGTGCGCGACGGAATCACTATCGTCGAGAGCCACGACACGCAACATGTTGGACACAGCAAAGTACGTTTCACCTACAAAATGCAGCACATCGACCGGCATCAGTCTCGTGTCTACAAAAGCTAAGGCTACATAACCCTCAAATAGCTTGCACGTACCAATTGATTGAAGAATGACAGCGAGGTTAAAACTTGACTTTGTACATGTTGGACGAATCAATAATATGTTTACGAAACTTGTCGCTGCTGACAGAAATTCTCCCGCTTCATACAACGCTAAAGCCTCTTGACGCATCTTTACAAGGGCCCCATCATCAACTTTGAGCGGTTGAAAGGCAGCGGACTGCACAAGAGTCATATTCGATAGCCACAATGGCCGCAATTTATCCCAGGTAGCCCCTATGACCCCGTTGTTTTCCAAGAGCTCTCTAAACACTTTCCCTAAAACAAGAAAAAAAACCAGCAACAAAATTTTGCGTTCGTCAAAAAGTAACAATAAGCATACTGTTCCAAGTTGCTACTCCTCACATGACAAAGTAAAATCAGTAAAAGACGTTAATGTTGCGTTAGACTTATAGAGCTGACAAACTTCATCCTGCACGTTGAAAAATCATAAAACAAACTTAGTTACGAGGTAGATAGTATGGGCCACATATATTTGATACAACAACAACAACAACATATATAATACCCACATCGAATGATTGCAGCAATTTCTGCGTCAGTACTTGTCCTTTAGCATCCAGAAGGACACACGCAGGCAAATCCGTCACTTGAAGCTCTTTACAACGCAACCGAAATAATCTAAGAGCCATCAATTTCAAGTACAAGAGCTTTAGTATTCATAAAGTAATCGCAACGAATTGATCCATCCTTGAAACTACTTCAGATCCAATTGAATGTAGCCTTATTTTAGCGTACATTGGCTGAAGTCGCTGTACTTTTGTTTTCGTGTCATTGGTACTACTAGTATCAGTATCCTGAGGACTCCAATGAACTTGAAGAAACGTAATCATTAATTTCTCTTTCTTTATCTCATTCATTTCATCCAGAATACTATAAAGCCATGGTAAAAGGATCTCATCAATGGGCTTTACCCAAGCACTTGTCAAGTATGCAAGCGTATATTGTGACATGATTGATTATCGAGTGGTGATTTTAATGTGTACAAATTAATATAAAGTAAAGATTAATGTGTCACATTATCTTTCTTATGTACGAATTAAAAGCACATGGGTTTTTATTATGATTGGACAGAAAGTCTTGGGTTTTTTTAAAGCCGCTCAATCTCCAGTCACGTAAGAACGTATTCAAATTAAGCCACGTCTCTTTCTCTCTCTCTCTCTCTATCTATCTGTCTATCTATCTATCTATCTGTTTAGTTTGCTCATTCATTCATCTATTATGGGAACTTCACCAAGTAAATTTCAACACTTCTCATCAGCTAGTAAGAACTATCCTGTTCTAGCCACGAGTGTATCTGGTGTATGTAAAACTGACTGTTTTTTTTCTATTCATTTTAATGCTTTATTTTCTCTATTGCAAACACGTAATTTTTATTATTATTTATTGTTTTATATTTATTTTATGTATTAGGATGAGAATCTGCCTGTGTTTATGCAGCAAGTTCAAGCTATTGAGAAAGAATGTATTAAATTACCTAATCCAGGTCTTTATGAAAATGCACCCAATGAGCTGAAGCCACCTGTAAGTCCCGATGCTTTTGATGGGTTTCGCTTTGATTTTACACGTATCCTCGGTGCTCGTTGCTCGACATCGCACTCGTTTTTGCTTGGTACACCCATGATTCCAGGTGGTCTATATCAATTTGGTGCCAATGTTGTAATGGGAGATCCTATGGATCCATCTACGTTTCTTATGAGTAAGATCACACCAGACGGCTACCTAGATGCCCGATGGAATCAAAAACTTTCAGACAAGTGGAAAATGCGTGTAAAGTCACAACTTAAGAATGAAGAACATGGCTCTCAGGCGCTTGTTGACTTTGACTACGTTGGAGAAGGTTTTACGTGGAACATGAAGATTTCGAACGGCCCACTGCTTGGCGTTAGCTATCTGCAGAGCATCACTCAGCACCTTGCTCTAGGTGGTGAGGCTTATTATCACGGTAAGCATCGGAAAGTCATTTCGGCCTACGCTGGCAAGTGGAGTGAGCGCGACTGGGTTGGAATGGCTACGTTCGGTGCCATGGGCACATTGCAGCTTGCATACCTGCGCAAGGTGGGCCACCGAATTCGTTACGGGTCGGAACTCGTGTACAACCACTCTTCAGGTGAGGCGCAGACAACGTGCGGAGTGGAGATGGACCTAGGTCAGACACGGTTTGTATCCAGTGTAGATTCGAGCTTCCGAGTAGCGACGAGCATCGAGGCGCGCGTGCTGCCAAACTTTGTGCTCTCGTTGTCGGCCGAGGCCTTTCCACTAAAGGACGATTTCAAATTTGGCTACGGTGCGCAGCTTTCATTCTAGATAAGAGAGTTGCAATGCAGTTCGATTTGAGAATAGCAATCTATCTACTATCTACTGAATAAATAGCAAAAGCATGCAGATAGAGGTGAGAGTGGAAACGGTCGTAACTTGGCACAACTCGTGGTTTTAGCTTTTCGCGCTGTCTGTTTTATTGTGACTCTTTCAATAGACTCTTTTGACCATGAGATATAAGATGTCTTGCCTTCCACTGGTAATAAATATCACATGCGATAGAATATCCTAATCTTAAGCGTTTGGTGGGTGGCTGGCTACACGACGGAGTAAAAGGCATTAATTAGTTTAATAAGACTGTGTGCTGGCAGCTTCTTGACAAGGCTTGGCTTAATGCAAGTAACTTAATGGAGAGCAAAAAACAACTAGAACGATGTTGATCGTTTAGGAATTGATAAGCAATGACAAGGTCTACAAGGGTAGTCTTTCTCAACCATATAGAGCCTACACTTTTCATAATTTTCTTACCTGTCTATAGAGACACCATGAATCTCTTCGACTATAACAGGTAGTACAAAAGCTAGTATTAGCAAGATAAACAAGAAGGGTGCACTGACTACGAAGCGTGTGTTACTCAATGGTCTTGATGCGACAGAACTTGCGGTGCAGTGGTGCACTGAAAAGATTATAAACAAGAAATGTGCATTCCAGTGCAGCCATATTCTGCGAGGCGTTGCAGATTTCAGTGTATGCCCGTCCAGTTTGTCAGGTAGCACCTGAAGAAGATGAAAAAAGTGGTGGTGAGTGTCTGGATTTTCTGGTCTGAATGACGTATCTAACATGTATGTTGCTCGAGTAATTGGTGCTGCGCTGACTTTCGGTCAAACGTTTGGCCTGGTGTGTTTTGGCATCTATGACTTCGCGACGTACTAAGGTGCCAACGGTGCCGTGAGATTGAGTTTCTTCTCAGCATGCTTCGTGGGTACGTCCACATGATACCGCTGGCATTCGAAGCGCAGTCCATGCTATTGTGATAGCGCTAACGAGACAAACAGCGCTGTGGTTCTTTGCGGCTTCATCGGCAGTGTAAATGATCTACATGTCGTTGCCTTCGATGACCTTTGTGACGTGTTGACCCAATTGCAGACTTTTCTACCTTTGTCGATTTGCTGAGGTTGTGGTCTGCTGGGTCGTTCTGACATGATGTTCCAGACATATTGGTGAGTTTTTTTTACGATCTCCATGTCCAGAGCGAGAACTAACAGCGTTCTAGAGCGGGACCTTTGGCTCTTATTTGCGAATGTCAAAAGCTACAAGCCGTCCATGTCAAGCATTCCCCGTCGGTTACAAGTGGCTGTTCGAGCTCGTATCACACTGCTACATGTTTTGAGGTGCTCACACTAGGAGACCTAGTCCTAACGAGCAATTGCAGTAGATTGCAGAAGCTGCTACCACTAACGTCACGATCGATGTTTCAAGTTGACCCCTCGACTACGTATGACTCGCGGACGCGCCTTCTGCTATGGCCAACATCCCGCTCATTATACATCGGCCAAGTCTTTGGAGTATGTCGTGAAGACATCAGATGCTTGGTCGCTTTCGTGTTGGACATCGTGCTGATGATGCAATTGGCAACATTGACCTTCATGCGGTGATGTAGATCAACAGAAGCAATGAAGGCAATGGAGGAGGGTTGTTCGTGATGAGTAAATGCTTGTGTGAGCAAAGATGGTCAGCGAGTAGTTGTTCAAGTAGTTTTATTGATTCGAGCTCTACAATTCTGTGCTAATGCTGCATCAATATACATCATACATGACAAGAAGTACTACCGAATTAATGAGTTGCAGTAATGACAAAGTAACAAGACACAAGACGAAAGCAAAGCATGTATGTACGTATATGAATATTGCAGTTTGTCACAAGAAAGCAATAAGAAACGCCATTACCTACCTGCCACCATTCTTGAGTTGGAAAATAGATCCCACGATGTTGCGTAATGAATTCTTTTCGGGTTGACTTAGCAAGATTCCCATTTTCGCTGCAAGTCCGTAAGGGTCATTGGTTGTTGCATCAATCAATGTGCGAAGTTTCTTGGTCCCATATACCTTTTTCATTACTTTAAATGTGTCCTTCATGTCGTCATAAGTCTGGTCTATCATCGCAGGATTATCGGGAAGTTTCATGTAATCTGCAAAAATTTTCAGCTGAGGTCGCTCAAACAGTGGACCCCCTTTCTCTCTGTCAAGCCTTAAATGGATAAATGTTTTTTGCCAATCTTTTATGCCCCACTTTGACCAATTTACAACTTGGGACTTTAGTAGAGGTATAAAGATGTGATTCACTACCGTATTGTAGGATCCCTCAACTAGAAGTTCTCCATAACCTTGTCGTTCAGTCGAAACTGATTTTATGAACAAGCTCATATCCCTTTGCAAATTAATTTTGTCGCCTGCAGCGATAGAAGCATACAACCTGAGAAAGTCTTTGTGTTGGAAAGGATCATCGCTTTTTGCAAGCTCAGGCAGATTATGCGTCAGAAGCTTTGTAAATTTGGGGTGAGCAATCCATTCTCGAATCTCCAGGTCATACATTGCCGCGAACGCTAGCGCATCGTCAAGTTCATTACCAGAGAAATGACCTGCCAAGGTCGAAAACATTTCGTATTTCACGGATTCTGAGCCCTTTGCAGCGAGGAATGCGAGCCACGTGAAAAAGACTGGGTTTAGGGAAAGTTTGACCGTTTTCTCGTGCAGCTTCAACTCCGTGAACACCGCATCCGCAGTTTGGCCACTAGCTAACCACTCCTTAGTCTTCTCATTAGTTTCCGCGGCGTGGGCTAGCACATTGATCAGATCATCCTCATTAAAGTGATCACGTGCCAAGGCCGAAAACTGTTCAGATTCCAGGGATTCGTTTTCGGATATTTTGTCCTTTCTCAACTCCACAAAAGCAGTTTGGTGGCCAGCTTGCGCATTCATAAGCTTCGTATCTGGCTTGGCGGACGCGGCATCCACCGACTGGTGGTCAGTATGCGCATTCATGAGCTTGGTATCTGGCGTGGCCGACGCGGCATTTGTAGTTTGGTGGTCAGCTTTTGCGTTCATGATCGTCGTGTCTGGCTTGGCCGACGCGGCATCCGTTGTTTGGTGACTAGCTTGCGCGTTTGATATCTTCGTATCTGGCTTTCTGGACGCGGCACCCGCAGTTTGGTGGCCAGCTTGCGCATTCATAAGCTTCGTATCTGGCTTTCCGGACGCAACATCCACCGACTGGTGGTCAGTATGCGCATTCATGAGCTTGGTATCTGGCGTGGCCGACGCGGCATTTGTAGTTTGGTGGTCAGCTTTTTGCGTTCATGATCGTCGTGTCTGGCTTGGCCGACGCGGCATCCGTTGTTTGGTGACTAGCTTGCGCGTTTGATATCTTCGTATCTGGCTTTCTGGACGCGGCACCCGCAGTTTGGTGGCCAGCTTGCGCATTCATAAGCTTCGTATCTGGCTTTCCGGACGCAACATCCACCGACTGGTGGTCAGTATGCGCATTCATGAGCTTGGTATCTGGCGTGGCCGACGCGGCATTTGTAGTTTGGTGGTCAGCTTTTGCGTTCATGATCGTCGTGTCTGGCTTGGCCGACGCGGCATCCGTTGTTTGGTGACTAGCTTGCGCGTTTGATATCTTCGTATCTGGCTTTCTGGACGCGGCACCCGCAGTTTGGTGGCCAGCTTGCGCATTTATGATCTTCGTATCTGGCTTTCCGGACGCGGCATCCACCGACTGGTGGCCAGCTTGCGCGTTCATGAGCTTTGTTTGTGGCTTGGCGGACGCGGCTTCCACAGATTGGTGGCCAGCTTGCGCATTCATGAGCTTTGTATGTGGCTTAGCGGACGCGGCATCCGTTGGTTGGTGACCAGCATGCGCATTCAAAATCTTCGTATCTGGCTTTTCGGACGCGGCACCCGCAGTTTGGTGGCCAGCTAACGACTTCTTCGTATCATACGTTGCAGCGAATTCTTGCACATCAGCAAGCTTATCGTCAGAGTAATGAAGTTTTAAGGTCGAGAACATTTCAGATATCAAGGACTCTCTGTCCTTTGCAGCGAGGAAAGCAAGCCACCTGAAAAAGCCGGGGGTTTTAGAAAGTTCGGCCGTTTTATCGTGAAGCATCAACTCCATGAACGCCGCATTAGCATTTTGGTGATTAACTAACCATTCCTTGATCTTCGTATCATACGCTTTAGCGGCGGAGGCTAGCACATCGAAAAGGTCGTCACCATAGTAATTACGTGCCAAGGTGGAGAACATTACAGATTCCGGGTCTTTCGAGATGTATTTAACGAAAGCCAACCACTTGGAAAAGGCCGAACTTTTAACTAGTTCTTCACCTTTCAGGCTGTAACGGCGTTTAAGAGATATCAACATATCCTCCTGTTTTCGTCCCCAAAGCCACCACCACCTCACTTGAATTTTTTCGATGACCGTTGACAAACTTGATTTCAGTTTAGTACCGAGTTCACGAAGTCCCGAAATGCCAGACCTCTCTTCAGAAAGATCATTTGCTGTCATGGCCGCGTTTGTCTTCAAATGTCGCTTGACCGATACACTGTCGTTAGCCGCATATGGCGAATCTGAGCAGCATATGGCACCTTTAGACATCGAGTTTACGGTTTCCACGATCGTAGCTAGAAATACAAGCAGCGCAAAAATTACCAGCACCGTTGCGCAAGAGCGGCGGGACACGCTGGCCTCGACAGCCATCCTTAAATCTTAAGAAGGTGCGTTTGGTAGAATGTAAAGTAATGAGGTTGTATTTGACCTTGCACTTACTGGCACAGAATCAGATGCAGCTCCATTTTGCATTGGTTGAATAATTCCCCTTGGATCCAGTTTGAATTGGTTGAATCATACAAACAATCATTCGAGTCTATTAAATACTGAGCAAGACCAGATTCATCCTGGTCAGGTGCACAATTTCATGGCTACCTTTACAAATCTCTAGTCTATCAAGCTAAATTCAAGTCATGCCGCAATGTGTCCCGCTTGATTGGTTGGGTTACCAGTGTTTACGAAGTAGTTTGATCTACTATGTAGACCCTAGTCTGCCATATGTGCAGTAAGTTGTCTTTCAGTGGTGCATTGTGAGTTGCTGCAGGTCTCGGGTGGCTACTGTTGTCACAAGACTGCGCTTTCGGCGATTGCTGAATGCAGTATACCCGTCAATGTAGCGTGTCACAACCCGAGGTTGACTTGTTGAATGTCAATGGTCAATATTTCGTGTATTGTTATACTTCCATCGCATCGTTGGAGAGAACAGCATTATTGCCTAGAATACATATCAAGCTGTAGACAGAGAAAACGTATCATAAAAACAATGCGAGGATCGGGAAGCTGTGAGAAATGTACATCTGTTACAATAAGACACGATGTGTGTCAGTCTGATTGGAATATAGACTATGCAGAATAGCGTCGCAAAATATCCATCTGAATGTAAGATGTGCGCTTCGTGCTTGCTGCGATTTCCGCACTGACGAAGAACGTTCGACTCGTAATATAATGGACTATTGTTGACCGTACTCGGTTCGATGCAGTTGGAAGTGTAAAGCTAGCAATGGTTTTGGTGGAATTTGTGGTGCATTGTTGATTTGTGTTTCGGTTGTATCCAAAGTCCATGTCGTAACGTTTAGGCATCTGTCGAAGATTATGCTCACGGATCAATCATACCAAGACGTGAGTATGCTAATTCACTACGATTCCTTCCTTCTTCAAGCAAATCAACGATTTTGATCAAAGATGCTGAAATAGTTAGTCCGCATGTTTCCATGGAAGAACGCGCCCAGATATTGTGGACAGTGTTCTTTAAAGATATCTATCAATGTCTCTATTTTATCGTGAATAGTCGACGGCTGAGGTGTTCACCACGGCGATAACAAAAACGTTCGAGGCAAACAAATAGACAAAACCTCATGAAGTGTGCCGATACAACTTAGCAGATTCTCTACATGCTAGAGGCAAATTAATTATCTATGAACTCACGTGGAACCCCATTGCTCTTGTCAACCCAATCAACCGGCTCAAGGCATTCTTAAAAATACAAAAGGTCGCAGTAAAGTATCCAGCATGCGCGATGAAAACGGTTAGCCTGGATCCACACAAGACAAAAGTGAGACTACGGAACAATACACCTCCTAATCACCTTAGGAATTGTCCTCTAGGCCTGCTTCTAGTAATGTTCAAGCGCTTGCACTTACGGAATTGATTAAGGCAGCGCAATGACAGCGTGTGTGATGCGTTTGTGTGTTTGTTTGCTTCATGTGCATTGGATTTTCAAATGAGAGCAGCAGTGCTTTCAACAATTGCCCTCGATACCCTTGAAACATTTAGAAATCGAGGTGGCACTCCTAGCGCTTCAATGATGCTTTGACGGATGCTTTCCAAAAAAATTGCAATCGTAGTCTTTGTCCACGAATATGAAAACTTGCGACTGGTATTGAAGGACTTGGTGACGTTCCAAATATATTTGCATACGGAACAAATTTCAGCTTCCAGACGAGCAACGTTTATATCCTCCTGGGTCTACCTTGTAGTGGGGTAGTACTACTTACTCGGTTGCTTGCAGAGGCATGATGAGTCCGTGGACCTTAATCTTGAAAGCCTTTGAGCGGCTACGCTTCACCCAAAACAATGCGCTTCCTGAAAAAAATGGACCGTACTACCACAATAGTGACTGCTGTGCAGTCTTCTCCGTCGTCACCGCTATCTTTTCAACGATTAGCACACAGCGAAAAACGAGACGTCTGCGAGCCCTGAGCTTGATGAGCTGCGCTTCGATATCTTGCGATCCATAAAGATAAACCGGGACCAAACTGCCAGCAGCAAGACACGAAGCATTTTACAACCAACGCTGCAAGTTATTGAACCAAGCTTCATTGAAAGACCTGATGAGAGCAGGACGAAAGAAGCCGCCAAACGCAATACGTCGGCTGCCCAAGTAGCCTCACATAATTTGTTGGAGCGTATGCTGATTTATAAATCTGCTGATGCTGATTGCATTGGAAGCGATTGGTTTTCGAGCGAGATTGGTAAGTCATCAATTTTTTTACGCCGAAACAAATTGAAGGTGTTTTCAAGATAGAAGACTCGGTTGGTTACGACTTCCGAGAAAACCGAGCTTTCTGCTAATTTGCCGTGTCAACTTCAGAGTTTCGTCCTCTGACAGTACGCTCTTAGTCTGTAGTGATTCACCTCAGTCCCTATGATATTTTGCCACGAAAAGGGAGTTTGAAGATCCAATCAAGCTAATGAGATGAAAGATACGCTGAACGCGAAAAAAGAAGCTGACGATAAATTTATTCGTGAGCGCTACAAATGATTGCCAATTGCTTTTATCTTTCGGGTCTACATCAAGCTCAGCAGTATCACGGGATCATTATGTTTGGAAGCTAAGGTGACAAAGTGTATGTACTCAGTTGTTGAGTGCTATATCAGCATCTTCTGAGGTAAGTTTGTCTTGTACCGAAAGACTAAACTAGCCATCAGCTGGAGGAAATGTGGGTAGACTGATCGTGTGCAAACTGAAGCATCTCAAGAAAAGGAGAAAGTGATGAAGGAGATAGCACCACTGCCATCTGAAATGCTTCTTCATTAGTGAATCAGCAAGATTGGTAGTAGGTTGAGAATCTGTTTCGAAACCAGCGTTGGAGCCACAATTACGAAGTGATATATCTAAGGTCAGTATTTTTGTCGATACGCACGTTTTGCATTCTATCTTGCTGCATTAGTTGCAGGTGAGCATTGATGAGCGCAACGGAATCCAGCTAATGCAGTTTACGTAAAGCAATCGATCAAGCCTGTGGTGCTACGTGCGGATGAGTGTTGTATTAGAGCACAAGCACTTGTCGCTTGTGTGTCTTTTGTGCTTTCGTTACCATTGCAACAGGGCATTATGGCACTGACAATTACTGACGGTGTAGTAGCGGAGACGCCAGGTGGTAGTATCATTAGTGAAGGACCAATGTTAAGCAACGAATCAGTTGGCTGATCGTGACTACGATGCAATCCACGGGGAGTGTAGTCGAGGGTGAGGTAGCTGAGGGTGCATATTGTGACGCTTGTCGGATGAAATAGCGCAGCTTGAAAAACCGTCATCTCTATTTTGAGTCGACAGTGGACAAATTGTGAAAATGCAATTCTGCTGCAGCGTTGCAGTTAGGTGTAAGACCTGTCCAGTTTGCCAAAGTCTCGCTCTTGTTGGCAGTAACTGATTAGCTGTGGTGCTTGGCCGGCATAAAAATGCTTCTTATTGCGCGTGGGTATAGAGGAAGAGGAACAACGAGAGGAGATTGCGGGCGGACGAACACGGATTCGGCCACCTGGATCCTGGATGTGATTGATGCTGGCGCTGAGACAAAAACAAACTGATGTCATCATAACCGTGAAGTCTGCTCCACCAACCCATGCACACTGATATAGTCTTGAGTCCAGTAGTGGATGACTCGTTACATTCTTCGGTGAGCTCAAGGCGAGTCCTCGAGGCAGCAGCATGATGCAAGTTTGGATCTTGTAGCAGCAGCCAGTACACGTTTACTCGATTGGTGCTGCGCTGACTTTCGGTCAAATGTTTGGCCTGGTGTGTTTTGGCGTCTATGACTTCGCGACGTACTAAGGTGCCAACGGTGCCGTGAGATTGAGTTTCTTCTCAGCATGCTTCGTGGGTACGTCCACATGATACTGCTGGCATTCGAAGCGCAGTCGATGCTATTGTGATAGCGCTAACGAGACAAACAGCGCTGTGGTTCTTTGCGGCTTCATCGGCAGTGTAAATGATCTACATGTCGTTGCCTTCGATGACCTTTGTGACGTGTTGACCCAATTGCAGACTTTTCTACCTTTGTCGATTTGCTGAGGTTGTGGTCTGCTGGGTCGTTCTGACATGATGTTCCAGAGCTTTTTTACGATCTCCATGTCTAGAGCGAGAACTAGCAGCGTTCTAGAGCGGGATCTTTGACTCTTATTTGCGAATGTCAAAAGCTACAAGCCGTCCATGTCAAGCATTCCCCGTCGGTTACAAGTGGCTGTTCGAGCTCGTATCACACTGCTACATGTTTTAAGGTGCTCACAGCGGTAATGACTAGGAGATCTGTCCTAACGAGCAATTGCAGTAGATTGCAGAAGCTGCTACCACTAACGTCACGATCGATGTTTCAAGTTGACCCCTCGACTACGTATGACTCTCGCGGACGCGCCTTCTGCTATGGCCAACATCCCGCTCATTATACATCGGCCAAGTCTTTGGAGTATGTCGTGAAGACATCAGATGCTTGGTCGCTTTCGTGTTGGACATCGTGCTGATGATGCAATTGGCAACATTGACCTTCATGCGGTGATGTAGATCAACAGAAGCAATGAAGGCAATGGAGGAGGGTTGTTCGTGATGAGTAAATGCTTGTGTGAGCAAAGATGGTCAGCGAGTAGTTGTTCAAGTAGTTTTATTGATTCGAGCTCTACGATTCTGTGCTAATGCTGCATCAATATACATCATACATGACAAGAAGTACTACCGAATTAATGAGTTGCAGTAATGACAAAGTAACAAGACACAAGACGAAAGCAAAGCATGTATGTACGTATATGAATATTGAAGTTTGTCACAAGAAAGCAATAAGAAATGCCAATGACTACCGACCACTATTCTTCGTCCATTAAACCCTATGACCCTAAGTTCTTTATTTCTTTTGTTTGCAACTTGTCTTGTTCTTTTAACTCCTTGTATATTTCCTTTGCAATGCCGTAAGGATCATCTTTTATCTGATCACTATTTTTCACCTTGGGAAAGTCTTTTAATTTAAAATGTTTCGCTATCTCGGTAGCAATGATAGTTTTCGCGTTCTTGGCATCTACAAAATGCACGAAGTCGTAAAAGATTTTCAACTGAGGTAGCCAAAATAAAAACGCTGGAGGTTGCTTATTAAGATTCAGTAATTGAAATACCGTCTCATAAGGCTGTTCCCAATCCTTCCACGTCATGAACCGAGAATATAGCGCTTCTATAGCCATGAATCGCGCTCCAGTACCGTATGATCCTTTAACCAGAAACTTGTCTAACTTATCTTCTTTTTTAGGAAAACAAGAACGTAAACTATTCAGAAAAGCATCTGGCACATTTTTCTTGCCTTTTCTCACAAGCTGATCATTGTTCAATGTGAGGAAAGTATACCACGTGACACTGTTACCGTGTTCGAAAAATGTGCGGTCCTTTACAACCTGTTTTAGGTTCAACTCTTTAAAAATAGGCAACAAATAGTCAACGAACGGCGTTCCTCCTTAATCCATTTCTGCATCGTTGGATCATATTTCGCGGCAAAGCGTAGAGCAGGCATCGGATCAAAATTCGGGCAAAATTGTGCGATGGTCCCGTACATTTCACTTTGGAAGGAATTCCTATCTTGTGCGAGGAAAGAGAGCCACGAGAAAAACTCTTTAGGAGTTTTGTAAAGTTTCATCGTGTCCAAATGTAAAGTTGCGAACACTTTTATCGCAGTATAACCTTTCTCTTGAAAGTATGGGATCCTCTTGTCAAACTTTTTACCAGTAAAGGCTAAAATATCGAGAAATTTGTTGCCCGTGTAAAACTTTTCGAGGGTCATGTACATCTTCCCTACCGGAGATCTCGAGCTGACTTTAAGGAACTTTAAAAGCTTGGAAAAGGCCGCTATTTTACCATCAAAATCATCCTTCTGCAGGTTGATAAGTCCTAGATCCACAACCACATTGTCCGCTGTTCGTCCCGTCATCCACCACCACGTCACTTGAATAGAATCCATGTATGGTGACAGACTTGCTTTCACTCTGGTGCCAAATTCACGGAGTCCCGCAAATCCAGCTCTCTCTTCAGACGGGCCGGCACCATCATTCGTTGCCATGGCCGCATTTGCCTTCAGATGCCGCTTGACCGAGACGCTCTCCAGCGATGTCACAGCATCTGAGCGGCGACTGACCCCTTTAGCCATCGAGTATACATATACCACGCTCGTAGCTAGATATACAAACAGCGCAAATATTGCTAGCACCTTTGTGCAAGAAAGATAGGGCGATCTGGTCTTGATAGCCATTCGTAAACTGTAGTCCGGTGCGTTTGGCAAATTGTAAAGTGAGTAAGGTTGTATTTGACCTTGTTTTCACTGGCACGGGATCACATGCAGCTCCGAAGCTTGAAGTATACAAACAATATCTCATGTCTTACCGAACTTTAGATTCATCCTATGAAGATGCACAGATTTATGGCTACCTTTACGAATCTCCGAATCTATCAAGCCAAATCCAAGGAGACTCTCTGGCCAAATACCAGATCATGTAGTTAGACTCTACGAGTTGTCCGTTCGTAGCATCGCTTGCAGATCTCGGTTGGCTACAGTTTTCTACATAAACTACGCGTTTCAGGGATCGCTGAATGCAGTGTGCCCGTTAATGTAGATGTTGGGCTGCTAAATATTGATGGGCACTCATTCCTAGCACCAAAACCATTGCTAGCTTTACACTTCCAACTTCATCGAACCGAGTACGGCCAACAATAGTCCATTATATTACAAGTCGAACGTTCTTCGTCAGTGCTGAAATCGCAGCAAGCACGAAGCGCACATCTTACATTCAGATGGATATTTTGCGACGCTATTCTGCATAGTCTATATTCCAATCAGACTGACACACATCGTGTCTTATTGTAACAGATGTACATTTCTCACAGCTTCCCGATCCTCGCGTTGTTTTTATGATACGTTGTCTCTGTCTACAGCTTAATATGTATTCTAGGCAATAATGCTGTTCTCTCCAACGATGCCATGGAAGTATAACAATACGCGAAATTAGTGCCGTGGAATTTGTGGTGCATTGTTGATTCGTGTTTCGGTTGTATCCAAAGTCCATGTCGTAACGGTTAGGCATCTGTCGAAGATTATGCTCACGGATCAATCATACCAAGACGTGAGTATGCTAATTCACTACGATTCCTTCCTTCTTCAAGCAAATCAACGATTTTGATCAAAGATGCTGAAATAGTTAGTCCACATGTTTCCATGGAAGAACGCGCCCAAATATTGTGGACAGTGTTCTTTAAAGATATCTATCAATGTCTCTATTTTATCGTGAATAGTCGACGGCTGAGGTGTTCACCACGGCGATAACAAAAACGTTCGAGGCAAACAAGTAGACAAAACCTCATAAAGTGTGCCGGTTGCTAGAGGCAAATTATCTATGAACACACGTGTGGCAATCCAAAGCACTTGCACTACTTCGTTTGCAATTAGCAGTTCACTTTGAATTCGAAAGGCGAGAGAGGGATACACGTCGATTGTACGTTGTTAAGGTTTGCAAGATGTCTGATAAATCCTACGCCTGGTTAGCAACGCCGGTTCCTCGGTCGAGTCCAGTTCTTGTACGAGGCTGGGTTCAGATCAGTAAGTTGCTCCATAAAACTCCGTGTATAGGTTCTGAAGGACGCTGAGAGCCACAGGATACGAAAGACTGCAACTGTGAAGAACACTGCAGGCAACACATACGTATTGAGGATCAGCATGCGATTCGCCACACTAGTTGCGACGGAAGTCGCTGTGAGGAGGCGTCGTCGTACGTTGCGTATTCGCAGTTCGTGTTCGTCATCACCCCTGTTCCGACTTGGTACCTTAAACACCGCGTCGCCTCTTTGTGGCGGTGACCCAAATTCAGCGTATTGGATTGAAGGGGTGGCCGTGTTGGGGACGATAATGTGACTCTTCTTGGGCACTTCCAGCACCAACAGTTGGCCAAACCGATTAGCCAGGCCTAAAGCCAGCCGGACTTGGTTTGCGTGGTGCAGTAAGATCGTGGATCGTCGACGAAGGCCGAGAAGACGTGAGTCCAGTCAGACCGCCCCGAAATTGGAAGACCGTGGCCAAGTATCCTGTTGGACAGCCAATTATAAGACCTCCGCCGCTTAGAGGGAGGAATGGGCTAGTGGGCAGCCTGCCGAATGCCGGAAGTTGCGGGCTTCGGCGCTGAGAATATCTCGCTCAACAGAAAGCGAGGCGACGTACCGTAATACGATTTCTCCACTAGGTAGATTTCTCCACTAGGGTGCTGAGAAGCCAATTAGCACAGCTTTTCCATTATAAATGCTCCAATCACTTGAACGCAGTTAAGTCCCGAATTTGTGGTCATTGTGCAATTTTGTTAACGGCGATATGAGGTGGTAGTAGACCTATACCTCCATTCTGCCCGAAAGCATGTCATTAAGTACTTGTAGTCGTCATGAAGCTTTGAAGAGGTGCACCGCATTTGCCGAGAGGAGGTAGCTTTACAAGGTCGACCAAAACAGGATAAGACGCGTAGAAGATGGTTTCAAAGGTGTACAATCATATTGTAATGGTATTCCCATACCTATTCAGCTTGCTTGTTAGAGCGTTCGCAAAATATTTTTACCCATGCCAATGCTCATTGTGGCGCGTGATGTATGTGAGCAGGTCAATTCGAGTAACAACGCCAAAGATGACGGACTTTGTCTCCGCCTCGCCGCCCTTGCAGATGCGCTTTTGCTCAGTAACGACAAGCGCAAAGTGGTCGCGGTCAAAAATACGACTCAGCTCGTACAATGACGTCTGCGGACTCACTTGTTTAAACTGCTTAAACATAGCCTTCTCCACTGGGTCAATCGGGTGGATACGACCAGGCATCAGCTGTGCAATAAGATTGCCCTCGGTTACAACACCTACGATCGAATTATCATCCGCAACGACAGGCAGGTTGTCAAAGCCTTCCTTTTTCAAGATGTCCACGGCCTCTTTGCACGTGAGGTCGGGAGTAATAGTCACGGGGGGCTGCAGTAGCAGCTCCGACACGTTCTTCTTCGCCCACCACGTCGAACTCAACGCGTTCTTTGACATATCCATCACATAGCCGCTTTCATACATCCAGTCGTCCGATAGAAACTTGGACATGTAGTTACGTGTCGAGTCAGGCAGCACTACGACGCAACGCTGACCAGCTTTAAGATCTTTCGCAGCCTTTAACGCCGCAGCTATGGCGGAGCCGCACGAGCCACCACACAGCAGTCCTTCCTCGCGAATAAGGCGACGAGCCAACAAGAACGACTCTTGGTCGCTTGTCTTAATCCAACGGTCCACTAGCGAGCGGTCCAGCACCTGCGGGATAAAGTCGTAGCCGATACCCTCAACTTGATAGGGTTTTAGCCGATTCTCGTCGTTAAGATTCTCTGGCTCAGCCAAGATAGATCCAACAGGGTCAGCACCGACTATGACGCAGCTCGGACACTTCTCCTTAATTTTGCGCGCCGTACCCGACAAAGTTCCACCAGTACCAGCACCCATAATGACCATATCGACGCGCCCATCGCAAGCCTCAAGAATCTCCTCGGCTGTACCATCGTAGTGAGCCAGAGGATTAGATGGATTGGTGTATTGATCCAAGATGTGGGCATTGGGGATCTCCTTCACAAGTCGCTTGGCCACACCGATATGGGACTCAGGCGAGTCCCAAGCCGCCTCAGTAGGCGTGCGAATAATCTCGGCACCAAGCGCCTTCAGTACATTTACCTTTTCCAGTGACATTTTCTCCGGCAGCGTAATGATGATGCGAAAGCCGTAGAGCGCAGCAGCAAGCGCCAGACCAATGCCCGTGTTGCCCGACGTGGGCTCAATGAGCGTGTCGCCCGGCTTAATACGGCCCGAGGCCATGGCATCCTCAATCATGCGTTTGCCAATACGATCCTTGACGGAGCCACCAGCATTAAAAAACTCACACTTGGCCAGTAGCTCACACTCGAGTCCAGCTTTTTTGGCAATCGTGTGAAGGCGCACGAGCGGTGTATTACCCACGTGATCTAGGATTGAATTAAGGATCTTGGGTTCTACTTGGCGAGGTCGGTGCACATGTGGCTGCTGTATAAAGCATGATTCTGGTGAGGGGCAATCAATAGATTGGGACATATTTAAAGATAACATGGAATTTCTCCACGTTATGGACGATTGTGAAATGAGTTCGCATAGAAATTACAAGGAAAAAAAGCTACGTATAATTAATAACTTGGCATTATCAGTAAACCTGATTTGTTTTAGACGTACGAATCGACTTGTGTGAAATGATATTTCTTACATTTTCGTTCAAACTGGCGAGAATATAAAGCGTTGTGAGATGCCACATGATGTGGTCCACTTTCACCCTCGGAATACGCCAATCGCGTTCGTCTTCAGGCCTTTGTCAGGTAGTCAAACAATGCTAAAAATTAGTCCTGAGTACTAGGTAGGAACAGCTGATAACATCTTAATATATTCATTCTTACATTGGAAAAAAGCATCATAAAAAAGAACAACTACAAGCAGATCATAGACAGTGCTTAAAGTATTGAGCATGACGCACGAATACGATCCGCTTGTCTTTTTACGTTTAGTCAAGGGTACAAGGTCTTCTGGTCGGCAGTTGTGTCGTACTCATCTTGTACCGCTTCGGCTGTCATCGTTTCAGAAATGGTTCTCTTGTCAGCTTTCTTTAGATTGAACACATCCCTGGAATGTTTATATATCTGAAAGCCTTATGATTTACTACATTGAAATGCCCATCTCTCTTACAAAAAGCGAGGGTGGACCACCTAGGCACGGACGAAGAAGCGTTTCTATGCGCTCTACATTCGTGGTTGTGCTGTAACCACTCGTGTTTATTTAGACGGTCTCAGCTTGTTGAGAATTCATCAATGCCTGGAGCTCAAGAATGACTGTTCCAGCGTGAGAGCGAATATTTCCATAAGTGGATTTGGTGTTTGCGCGCAAAATGATGGGAATTCGCGCGGGCAGGAGGACGCTAACGTCTAGGGACGATATTAATCGGCAACTTCAAGACAAACACAGCTAGTACTATTTCAACGGTGCTAAACATGATAAAGGCGCTGCAATATTTTCAAAAGTCTGGAAAGTCTGCTGGAGCCTCAAGGACTGCATCCGGTGGCTAGTAACGGTAAGAAATGACGCATATAAAAGAAGTCGCAATTCACTTTCAAGTTCTTTGCAATTCTATAAAAAAATTGCAAAGAACTTGAGCGTGTATTGCAATGTAGTAGTATACTCCGTTGCGATGTAGTAGTATGCCATAGTAATATATAAAAAGATATGCAATTTATACGAGTTACAGCAATCTTGAGGGATATCGTTACACGTGTCTTCTATAACTTGGTTTTCAACGTCTCATTTTGATGAATCAACTTGTGTCAACCATTTTTCACGATGATCCCTTTTAACACATGGCCGTGTATCTGGATAACCACAAGGTATATTAGGATCAAGTTGATCATTGCAAGACCTAACGTTATTTGTCGAAGGGAAAAGTGTCATTCGAGCAAAGACGGTATAATTCTGTATGTCATTCATTGCCAGCGCCGCTTCTTTCAGGTGCTACACGAAAAAACTCATGTTACGTCCATACGCTATGACAACGTGCATCTTGACCGCTCCATTCGCTCAATGTTAGGTTGATGAAGACTTGTATTATGTCTAGTGTAGTCCATGATGTTCTTCCGCCAAAAGCTCTAAAGGTCAAGAGAGTGACGTCGTCCATGTTGAAGGTAGAACCTGATCTCTGTCTCTTTTTCTATCCAATGATGTCGTGTTTATAACGAGTGGTCAGGGTCTGTTTGGTCGAAATCACCTCGTGTATATTGATTGGCTCCTTAGCATGTATCGACGCAGTCGTCTATCGGTTCATCTATCCTACTTTCCAAACGGTTCTTCGTCCCCTCATCGTGAATCACCTCTTCCGTCTACACCATGACCGCTGAAAACCTGACGCATTCCATTGTTGGCCTAGGGAACCCGCTCCTTGACATCGTAGTCGATGTGACGCCTGAATTTTTGACGAAATATGGTCTTAAGCTAGACAATGCTATCCTAGCGGATGAGAGCCACGTGCCCATGTTTGAAGAGCTCCAGACGCACAAACCAGTATATATAGCTGGTGGTGCTACACAGAATAGCATCCGCGTGGCACAGTGGATGCTCAATAAGCACAATACAAAGGCCACGTCTTTTTTTGGTAGCGTAGGCAAAGACACACACGGAGTTAAGCTTCAAGAATGTGCTGAGGCGGACGGTGTCAATGTATCATACCTCAAGCACGATGATATTAAGACGGGTACGTGTGCCGTATGCGTCGTTGACTCGGAGCGTTCGCTTGTGGCTGATCTATCGGCTGCCAATCATTTTCATCACGACCACTTGGCCAAGCCGGAAAGCCAGGTTATCATTTCCAAGGGCGAATTTTTCTATTCGGCTGGCTTTCACCTAACGGTCTCACCTACAGCCGTCATGACACTTGCTGAACATGCTAAGACGAACAACAAGGTTTTTCTTATTAATCTCTCGGCCCCTTTCATCGTCGAGTTTTTTAATGATTCTTTGATGGCAGTTATTCGCTTTGCTGATTTTATCTTTGGCAACGAGAGCGAGGCCAAGATGCTTGGCAAAGTAAAAGGCTGGGGTGAGGACGTTCAGGAGATTGCTCTCAAGACTGCGCAGCTCGAAAAGGCCAGTGGCTCACGCTGCCGCACGGTCGTTTTCACCCAGGGTGCCGATCCTACGGTTGTCGTCCACCAGGGCAAGGTGCACACTTTTGACGTGCCTAAGATGCCTGCCTCGTCCATCATTGACACAAACGGTGCCGGTGACGCTTTCGTCGGAGGATTTATCTCCCGTTTGGTTTTAGGCCTGCCTCTCGTGCAGTGCGTGAAGGCCGGACACTGGGCTGCTCAAGTCGTATTGACCCGCTCAGGCTGCACGTTTCCCCAGGACTGTGGCTATCAGGAGTAATCAAGTTTCGTTGCGCGTCAGAGGTCATTTCATCATTTCCTGACCTTGAGTGACGTTGCTATGGCGACAAGTGGACGAAACGAGAGCCCCGGTGTTGTCGGCTTACATGGCGGTGCGTGTGCCTCGTTAGCACTTTTGTAGGCGAAGTGTGGCATCATCTGCAATGCAAGACGCTTTCCCTCGAAGGAAGAAACACCTCCCAAATAGACCGACTGATTTGGCGCTTTACCTTGCGACACACTTGCTGCTAATGACTCGTCATCCTCATTTATGTTAATGTGTTACTGATTGTCTGTCGTCACTGGACAAATAGCTGAGCGATAAGGTCGAGTGGTTGAGGTCTTAAGCATTCCTCTTTGAACTCGCCGTTATTGGAACAAGCCGGCAATTAGCCAAGCCAACGTATGCGTCCACGACCTTCAAGGCCATGTCGTTCGCGAGGTAGCAATGCACCACGATTTAACCGAATTGTTTGAGCTGCGAACCATTAGGTTTGGTGATGGGTTTGCGCAGCATTGTTTTACCGCACATACGGCGGGAATCTACCAAAACATGTGCAAGCATGAAATAGCATTAACGGAAAGGGACTCTGTAAGCTGTTGGGCTCCGCAAGCTTCATCTACAGACAGAAGCTGTAGAAAAAAGTGGACGGGCTCTGAGTTCGATCGGCTGAGCTCAGACTTTTTTGCAACGATATACTGGGTTAGACACGACACAACTGGTGGATACGATTGTGAAGGGAGCAAGAAGGGTAAAACTCTTGAGATACGACAAACATCGTCGGTAGTTAGAGGAACGGTAGGCTTTATCCTTTGACAACAAGAAAAGCATGACACTCAAAGCGCTTTAAATTAATTTGGAGTACGTGAAAACCATCGTTGTGTCTAGCGATTTCTGAAAAGTCGTGATACGGTCAATTTTGGCGTGGCATTCTTCACAATTGTTGCAGTCTCTCGTGCGCAATAAACCATGTAAAAAGCTATCGTTTCGAGTTTAGAAGTCTGGACATGAATGATAAGCACTTGAACATTAGTACTGCTTCAAAAATCACGTGCATGTGATAAGCTATGGATTGAACAAGTCGCAGCGCAGTCAGAATATGTGTAGTGATCTGTCATCATTTCATTCACTACTATATCTAGACCAGGATCCATCTTCTAAGACGCAGGATGCTCTACCTCCGCAACTTCTTATGCGTTTTCTTGCTTTTCTGCTGCTTACCATGAGACAATTTGCGCTTTTCGAGTAAATCATCTTCACTCATAAACTTGTTCTCATCTCCAGTCTCAACAACAACGTGAGGTACTCCTGCAGCAAGAGCTAAAGATATTTTATCCATCTCCTTCACGGCTTTCTTTTTCGTTTTTGCCTTTTGAATAGTTACCTCGCTGTTGCAATTTATAAAATCATCTTTTTCACGTGCAACAACCACGGAGAGGCACGTGACACGAGGCTTCGTGAGAAGCACAGTCGAGGCTAACGGCTCCAACGACTTGCTTAATTTCTCGGGTGACAAATCATCCAGCGCAAACGAGGCAAAATCCCAAATCTGAAACGTGCCGTCCGACGTAGCTAGCACGATCCACGGCAATTTTTTTTCACCATGCGGGTAAACAATCTGAAGGCACCTAATGCGGGCACCGATATCCTTGTGAGTCACTTTTCCGACAAGTCTGCATAAACAGCATCCCATCAATTCTTGTAAATATGCATCCTCTTAATTGAAGCCTGTGACCAACTATGCAAATATACTTACGTTCCATTAGTCTTCCAAATATGAATATGCTTATCATCACCACCACAGACGACGTATTCATCCGTAACAAAAACGGCACAATGAATTTTTTTCGTGTGCTCCAGCGTGCCAACCAGCTAACCAGCAAATAACAAGACCATCACGATGTGAGTACATGACTGCTTCACTGATCTCTGTTGCAACTTACCTCTGCGTTCATATTAAATATCGACAAATCCTTGCCGAATCCTAGCGCATAGTGTGTACCTTTTTGCGAGATCATGACAAGCTCTGCCTCTTTTTCTAATCGCCGAATAAAAGATATACGGCCCTTAACAAGGTTCCACATACGCAGCGTACAATCGCGTGCCACTGAAAAGCACATTTTTCCGCTCGGGTGCACTGCAATCGCGTTAATTTCACCCCTACAATACACAGAACGCAAAGTTAGACCTTCTCATAGGTCACATGGCACACCAAGTACGTACTTGTGACCACCAAGAATGTGTAAGCAGTTCCAGTCCGATGTACGCCAGATACATATAGAATTGTCGGCGCTGCCACTGAGGACATGACTCTGACCAAAAATCTCGAGGCTCGTGATAGCCCCGTGCTGCTCTATTAAACTACCAACCTCCACGCGCTTTTCCACATTGTAGATCCTGTATACAAGGACATAATACCCGATTAAGAAAAGTTGTATATCGCTTGAAACACATTGTAATGATTGATATATGATCAGTACTCACTTAATCATCTCATCGCTGCTACCAGAAAGAAGCGTTTTACTTTGCTTGGCACCCATCAATGCTACGCTCTTGATGCATTCCGAGTGTGCCGCATAACCAAATGTAAGTCTCATCTTAGTACTTTCACCTGCGGTCACTATCGGGCACTCCCATCCATACAACAAGCCTTCGTACGTTCCAGCTACAATGCGAATCATGACGTCAAGTAATGTTAAATGCTCAAATACTGTTGGTGGTGGCTTAACAGTGCGACTAAGTACGAATCGGGACTAGCGAATGCCAAGTGCAACGTGTGACGTGTGAGAATGAATACCAAGTCGAAGAATTCGTCTTAGCACTTCGTCACAGCCACGAGCACCACATCTTTTTTCAGCGCTATGCACACCAGAATGAATTACTGAGCCAATTGCTCACTGTAATCACAAGATTGAAAAACTGGCATATGTACCAGATTTTCATCCTGTGCACTAGCCAGAATGAATCTAATCTCGTGCTCAGTTTTTGATATTAACTCGAATGATAGTGTGAATGATGCAACCAATACCAGCTGGAAGCTACATCTGATCCTTTGCCAGTAAGTACAAGGTCAACACACTCACTAATATGCAATCTGCCAAGCTCACTGAAAATCTTTGGATGACTGTTAAGACCAGCGCGGCCCACCTTTCCCGCGCGAAGGTGCTCGTAATTGTCGCGGTGCTTGCATATCTAGCTACGAACGTGATAACCGTAGATTTGATGTCGAAATGGTCCTCACGCCGCTCCGATGCTTTAAAATCGCTGAATGCACTTCACAACAACGTCCCGGTCAAGCGGCATTTGAATGCGAATGCAGCCATGACAGCAACGGATCGTGCTGGTCCTTCTGAAGAGAGATACAGCATTGTGGGACTCGATAGATTCGGTACTAGACTCAAGTCATTTTTGTCTGCGATCGAGTCTGTAATCCTGAAAACTCAAGTGTAGGTGTTGCGGCGGACGGGAAAACCCCTAGACGGTGTATTCGAATCTCTGAAGCTTCACCGGAAAGGTGAAAAACTATTATATAGTCGGGCTTTCTTTAAGTGGTACGCTTTCGCCAAGACACAGGTGAAGTCTTTAGAGCTGGAAATGGCTATATATAACACTTTGAAGCATTTTTACTCTGATGATGATGTGCTGGCCAAGATTCTTATTGCAGGAACGAAGAATAAGAAATCGAAAGACATTGCTGCAAATCTGCAACCAATACAGATCTGGACATGGAAACAACTTGCCAACAGGAATGCGGACAACATGTGTATGCTTTTGAATCTTGACCAGACAAAAGACAAACTTTTTGAAAACCCAATTCTTTCCAGGTGGTTTGCTTCTCTCGAAATAAGCTACCCGGAATCTCCACAAGCGGCAATGTTCCAACATTGGTGCTTCATTATTCTAATGATGCTTTGGTCGAGGTTCTAGACACCGCTGCAAGACGGTATGATAAGGAGCTGATGGGCTGGATTGCTGAAGGGAAATTGTCGGACGGTGTGTTCACCAAACTAGAGCTCCACAGGGAACAAGCCAGACTTTTTGAAAAAGCTGCCTTTTACAGGTGGTTTGCTTTTCTCGTCTTAAGTGACAGGGAGTTCTCGGAAAAGGCAATGCTCTTGACCTTGACACGTTATTATACCAAAAAGAATGACCTGGCCAAGGTTTTAGAACGAGAAACAAAGATCCCGAAAGCTAAGTACATTGCTGCAAGATTGCAATCCATTTTGCATGCCAATAAAAAATTTGCGACCGATGCTTTTCAAGAATTTCAAGCTTCACCTACCAGGATCTCCTCTCTTTAAGCGACCTGAAATTCACATGTGGAAAGCTTTCGTTCTTTCGCTCGATACCACTAACCCGTATGAGATCATGCTCAGCACGTTGGTGGAAATATATGATGATATGCCTGTTGCCAAGATGCCTGCTGAGGTCGACAATTGTGACGAACTTGAACTGGCAATGAATTTGCTAAACAAAAAAATTAAGCAGTGGACAGCTAACGACAGCATCTGGCGAGATCTCGAAACCATATGTGCTGAAGACGAAAATATGTGCGATGGGGTTTATGATCGCATGAATAAATTTCGTGAAAGGCATACAGGATAGCTGTAGTGCCGAGATCATCACCACATGTTTGGCGTGTATGCAGTATGAACGACAAAGTCAGAAGAAGAGTGGTCGTGGTGGAAGTTAGTCGCATTCCTGGTAAAATATCACTGCAACATTTATATACGTACATACATGCTTTGCTTTCGTCTTGTGTCTTGTTACTTTGTCATTACTGCAACTCATTAATTCGGTAGTACTTCTTGTCATGTATGATGTATATTGATGCAGCATTAGCACAGAATCGTAGAGCTCGAATCAATAAAACTACTTGAACAACTACTCGCTGACCATCTTTGCTCACACAAGCATTTACTCATCACGAACAACCCTCCTCCATTGCCTTCATTGCTTCTGTTGATCTACATCACCGCATGAAGGTCAATGTTGCCAATTGCATCATCAGCACGATGTCCAACACGAAAGCGACCAAGCATCTGATGTCTTCACGACATACTCCAAAGACTTGGCCGATGTATAATGAGCGGGATGTTGGCCATAGCAGAAGGCGCGTCCGCGAGTCATACGTAGTCGAGGGGTCAACTTGAAACATCGATCGTGACGTTAGTGGTAGCAGCTTCTGCAATCTACTGCAATTGCTCGTTAGGACTAGGTCTCCTAGTCATTACCGCTGTGAGCACCTCAAAACATGTAGCAGTGTGATACGAGCTCGAACAGCCACTTGTAACCGACGGGGAATGCTTGACATGGACGGCTTGTAGCTTTTGACATTCGCAAATAAGAGTCAAAGATCCCGCTCTAGAACGCTGCTAGTTCTCGCTCTAGACATGGAGATCGTAAAAAAGCTCCCAAATATGTCTGGAACATCATGTCAGAACGACCCAGCAGACCACAACCTCAGCAAATCGACAAAGGTAGAAAAGTCTGCAATTGGGTCAACACGTCACAAAGGTCATCGAAGGCAACGACATGTAGATCATTTACACTGCCGATGAAGCCGCAAAGAACCACAGCGCTGTTTGTCTCGTTAGCGCTATCACAATAGCATGGACTGCGCTTCGAATGCCAGCAGTATCATGTGGACGTACCCACGAAGCATGCTGAGAAGAAACTCAATCTCACGGCACCGTTGGCACCTTAGTACGTCGCGAAGTCATAGACGCCAAAACACACCAGGCCAAACATTTGACCGAAAGTCAGCGCAGCACCAATCGAGTAAACGTGTACTGGCTGCTGCTACAAGATCCAAACTTGCATCATGCTGCTGCCTCGAGGACTCGCCTTGAGCTCACCGAAGAATGTAACGAGTCATCCACTACTGGACTCAAGACTATATCAGTGTGCATGGGTTGGTGGAGCAGACTTCACGGTTGTGATGACATCAGTTTGTTTTTGTCTCAGCGCCAGCATCAATCACATCCAGGATCCAGGTGGCCGAATCCGTGTTCGTCCGCCCGCAATCTCCTCTCGTTGTTCCTCTTCCTCTATACCCACGCGCAATAAGAAGCATTTTTATGCCGGCCAAGCACCACAGCTAATCAGTTACGGCCAACACGAGCGAGACTTTGGCAAACTGGACAGGTCTTACACCTAACTGCAACGCTGCAGCAGAATTGCATTTTCACAATTTGTCCACTGTCGACTCAAAATAGAGATGACGGTTTTTCAAGCTGCGCTATTTCATCCGACAAGCGTCACAATATGCACCCTCAGCTACCTCACCCTCGACTACACTCCCCGTGGATTGCATCGTAGTCACGATCAGTCCTACAAACTGATTCGTTGCTTAACATTGGTCAATGATACTACCACCTGGCGTCTCTGCTACTACACCGTCAGTAATTGTCAGTGCCATAATGCCCTGTTGCAATGGTAACGAAAGCACAAAAGACACACAAGCGACAAGTGCTTGTGCTCTAATACAACACTCATCCGCACGTAGCACCACAGGCTTGATCGATTGCTTTACGTAAACTGCATTAGCTGGATTCCGTTGCGCTCATCAATGCTCACCTGCAACTAATGCAGCAAGATAGAATGCAAAACGTGCGTATCGACAAAAATACTGACCTTAGATATATCACTTCGTAATTGTGGCTCCAACGCTGGTTTCGAAACAGATTCTCAACCTACTACCAATCTTGCTGATTCACTAATGAAGAAGCATTTCAGATGGCAGTGGTGCTATCTCCTTCATCACTTTCTCCTTTTCTTGAGATGCTTCAGTTTGCACACGATCAGTCTACCCACATTTCCTCCAGCTGATGGCTAGTTTAGTCTTTCGGTACAAAACAAACTTACCTCAAAAGATGCTGATATAGCACTCATCAACTGAGTACATACACTTGTCACCTTAGCTTCTAAGCACAATGATCCCGTGATACTGCTGAGCTTGATGTGGACCCGAAAGATAAAAGCATTTGGTAGCTCACACTCAGGTATATCGTCGTATACGTAACCGACGATGAAGCCAAACGCGTCCGAAGAGTTCATTACTTGCCTTCCGGCGTATTCAATGGATGGAATCGCAAGGTTGATTTGAATGATCGTGTGTTCGTCCATGATGGAAGAATGCTTCAACTGGGTGGTACTTCATACTGGCGTTGCTTGTATTACCAAAGGCTGCGATCTCTTCACGTTCGTCTTACGACGTGATTGGCTTGCCTCTGACTAGTACTTTTCAGGCAGCTAATGATGAGGCTCAGAAACTAGTAGACAAGCTGAGTTTGTTATCGCTATGCTCAACACTATTTAAATTCAAAGTGAATTGCTAATTGCGAACGAAGTATGCAAGTGCTTTGGTTTGCCGCACGTGTGTTCATAGATAATTAATTTGCCTCTAGCCTGTAGAGAATCTGCTAAGTTGTATCGGCACACTTCATGAGGTTTTGTCTCTTTGTTTGCCTCGAACGTTTTTGTTATCGCCGTGTTGAACACCTCAGCCGTCGACTATTCACGATAAAATAGAGACATTGATAGATATCTTTAAAGAACACTGTCCACAATATTTGGGTAAATTGATTTTCATTAACTTTTTAAAAAATCTACCTAACGTATTAGATGTTGATGATAAGTAAAAACAGTCGAGATCTAAGTAGAATGACAGCGAAAACTAAATAGAAGGACCAAAGTAGGAGTACGACTTAGCTGAGAGTCGAGTCCAAAGAAGAGGTGGCACTTGCAAGGAGCATGTGTGCGGAAGAGCTGTGATGTACAGGCTAAAATTCCCTAGAGGCTTGAACATGTGCAGGAAAAGCAATGGAAGCGGGTAAGGAAGTCGTTGCAGTGATGCTGGGTCGTAAGCTTGAGGCAGGCAGCGTAGATAACCATAAGCATGAACGTGAAGGGGGGGAGAATTGATGTATCCAGATAGTAGGAGCGAAAGCAAAATCTTTGACCTATAGTCGGGGACGCACAAGAATGGAACACCCGGTCGCTGTCCACAATATTTGGGCGCGTTCTTCCATGGAAACATGTGGACTAACTATTTCAGCATCTTTGATCAAAATCGTTGATTTGCTTGAAGAAGGAAGGAGTCGTAGTGAATTAGCATACCACGTCTTGTATGTTTGATCCGTGAGCATAATCTTCGACAGATGCCTAAACGTTACGACATGGACTTTGGATACAACCGAAACACAAATCAACAATGCACCACAAATTCCACGGCACTAATTTCGCGTATTGTTATACTTCCATCGCATCGTTGGAGAGAACAGCATTATTGCCTAGAATACATATTAAGCTGTAGACAGAGACAACGTATCATAAAAACAACGCGAGGATCGGGAAGCTGTGAGAAATGTACATCTGTTGCAATAAGACACGAGACTTATTGATGTGTGTCAGTCTGATTGGAATATAGGCTATGCAGAATAGCGTCGCAAAAATATCCATTGGAATGGAAGATGTGCGCTTCGTGCTTGCTGCGATTTCCGCACTGACGAAGAACGTTCGACTTGTAATATAATGGACTATTGTTGGCCGTACTCGGTTCGATGAAGTTGGAAGTGTAAAGCTAGCAATGGTTTTGGTGCTAGGAATGAGTGCCTATCAATATTTAGCAGCCCAACATCTACATTAACGGGCACACTGCATTCAGCGATCCCTGAAACGCGTAGTTTATGTAGAAAACTGTAGCCAACCGAGATCTGCAAGCGATGCTACGAACGGACAACTCGTAGAGTCTAACTACATGATCTGGCATTTGGCCAGAGAGTCTCCTTGGATTTGGCTTGAGAGATTCGGAGATTCGTAAAGGTAGCCAACAATCTGTGCATCTTCACTAGGATGAATCTAAAGTTCGGTAAGACATGAGATATTGTTTGTATACTTCAAGCTTGGGAGCTGCATGTGATCCCGTGCCAGTGAAAACAAGGTCAAATACAACCTTACTCACTTTACAATTTGCCAAACGCACCGGACTACAGTTTACGAATGGCTATCAAGACCAGATCGCCCTATCTTTCTTGCACAAAGGTGCTAGCAATATTTGCGCTGTTTGTATATCTAGCTACGAGCGTGGTATATGTATACTCGATGGCTAAAGGGGTCAGTCGCCGCTCAGATGCTGTGACATCGCTGGAGAGCGTCTCGGTCAAGCGGTATCTGAAGACAAGCGCGGCCATGACAGCAAATGATCCTTCAGAAGAGAGGGCTGGATTTGCGGGACTTTGTGAATTTGGCAATACACTGAATCCGGACTCCGTAGATCCGGCGCCACTCTGAAATCCAGTCTCTTGGATACTGCCGCGAAATTTCGGCGGCGTTGATGGGGGGACTGTGGAAAATTTGTATGCTTCGTATGAAATGCTGAAGCTCCACAAACAACCTAAAAAGTTACATGATAACCCGAAGTTTTATGAGTGATATGAAATCGCTAGGAAACATGAAGCTCCGTATTTGCAGTATTCGAGGATGATCGAAGTTTTGGAGCATTATTGCACTGGTAAGGAGGACGTTCTGGTCAAGGTCTTGAATGCATGATTCGTCAATGAAAAAGCGAAAAACATTGTCAAAAATTTGAAAGATGTCCAGTTGTATAATTGGTATCGTTGTAGAAGAAATCCTGCAAACGATGTGTTCATGCTTTAAAGCCTCACCAGAGAGACGTCAAAGTTACTAAAGACCCGGTCTTTTCCTGGTTGGTAGATTTCCTCTTGTACCGTTTCAACAAGAAGAAAGCTCATGAAGAAATGTGCTGGACCGTCGCACATCATTATTTTGATGATGCGCTGGTTGAGGTTCTAAGGACTGCTGCAAAACTATATGATGATAGACTGATGGATTGGGTTGCTAAAGGTAAATCTGCGGACGATGTGTTCAAGACTTTGACACTTACGGGTAAAAACTACGGACCTTTGACGACATTAACCTTTTTTCAGGTGGTGTGCTTTACTCGTTGTAAGGGAAAGTAAATCTTGGGAAGAGGATATGTGTAGCCGAGCTACTGTAGCCACGCTACTTATGCACTATGTGCAGATGCACTATGTGCAGAAGAAGTAGTCAGACTACTGTAGCAGAGCTACGTATGCACTACGTGCAGAGGAAGACAAGCTCAGAGTGCTTTATCGTCTTAGAATGCTTAACCCTCCTAGGCTAGCTCGTAAGCTTGTGCCTATCGGTTTTTACAACCGCGTCTCAAAAAGACGAGATACAACTTCTCAGGAGGAATAGAACGCTCAAGCTGTAAGGCTTATAAAGCAGGTTTGAAACTGATTTATATTTATGTTTATCTTCTAACACTAAATATAGAAGCACCTATTCTGTACTTAGTGCTAGTCACTATTACTGGCTCTATAGCCTTCTACTATCATGCAAAATGCATAGTCACGTTACTTTGAACAAGTATAGTGACCACGTAGCTCTCTGCCACGATGCGACCCTTCGTACTTCAGGTACGGTCACATCACCTACTTTGTACCCACGGTACAGCCACACCACATTGGTGTGGCAGGTGTGTATGTACAATACACACCTTCATGTAACTCCGTTACACCCTCCCCCACCAATCCGTGGGACCCGACGTACCCACAAATTTTTCGCCTCTTAATTGGAGGCATCAATTTCATTTTCTTCTTATTTTGCTTGCCTCACAATAAGTGCTTGCACTTGCGTTTAAAGCATCGCTGTGTTACGACACTCGCTCTTTGAGCATATAGTGCATCGCACTCACGCTAAGCATTATAGTGTTACGACACTTGCTTATAAGCGTTAAGTGCCAAGTTTGGTATTATTAATACCCTTTGTGTGCTTACGAACACGTGCCTATACAGCATTTGAGCGCCTAGCACTTGCTTTAAGCATTACAGTGTTCATAACACTTGCTTTAAGTATCACAGTGTTCACGAACACTTGCTTTTATAAAGCACTTGTCTCCATAGCGCTTGCTCCATCATGAATGAAGCATTGCGTCACGGCCTTTTTTTGGGACGATGACAGTGACGTTGCCTCTACAGGCGGTGGAGCCGAGTCACCTTCGGGTCAAAGTAACCCAAGATCATCAAGCTCACCGAGCGAGGGACGTCGATCCCATTCTGTGTCTTCCCTTTTAAGGGAGTCAACCCCTTTAAGGCCAACCACCTTCTCTTCCCTCGAGGGAGGGTACAAACGAAGAGGTAACCAACCCTCTTGACGCTGCACAGCGTCGTCAACTTGATGATGAGGCCCGAGCGGCCGCTTTGGCACGGCCCAAACAAACGTTTTCACGACGTGATTATGGGTTCGTGTCTCGGGACCCTAATGAGGAAGCTCGACGAGCTGCATCGCAATCTTTGCGAGCCTGTGTCATTGGGTCCCATGCCCGTACGGCCTGCGAGAATGCAGATAGTGTTGCTCTTTGTGAGCGGCTCCTTACTCCCCAGGAGGCTACAATGAAATCGTATCAGGAGCGACTGTCACGACAGTCACCTAGGGTGCCTGTGCACCCACTAAACGGCATACCAGTGGTGCTTGCACCAGGTGAAACATCTGCACAAGATGATCACCAGTTCACCCGTTGGGTAGAACGAGCATGTAAGCTCTCAAGTTTGTCAAACTTGCGTTTAAGCGCTAAAGCACAAGACGTTTGGTTAGAACGTCGTCTACGTTTTAACTTCGCTAAGCTAGAAGCGAAACGTCAATTACCTTCCACATACAGGTCAAAGACCTGTGGGGAGCAAGCTTCTGAAGCTGTTGCCCGTACCTCTCACTTGAATGATGTACCGACATTGGCTTCTTCTGAAGCTCAGAGGCGAAGCCAGCCTACTGACTCTACTTTTACAGCACCTAGTGCTAGGAAGCGTCCGACGACAACTGTCGTCGCTTCTGACCGTCTTAGTCAAAAACGTCAACGGCGTCACGGCAATCCTGCCGAAGGGGTACCTCATACTCCCACGAGTCGTACGACTGGGGGTAACCCCTCCACTTCACCAAGTATTGGGTATGACCCTGGAGACGACGTCGAGCCAAGATACGTTCCACGTGAAACCGTTGATGACCCCGGTCATCAATCAACGTCGGAGGAGGTCGATGACCTATTGACCTCTCATCTCTCTGATATTGAGCGTTGATTAAAGCTCCTGGAGCGTTGTGCCCTTGCATCGGTGAGGTCTCACCTGTCATCGCTCGATGATCGTGTTGATCGACACCGTCGATCCTTTAAGCATTCTCGCATTGAGATCTCGGATCGCTTAGCGGCGATTGAGCGTTTTCAAGCCGACCTTCAATGTCAGATCGACCTCCTGGTACGCATTCAGCGTCCATATGCACCTCTAGTGCCGTACTACCCGCCTACTTCGACCCGAGATATGGGGACAACCCCTCGAAGTCCACCGAGGCAGGTTGAGATATGGCTTGAGCAAGCCCACATAACCACAGGGTGTGTTTGCATCTTCTTGGGAAGGTTCAGCGTATAGGCCAAACCTTTCTTGCTTATTACAAGGTTTGATAAAGCGTGGACGTAGTTTGTTTTTGTACTGCGCGAGTAGGTAATTCCTAGCATTAAAAAAACAAAATCTCCCACTTTGAACTCTTGCTCGTTCTTTCTGCCTTTGGCATCCGCATGTTCCTTCTGAACATCCTGGCTTTCAGCCATAGCGTCTTTGACGCGACGTAATACGTCAAAACGCGTTGACACAAACGCTTCCACCTTTTTGCGCATAGCAACAGGGCTATCAGCTAAGCCTTCGGCTATCTCTCACCCACTAAGCCCTGATGTGTCAGAGGGTAGCGTTAGAAGAACGCGGGGATGACCAAACCATTCACATAGAATGGGGTGAAGCCTGTTGAGGCATGCACCGCGTTGTTCAACGCAAGCTCTATGAGTGGGAGCATCGTGCTCCATTGCTTGGTTGTTTCAGCACAAACACTGCGAAGCACATCGCCAATAACGCGGTTGACGCGTTCAGTCTGATCAACGGTCTGCGGATGATCCGCCGTGGACATGTCCAGTCTAATGCCCAGCACTTTAAAGCCTGATGTCCAAAACTTACCAGTAAAACGGGGTCTCTATCCGAGACGATTGCCACAGGCAATCCGTGTTGCCGAAACACACGATCCATGAACATCTTAGCTGTTTCTTCTCCATCAATGGACTCCGGCACTACCGCTAAGTGAGCCATCTTTCTCAGTCGGTCTACAAAGACCACAATCCCAGTGTTGTCTGCCGCATCCCGCGGTAGGCCAAGCACAAAGTCCATACTAATGGACTGCTACAACCCCGAGGGTACAGGCAAACTCGCCAAAAGCGCAACCATATGAGGCGAGGGCTTCACCCTTTGACACGTTCACACGTGCGTACGTACCAACCCATTCGTACAACTTGGACCACTAATAGTGGGTGCTCACCGAGCTGTAGGTATTTTCACGACCTAAATGACCACCAATTGGTATATCATGAGCTTCATAAAGTATCTGATACTTGAGGTCCTCATCATGAGGCACCACAACACGAGGCTGGTCATCCGACCCTGTACTATAGTACAACAGACCATTCAGTGCATAACGATGTAATCTCGCACGATTACGTAGTTACAGCTTCACCCTAGAGTTTTCAAACTCTGCGCTACCCAGCGCCTCTATAATGGCAGCATATGCCTCTCGCGTGCATACACCACACGGATACGATCCGTTACTGACAAGCTCACAACAGTAAGATGAGCAAGCTCATAGTCCGGTCTAAGCAATAACGCGTCAGCCAAAACATTCTGTTTTCCCGGCTTATGCTTCACTTCAAAGTTATACTCCGCGAAAAAGGAGAGCAAACGGGCCATTCTCTGCGAGACTGTGTCGCTGTGCGCAAGGACGCATGATCGGTATAGATCACAAACTACTTTGAGCCCAACAGGTGTACCCTGAACTTAACAAGGGCATAATTATCGCAAGTAGCTCCTTGTCATGAACTGGATAGTTCTTTATGCAGCTTTCAACTGGCGAGACTCAAACACGATGACGCGTTCTCTACCCTCAGAGTCGACTTGCAAAAGTGCACTGCCAATGGAAAAGTCCAAAGCGTCACATACGACGCTAAACGGGCGATCATGATCAGGTAGAGCCAGAATTGACGCCTGAAGGAGACTCTCCTTAACGGCTTCAAAAGCCTCGTGGTGCTCACTGTTCCAACACCATTCCATATTCTCTTTAAGGAGATTTGATAATGGCCTAGCCACTTCCGCATAGTTTTGGCTATACTTATGCAAGTAATTTGCCCCCCCTTCGGAGGTCCTTTTGGTTCCTCGGAACCGGCCAAT